GCGAGAAGCCATGGTGTTGAATGTCGAGCAGAAGACGCAGGAAATGGATGATTTGCGGAGAAAGCTGAATGTGTGCATTGAGGAGAGGGATGCGCTGCTCCGAGAGGTGAGAGTCAGAAACCATTCTGGGATAGGGGGATAAGGACCACTGGGCATCCTCTAACCTTCCTTTACAGACCACCGCACATCGCGAGACTGCTAACACAGGTACTGAAGCTCTGAACGCAAAGAGCGCCGAGCTGACTGCTTTACGGGAAGAGCTTGCAAACGCGCACGACGAACATCTCCGATCCGTCGAGGAGCTTCGAACCAAGCTAGCCGCCCTGCAAGACCGCCACGCCTCCCTCGAACAATGCATCGAGGCTAAGAATGCTCGACTAGCCGCCGTCGCTAACGAGATTGACGAGCGCGACCAGCGCATTGCTGACCAGAACTCAATGATTGATGGGATGAGGGTGCAGATGGAGATTCTGGAGCAAGCTGGCAGGGAGGCCGCCGAGCACGTGGAGGCGCTCAAGATTCGTGTGGAGGACCTGAATGCCATTCGTAAAACATTGATGGATGACAAGGTGCAGCTTGAAGAATCGCTGGATTTGGCCAGGAGCAAGCGAGACGCGGACACGAGTAAAACCGTCGATCCAGTTACGTCGACGGCCGAGGCCGAATACCTCAAAGCCCGCATCGATGAACTGGAGACTATCCTGTCGCGAATGGAGGAGGACAAGCGATCGCTCGAGGAGAGCCTGGAAAAGCAAATAATGGAGAACGTTGCAATGAAGGAGGAAAGCACTGTCCCGCAAAAGATCACCACTGAAGTCAAGATGGAGACCGTGCAGACCGTGGAGGTGCAGATGGCCACGACGGAAGATGGCGAAACTTCCGCTGGGGATGCGGAATGGATGCAGATCGAGCTGACCAGGTTGCGCGAGAGCCATAGCGCTCATGTCGCAGAACTGGAGGCGCTAAAGAAGCAAAAGGACACTGCCGTGACGCTTGCCGAGTGTGCAGCTCAAAAACAGGAGGAGATGGAAGATGAGGTTTCAGCTCTTAAGGCCCGTTGCGCGGATTTGGATGCGGCCCTGGCACGGGCTGCTGAACTGGAGAGTCAGATCGCTGGGTTGAAGATGGAATGTGAGCGGTTGAGCAACGAACTTTCTCAGGCAGTTGGCGCCCGGGACACCGCGACCGAGGCCCTGCAGCAGGAAGCCGCCGTGGTTGGCGAACTTCGAAACCGTTTGGCCACCTTCGAGAAGGAGGCTGCCGCTGCATCCGAGGATAAGACAACCGCGGAGGAGGCGACGGTTGCGGAAAATGCAGATGTGACTGATTTGCGCCACCGACTCCACGAGCTCGAAGAGGCGTACGACGCTATTGTAGCCGAGCGGGATGCTGCTTTCCAACAGCGCGAATACATCCTCAACGCCCGGTCAGAAGAAATCTTTGGCGCTGGATTGATGCAGATGACCAATGCTATCGCCGACGCCGACCAGCAGATTGCGCAACAGAAGGCCGTTCTGGATGAAAAGCAGGCGGCTCTGGAAGCAAGACTCGTTGAGGTGGAGGAACATCTTCGACTATTGAACGACGCAACAGTGCCCATGGACGTGACAAGTGGGTCGAACAATGTTCGACAAAGTGATGAGGATGAGAGTTTCCAGGTAGGCGCCCTGTGCTACGAAGGGTTGGTCGCTCTGTTGCAGATACTGAATCTCACCCCCTGTTTGTCATGTAGATCGAAGCGTCCACCAGCATTGTTACGGTACCAGCCGAAGATGGGCCGGTTCCGGAAGACGTTGAACAGCAAAGTCTCACCGATGTAAGGCGGAAAGCTCAAGAAGCAGCGGCTCAAATCCAATCAGTCACCCAAGATCTCGCTGCCGCATGCGAACGCGAAGCGGCGCTGACGGAGCAAATCAACAAACTGTCTCAAGAAACCGGTCTGTCCGCGCAACAGCTGGAGCAAGTCAACGTGTCCATCAAGGAACTAGAAGACCGCTTGGCGGAGACGATCTCGGAGGCTGAACGTATGCAAGCTTCTGCAGCCACCTCCGCGCAATCTGCTATCGAAGCGGCTGAAGCTCGCGCACAGGAACTGGCTTCGGCTTTGGAAGTGAAAGAAACTGCGATTAAGGCGTTGGAGGAACGAATCCGCGAACTTCAACAAACGGCAAATGGTAGAGTAACGTCAGCCGAAGCCTTCGAGGCACTTATCAAGGACCTCCGCCAAGAAATGGAGAAACAGACGGCGGATCTGGACTCGGCGCGAATGGAAGCCGAGTCAAACAAGGAGAACGTACTTGCCCTTGAAAGCAAAGTTGAGGAGCTCCAAAATACGATATCTGAGAAGCATGACATTATTCGGCAGCTGTGTGAGCAGACCGAGGCTGCCCGGGAAGTCGAGAAAACCTCAGATACGACCATGCAGGAACAGTTGAAGAATCTGCAGGAGGCCGAAGAGGAAAAGCTGGCTGCAAAGCGTGAAGAGTATGCGCAACTCCAGACCGAGCTCACGACGCTGCGCGAGGAACTCACTACCCTACGCCACGAACGAGCCGAGCAAACCGCGGTTGTAGACGAGCTGAAAGCTGAGCATGCCTCCGAAGTCGCCGCGATGCAGAGCGTGATGGAAGATCTACTCGATAAGGTGGAAGACCTCACCCGTGAGCGGAATACGCTGGTCGTGCAGCGCTCAGCTCTGGAGTCGGAGAAAAGCAACCATCAGAAAACACGCGAGGAGCTTGAAGCGAGATTGATGGAGCTTGGAAATGACCTCGAGCTGTTGGTGGAGGAGCGTGACAAGCATCTTGCGGCGCTGGAACAGGAGCGTGAGCGTGTTGGCGCGGAACAGAGCACGATCGAAAAGCTCACATCTCAACACCGCGACGAGTCAAATGCCTTGAAGAAGCAACTGAAGGAGGTTACGAAGGAAATGACGACTCTGGGGAAATCCCACAACGCATTTGTGATGAAGAAGGCCCGTGAGCAACAGTTATCGGAGAAAGAGAACGCAGCAATGCTCACGACACTGAAGGCACAGCACACGGCACAAGTGCAGGACCTGCAAGCACGGTTAACGAAGCTGCGCGCGGAACTCGCTGAATTGCAAGAAGAGCGTAACGAGCAAGCCGAAGTGATTGTGAGGGAACGAGCGCTCAATGAGGAGATCCACGATACCCTGCGCGAGCGTACCGAGGCGCTGAACAACCTGAAGAAGGAGATGGAAAAGTACCAGATACGGTTGAGGAAGACCAAGATCCGGTATGCGGAGCTGGCTGCGGATGCGGATCCTACTCCTGCTGCTGCAGCTTCCTCGTCTACGGGAGCAAAACGCTCATCCCAAGGGATCGTGTCATCGCCCCTGAAAGCCACAAAGTTCAGACGTTTGTCAGATCACCAGGTCGACGAAGAAGATGACACCAACGCACCTCCTGCCTCGCGGTCTCGACGGTATGGAACATCACCACCACCACCACCAGCCCAATCCCAACCACTCGAAGACGACGATGACGATCGACCCGAACCTCGCCGCGCAATTGCCCCGTCCCCCGCAGGCCCATCACGCCCGTTCATCCCGACCCCACTCAAGAACTCGAAATCCGCCGCGCTGACCCGCCAGCTGCGCCGTCCAGCAGCTGGCGACGCGTCCCCGCCTCCACCGCCCCCGCTATCGACGACAACCACCCCTGGCCGCCCCAGCACCGTATACGGGGACGAAAATGAGTTCGTGTCGCCGGATACGTCCCCACATGCACGGGCCCGGCCTATGGCGCACGTGCACGAACAAGCGGAACCGACCACCCGTGGGTTGCTCAAGGCTGCTCGTGGACAGACGGCGGGGACTGCTGGTGCGGCTGGTGTTGGAGCGCCTGCGCCTGCACGCCAGGTCGCGCAACAACAACATCAACCGCCGCAGCGCGGGAAGGGCAAGCAGCGGGATACGGCCGGGGATGCGGAACGCGAACATGACCCGGACCAGTGTCGACAGCAGTAGGGCGCTTTGCGGTGGGAGATGTGTACATATGTGGTTGGGATGGACGAGATGACGAGGAGGACGGACGAGGGTATCTCTTGCGGTAGTTGATGTTGATCTCCCCAGACCTGGCCCGCGGCGGGGCAGTCACGTGATGTCTATCCGCGTTTCAAATTAGGGCCCAACCTGGGGTGTATAAAAAGACTTGCTTCGTCCTTTGACTTTCCCACGCTGTGATGAAATCGCAGTAAAAGTCAGCCATGACCTCTGAAATTCAACCCGACACAAAACTACCTAAAGAGGGCGTCACCGGGGACAGTGAACATTTTCGCTACCTGGCGACTCACCCAGAAAAATTCAATCCCACCTTCATTCGCAAGGCAAATCGTCAACGTTTTCTGACCGACCGTGACCGAGAAAAAGCGAAAGAATACTTGGAACGTGTCGAACCCAAGCTTGACCCCTAGTTTGGAGTATGTCGCGGTTTGGGCACTCCTGTTAGCCGACAAATCGCTCACGTCCCAGAAACACCGCGACGCATCCCTCAAGTTTGAAGCGGATGTGGAACTTGATGCCTAGAAGTTTTTGAGAGCATACATCGGAGCCATCACGCCATTACAGAAAGCAATTTTGAGTGGGCAAGATGCGATTGCAAAGGATATTCTGGAAAGAACGCTGGAGGATGATTTGGACATTGCATTCGGGAACTCATCTGACCTTATGTACATCACCTTCAATACTTTGCACATGAAAGAGTTTGATGAGAATGGGTCATCGTATGGAAAGAGTAAACATTCGCAATAGCATTCTGAATTTCTGATTGATAGAATTTCTACGAGTTTTTTAATACGAGTTTACGAGTTAAGTACGAGTTTTTATATGCACGAGTGGGGGTAATATACAGAAGTGAGTTATTTGACAAGAAAGGTCGTACAAGGGGAGCGAATTCGCGGAGTGTAAGTCCGTGGTAGAAGGCGCAATGCGCGGTGATGGAGCGGCGGGTGCAGGTGTCAAGAACAACCGCACACCCTCACACAATCCACACATTAACAAACCCCTCGCCGCCACTCTTGCCCATCCTGCCCCTAGCAGCCTCAAAACACATCCCGACATCCTCATCATTCGCGATCGCGATGAAATCCCCATCCTCATCTTTATACCGCATGCGCAGCCGTCGCCCGTCCTGGTTCCCGCCACACAAGCGGATCTTGCGTTCCATTTTCGCTTGCAGGTCGCTGAACGTGACGGTGGGGGCGACGGCGATGACGAAGGATTGGTTGGAGGCGCCGTGGTGCATGCGGATGCGGAGGGTGGCGGTCGGTGAGCCTGGGGTGATCGAGTTCAGTGAATTCAACGAGGATGATGAGTTGTAGTGCTGCGGCGGGGGTGGTGGTTGTTGTTGGGGCTGGTACTGTGGCCCCGGTTGCACAACCACCCCGTTCTGACCCCCCGCAAACGAAGCGGAGAACGACGATTTCCTCGGCGGTTGTAACGAATATGTCTGCGTCGTTGTCGAGCCGGATCCGTACGTCTGCGGGGTCGGCGGTAAGGGCATATCGGGCGGGTTTTGGGCGAGTTGGATTACGCGCGGGGGACGGATGCCGTCTGGGGGCATGGAGTAGGGGGTTGTGTTGCCGTTGGTGTTTGAGGGATTTGAAATGGTGGTGTAGGGCCGTAAACCGTCCGGCGAGCTGTTGGCGCGATATATCTGGTTCTCGGTGACCGTTACACGCATCAACGCGGGGGTCTGCTGTATCGGGCGGGTGTACTGCTCATACCCATTCGACACGCTCCCCGCCCGCTGTTGGCTCGAATTACTACCCGACGGCGGTGGGGCGTTATCATAAACCGAGGTAGCTGAAGAAGTCGACCCCATCCGCTGCGGTTCCTGGTACACCTGGCTCAGCGGGAACGGACTTGTCATGCTTCTTGGCGGGGCCATTGCGGAGGCGAGGGACATTTTGCGTGCGGTGCTGGCGCTGCCGCGCGGGGAGCCGGGCATTGATTGGGGTGGCGAGGGCGGGAGGTCGGAGGGGTCACGGAAATCACCACCCCGGCCGCGTGCGGAGGAGGATAAAGGGATGGGGATGGCGTCGTAGCCGTCGAAGTAGCCTGCTGGTTCTGATCCGGATGCTTTGCTTGGTCGGCGGATGTTGGTGGTGTTGGATGGGACGGTGGGTAAGGGCTGCGCAGGCGGCCCACCGCGGTGTACGTACCCGTTTGACGCGAAGCCGACGGGTGGTTCCGGTAATGGCATTGGCGGGGGCGCCTTACTAAACTTCGGTTCCTCCCTCGGTCGTGACTTGCTCCGCTCTCTTCCTTTCTTCGGTTTACTCTTCATGAAATCGCCCAACAAAGGGTCACCGCTGAACTCATACGTCTTGGAGTCCTTGCGGATCATGGGCGGCGGGGAGGTGCTGCGACCGCGGGAGGAGGATGATGTGCCTGTCGAGACGGTGGTTGTTCCCGAGCGGGTGCTGCTGCGCGGGTTGGCGGGGGCGGATTGGCGCATGTAGGCTGTTGAGGTTGGGGCCATTTCTGAGGACGGAGTGGAGCCTAGGTTGGGTTGGTAGTAGTTGTAGGGGATGGATTTGGAGCGTTGGATGGGGGGGAACTCGGTGGTTGGTGAGAGGGGGGAGTCGAACTGCTGTTGCTGTTGTTGTTGCTGCGCGGAGTATAACCCGCGACCGTCGTCGTATGAATTTGGCGCAACGCTCATTCTCCGAATGAACTCCGGGTTGACCTGCATCGACCGCGAGTACATATTGGCCGTAGCCTCCTTCATCGACAACCGCTGCATGCGTTGCGCGCTAAGCAACCCGTCCAAACGTCCCTTCCACAATTTAACCTGCTCCATATTCCTGCACCGCAGCACAAACGACTCGGTCTCCAGACCATCTTTCCAGAAAACCTTCAACTGAAACCGCTGCTCCTCCGCCGAACACTCGTCCATGATACTGTCAATCCGGTCGATGTAGATGTTGCCTTTGAGCTGGTAGCTTGTGGTGTCGATGTTTTTCTTTGATTTGCGCTTTTTGGCAGTGTCTTTGCAGCAGAGGAGGATGGTTTCGAAGAGAAAGAGGTCGAAATCTTTTTCGGCGTCGCCGCTGTTCATGGGGAATCGGTCGCTTAGTAGCAGAGAGCCGAATTCGTTCACGTCCAGATCCTAGGCGCAGGAGGAGTCAGTACACAGTCCCATCCAAGGGTGCATCAACAACAGTTGCAATGGCATCGCACCTTCCAATCCTCAACCCGATCCAAAACATCCTGCTTGATCCGCCTATTCTCCTCCTGCCTCTGCTCTTCATTCACCAAATCGGTAACTCGCTTGATGGCCGCCAGGCCCTCTTTCAACTCCTCCATGTGGGGGTACGTAGCCGGGTCCGAGTATTTTACAAGTTCCTACAAGACCCAATCCGGGGGGTTAGACCCAACACGACCGGGAAAAGATCGTATTTCTACTCCACTTACGTTCAAAAGCAATGGGTATTTACAGACACGCTGTACAGGTTTGATAAGATATGATGGGAGCTCGCGGACGGGGTCCATGTCGGGCACTCGCTGCAGGGTTGCGGCATTCTCGGTGGCGATCTGGATCGCCGAGTGGTAGTTTCCGCAGAAGGGGACGTAGACTGTGAAGGCTTCCTCCTGTTATTGCGCCAACGTGTTAGTGGAGATTCTCAATGTATGATGTTGCGATCTGTTTTCACGTACGTTGGTAATGTACAATTGCCCAATATGCTGCTCTGCGGGCGGCATGCTGAGTGTCGCCTCCATCTGTAGTAAGAACCGTCTTTGGAAATCGAGCAACTCGTCCAGATTGGCGAATAGTTGTAACAGCATGTCACGCGGAACCACGTCCTGGCTTTGCAGCTCTCTTTGATATCGCTGCAAAAAAGAAGATTTAGTTCATCTACACCGATTTCTTCCCCCAATATGCAAACACACGCAGTTGCCTCCCCGCACCTGAAGCTTCTCCAAATCCGCAGCATACGCCCGTTCAGTATTCAGCATCTCCGTAAGGAGTTTGGCGCGGTTATCCTGCGGACCTCCCGTACTTCGCACGGACGGTAACGCGAATGGTAACGGTTTGGGTAGTGGGAAGAGACCCATGTCTTCGATCTTTTGTACCACTATCGAGATGGTGTTCATCAACTACGAAGAGAGGTGACGTTAGCAAGACTGTCGACCATCAACCCATCAACCCGTCATCCACCATTCATCCATCAACCCATTCACCATCACCCACTCACAAACGAGGACGTGGGTGAGGGGAATCTTGCGCCTTCGGCGCATTTGGCGCAAATGTGATGCTCGCTTCGCTCGCTCAGGCTCGCTAACGAACGCAGTGAGGATGGTATTGCGCCGTAGGCGCAATGTGGCTCGCTCTGCCCGCACTCACTGCGTTCGTCCTCGCTGGCGCTCTGTATTACAGTGACTCGCTCCGCTCGCTTCGGTAGCCTTACCTTGACAAACTCATTCGTGTCATCCTTAAACAAGCCCGATATCGTAAACAGCTCCTTCTCCTGTAAATGCAGCTCGCTCTTACACGCGACCAAAAACTCATAGACGGCCTTTTTCGGCGGGGCCCCTGCCTCACCCAATACCGGCACCGACAATCTCTTTTTGGGTCGTAACTGATTGTAAAGATGCAAGAACGGCGTCCCCAAACGAAAACAAGCCCAAATGATTTCAAAGGGCGCAAAAGAGGTTGGATCGGCGACGTACGCGTCGACACCGTTTGGAAAGAGGTAGTGATCGAAGCCAGGGAGGGAGTATAGTTTCTCGATCATCGAGAGGGTTTGTTGGTAGAGGGAGACGGCGGTTGAGGGGCCGGAGGTGCGTTGGGGGAGGGCGATCTCCATGGCTGCGGCGGCGCCGGGCGCGAAGTGACCAGTGGGTAAGTTGGTTCGACAAGGGGATGATTCGTCCTCGGAAGTTTGGCGTCCTTATGGCAACGGCTAGAATCCCCTCCCTCCTCTAGTGGCTCTAGTATCTCGTCCGGTGGATGGTGTCCTCGGGGGTCGAAGGAAGCGAACTGGAACAGTCGAGCAGCGAATGGAAAGGGCAGTCCCAGCGGGGGGTATGGCAGCGAAGCGGAGAGCGCCGACGATAAGCGAAGATAAAGCAGGCGAGCACCACGGGAGGATATTGCGGGGCTGTTGTGTTGTGAGCCTGGGGGGGAGTGTTGTTCCGTTGTAGGCTGTTGTGTAGTAGGTAGTTGCCTTGTTCGTCTCTCTCTCTCTTGCCGTTCTTGCGGGAAGGAGCAAGTCACTCTTTAATTATTGGCCCCTTACGCATAGCATAAGTGCCTTGCGGTTAGGACCACTACCGTACGTGATTCACGAGCGCTAATTACAACGCGCGGCTTCAAGCACCAACACCCAACAACAACTCATATTACAGCGCATGGCCTTTCGACGCAGACGGATGCGGTGCAGGCATCACAGAACTAAAGATCAACAACAAAAAGGCGACGATCGATGGCCTGGAAGGGCGCCTGTGTCGTCGCTAGAAATCGGACGGCTCGGACGGGCTCCCTTTCGCACATGCATGTAGATTGCTGTGGGAAAGTCATCACCGAGCTGCAGACATCTCGATGCAGGCTGTAAGGACTTTCTCCGCCTCATTGAAAGGCAGTTCAGCGCCACGCACTTGCAAAAGGGAGCCTCATTTCGCCAATCATGTTGTTGTTCGCCCATTTCATTGTGGATGGATCCCGAGTCGAAGCATATAGCCGTCGTCGTTGATGTCTAAGAGAACTCGGAGAACTCGGAGATAACTCCGAGCCGTAGAGCCGTAGAGATCTAGGTGTGCATGTGCGCACATTCACAAAACACGTCAATCGCCGTCAATCAAGTTGCTAATTGCCGCCGCTCATTCGACTGGAGCAACAGGTCTATGTCTCTATATGATAAAAACGAAGGCATCGCCAGTATGAATGAATTTGGACAGGCTTTGCACGAAAGGATTGATGTCTTCCCGGGGATCTGGGGCAGTCACAGTCACCTCTTTCGAAATTCGGAGCGTCGTGTTTCAGCATTGCTTTTGGCCGGGGATGGAAGCCCAACATCGAGACGCGCTTAGGCCTTTGGTGCGTTGCGGTGCGCCGATCTGCTGCTACTGTGTCAAAACACAAGACTGGCTATAAGTATCGAAGAAGTGCCAATGTTCATCACGCACCCTGGAAGCCGAGTGCGGCGCACCAACACGGTGACACCAAGTGCGTGGGAGTGGTATTATGAGGGAGGGCCCAGAACGGGAGGGAGGGAATAACGGAAGGGCCCATATGAGCGGAACCTACCAACCCACATCCTTCTCAGCGGGCCACCATCACCCACAGGACCTACCTACGTACCCACCGGCCAGGACCAAGCTATATAACCTCCCACCTGCATCTGCTGCTTTGTCTCAGAAACCTGCGACCCCATCCCCGCAAATCCCCAGTCCGCTGGCGGTCGTTTGTCTTCTTTCCACAACTGCGCGCACCCGTTTTTTTCACTAGGGAAAACTGACAGCGCCGCTTATCATCCCCAGAAACAGCCACTCCACAACCATATTCCCAGGAGTTGGGCATAAACGCATCACATTTCACCAGCACTGCCGATTCCACGATCGCAGCCCCCACATCGAACGAAGTTAGGTTCGAAAATAGGAATAGCAGGAGGAACCCGTGCAGAAGACACCATCACAGCCACAAATCGACGGCATCGTTTAGTCTCCGAGTGTCTACACGATTTAAGCTTGAATCTGAGGGGGTCGTCAAAACGAAAAACGAGGCGTTCACAGTTGGGCTGAGGCACGACATATACCCTGCACTAGACGAGGGAAGGACCCCGAACCGATATTTTCATCTGGAATAACATCGCACAAACGACGATCGTCACGCATATCTTCTTCAGAACTACCTTCTTCAGACTCATATATCTTGTCAATCATGAATCGAAAGACATCTTCCCAGTCAATCGGAAACACTGCCGCTGCCGGTCACGGTGGCGCTGGCTCTGCTCGCGGCGGTCGCGGAGGCGGCGGTTTTGCTAGGTGAGCAATCCTTGATTTGGAAACAGTCCGGGGATCCCCAGAGATCCGTACAGATGTGGTTGAGATGCAGAACGTGCCTCCTTGCTGAACATCTCTTTCGTTCATTTGCGCATCATTAGGGGCGGCAAGAAGTGGCCTGCACCGTCTGCGCAGAAGGGCCCTGGCAAAGCCCAGAACCAGCAGCCGGCTGCTCCGCTCGCCAACAAGGTCTCGAAGGGGCCCGACGCCATGACTCCCGACCAAAAGCGGCAGCATGAAAAGGTCGTTTTCTTCCTGAACCAACTCATCGGGCAACTCGTGCAGGTGGAGACCGAGGCCAATGAGGTGTACCACGGGATCTACGGGATCCGTGAGGTGACCGACCTCGGGGTCACCCTCAAGTGCGCCCGCCTGATCACTAAAGAAAACAAGGAGGGCAACTTTGTCAAAGTTGTGAAAATCCCTCACAAGGATGTGCGCCGGGTCTCTGCCGTCGCGGCGGAAGTGGCCGTAGCTGCCGGCCCGAAGGCCCATGGAGGGGAGCGCGAATGTAAGCATCTTCGAATGTCTATGTATGGCGATGAAGGTCGCTTATAACGCAATGTGTCTAATGCCTTCTCTTCCTTTTCTCGTTCCTTTCCGCTTCCGCAGTCTTGGCTGATACCGCCATCAGCGGCCATGCTGGCGTTGTCAAGGAGCGTACGCTCCAGAAATGGGCTCCAGATGCCAACAATAACCAAGCGCTCGCACTAGAAGATGACAAGGGACGCGGCTCTTCCCACTGGGATCAGTTCGCTACAAACGCCAAGCTCTTCGGAGTGACGAGCGACTTTGATGAGCATCTTTATACCACCAAGGTGGACAGGACTAATCCTGACTTTAAGAAGAGGGAGCAGGAGGCGATTCGCCTGGCGAGGGAAATTGAGCGGGTAAGCTGTCACTGTTGCTCATCGTTAGTCATAGCATCGCCGCCATGATGTTGATGTTGATGTTGATGTTGGTACTGACGGCTGTTTCCTTTCTCTTCATCGTCTTCCTACGCATCAGGGCCCAGTGACGAACTCTCACGTGGCAGAAGAACGTAACATCGCCTTTGCCGGAAGCCAGAACATGGACGAGGAAGACCGCTACTCCTCCGTCATCCGCGGCTCGGGCAAGTACGTTCCCCCCGGTGCGCGCAAGAACTCGGGTCCGTCCCCTGTCCACCACAATCAGCAGCCTCCAGTGCGCGCGTACGCGGCAGCGGCCGCATCTGGGTCCCACACTCAAGGCCCACAGAAGAAATTCGCTGGTGCGGGAGACCAGCAGGCCCTCCAGCACCACTCCGCCAAGCAACAACCGCAGGGGAACAAGGCCGCAGCAGTTCCCAAGCCAGCCTCACCTCCAACATCGCCTACCCGCGTGCAAGGCCGCATCTCGCCCTTGAAGTCCCCGGAGCCTAGGAAGCCTTCCCCACCGCAGCAGGCCGGTCGTCGCGGGAACTCTCCCCCCGCACAAGAACATCACCAACAGAACCAGTCCCATGTCCAGCAGCACTCGCAAGCCAAGAAGCCGCCGGCACTGAGCGCTGCCGCCATTGCGAAGCTGCAGCAGAAGACCGGCCAGGCAAAGATCGCTGGCCCGCCGCGTGCTGAGCCCAAGCCTGTAGATCGTAAGTACCTCGCCCTTCGTCTATGGTCGGCCTACATGTAATATCATACTCATACTGCTCTTTATCCCTTTTCATCCACTTCCCCACACACAGCCTCTGAAGTGAACAAAGTCTTCTCAGACTTTGCAAACAACGAGCGCGCCGCCCTGGCCAAACGTCGTGCTGAGGTGCATGAGCGTGAAAAGTCGACCACGATGCAACAGTTCAAGGCGTTTTCTGCCACATTCAAGGTATGCACACCGGTCATTCTCTCCATATATCTGTAGATGAACAGTCGACATGTTCCGGCATATCACGCTGTCACGCCCAGAGTCCAAAGAGACGGGCGAGCGAAGCGAGCGCACCTGACGTCTACTGCATGGGAGCGGTTTCAAATTGCAGTGAGCTAAGCGAGCGCTCCCGGCTAGTACATCACACTCCTCGATGTCTTTTGTTCATGGTCACTAACGGAATGTATTTTGACTTCTCGTCCCTTTCACAGGTTCCCATGCCGATTCCGGATGATATGGTGGCCCTGCTCCACAAGGGCGGATCACCAAAGCCGGCGCCTGCCAAGGTTGAGCCGCCCAAAGTCGTTGAAAAGCCCGCTGCGCCTACCTCTGCTACTCCCCCAGCGCATACTGCAGTCAAGGCAGCTGCGACACCGACCCCAGCCCCAGTAGTTGCCAAGACCGAGTCGGCTGCATCGTCGGTCAAGCCGGCGGCTCAGAAAACGGAGCCAACCAAGACGGCTCCTTCCGATAAAGTAAGCGAAAAGGCACCATCCGTCACAGATGCCCTCAGTGAATCGGGGAAGACTGTTGGTGCAGGCGATGACCAATCTGAGAAGGGGTCGGTCGCAACCGTAGCGACTGCCGCCACGGCGCCCGTTAAAAAATCTACATTCAAGTTTAACGCGGACGCCGCAGAGTTCACCCCCACCTTTGCTCTCGGGGGCTCAGGTGCCCAGGCTACTCGAGACGGCAACTCGAGCGGGGAGCGGAGCCCCTACACCAACTCGAAGCGGATCGGTGGCGGCAAAGGCGGGAACGGGTACAACAACAATAAGGGATTCGGAAACAAGTACCCAAAGAACCAGCTCTCGCCCCGGGCTCAAAACTTTATGCCACCCTACGGAGAAGAAATGTACGGTGGCCACCCGCAGGGCATGGACCCATCGTTTTACCCCTACAACATGCCGACTCCGTACGGTTACCGCCCTGGCATGCGGCCCTTTGCTCCCCCCGGCATGAGCATGCCGCCCGGTGCTTTCATGCACCCGAACGGTCCGCAGTTTGCCCCCGGGTTCGCGCCCCCAATGTACCCGCAGCACTTTGGACCGCCTCCACCCCACCACCCCATGCATCCGGGCCACCACCCTGCCGGACCGTTTGTCGCTGTCACACAGGGTGGATACGTCGCTGTATCTCAGGGTGGGATGACCAGCCCGGTGCAAGCGCCATTCGGCATGCGGTCGCCCAATCAAATGTTTGCCGGGCCTGGCATGATGCAGGGAATGATGCCGCCCATGGAGCTGATGCAGGGCCCGATGGGGCCGATGATGGTGCCTGGACCGATGGGCCCGCCGCACATGGGACAGGTCTGGGGCGGAGGTGAGCGTGGGGGTAATCACCATCATCAACACCAGCAACAGCACCCGCCCCCGCACACTCATGCTGGGAATGTGGCGGCGGAACCGACACCGTCCGCCACCACGGCCCCGCCTGCGGAGGAGACGCCTGCAGCTACGGAGTGAGTGAGGGTCGCGTTTGTTCCCCCCCCCTTCCCCCCCTTTTTTTTGGTGTTGTGTTTCCCATCGGACTGTATAACCATCCATGTGTACGGTCGCCTTCTTCGTTTGTTTGGGAGCTATGGAATACGAATCTTCCGAGCCTGTGTTGCGTATTTGGATGTGAGGTGTCTTCCGCTCGTTGTGCTTTTCTTGAGTTGGATACGATTTGTCTGCGCAGGTCACCTTCCCGGGTAGACTTCCCTTTCCCCTAAGATTTCGGCCGCTCGGCCTGGAGGGAATCCCGAAGCCCTGGAGAAGGGACGGTTTGGCAGCCAAGCCGAGATTCCCAAACCGCCACACCAATCTAGCATCACGGGCAGCCGTGGAACCCCGTCCTGGGTCGAGATCCCATTGCTACGTGCCTGATGAGGGAGGTTGCCGCGAGGGTTGTGGGTGTATATGTAGACCTGACCGGTTGCGGGGTGGACACCCGGACGAGATGAGACAAAGTGGAGAGAAAGCCCCGCTCAGATACATGGCATCCCCCAATCATCTCGGTCGTTTCCAATTTCGGCAATGGAATTTTCGAGATTCTCACTCCAGAAATGACTGCCCAATGCTACATGCTCGTGTCATTGGGTCGTAATACAGTACATGCCCCCGCATACAACGGGGGTTATATAATCCTACCGCCATTTATGCAGAGCGTCGCAGTTGGGCATCTTCATCTGTTCCGCGGCGCGCAGACGTTTCTCGTCGACTTTGAACCACCCGTAGGCTTGGTTGATGCGGAACCGCCGCTGTTCTTGTTCTTGTTGGCAGTAGCTTTGCAGGTGGCGGCGCCACTATGCATCAGGGACGAGATGGATGTGTGAGTTATGCGCGTGAATCCGCAAAAGCATGCAAGATCCTGTTTTGGACATACCTCCTGCTCAACATCGTTCTCGAACCCCCTCACCTCCTGCGGCCGTTCCTTGGGCGCCCTCCACCTATTCCATTGCCTCGAGTTTACATAATACTGCACCTGTCTCGGTTTCGTTTTGCGCTCCATATCATACGTCTGCGTGTTCATGAACGAGAACGTGGGGGCCGGGTCGGATATGCCTCCGGAAGAGGTGAGCGTTGAGAAGAGGGAGGAGAGCAGGGGCAGGATGAAGATCATGAAGAAGGGGAGGAGGCGCGCGAGGTTGAGGAGGGGCTCGTCTTCGGTTTGGGCCCGTTGGTGGTGGGCGCGGGTGCGTGCGGCAGAGTGGAAGGGGTGTTGGCGGCCGAAACCGGGGCCGGACGTGAAGCTGTGCATTCGCATGCCTGTCGGGTACGTACAAACGTTTCAGTCATTGCTTCTCAGTCCGAAAACCGTATGACATCCCACAACCGGTCGAAATGGCCCCCATCAGTGAATCGATTTCTCACCTGGCCCACCCTGACCTCCAAAGAACATGTTGAAGATATCCTCCGGACTAATCTCCGACTCGAACTGGTTTCCGTAGAACCCATTCATTCCGCCCCCACCGCCTCCTCCGCCACCTCCAGCGCGCGAGCTGTCTGAATCTATCCCGAACCGGTCGTATTTCGCTTTTTTATCTGCGTCGCCTAGCACTGCGAAGGCGTGTCCGATTGCTTTGAACGCATCGTCGGTCCCTGGAGCGCCGCATTTGTCCGGGTGAAATTGCAGTGCCAGCTGTGCGGGGAGAGAGAAATAACGTCAGCATCGCGTTGGATAGAGCCAAGGGAAGCGAGGGATGGTTTGGCGGTGGTTGAACGATACCCTGCTTGCTCCGCTCGCGACAAGGATGTTGAACTGCGATGGGCGGAGCTGCTCGCTTCGCTCGCACAAGATGCAACGCTCGCCGTTGCTCGTATCGCCCGTTCTCACCTTCCGATAAGCCTTCTTAATATCCGAATCCGAGCAACCCTTCTTCAAATCCAACACAGCATAAAGATCCCCCTGCGCTTTACAAGCCTTAATCCTCTTAATCCCCTCAACCTGGTCCGGCGTGAAGGGTCTAGACGGCGCTGCTTCCGCTTTCGAACTGTCGGCTGCTGAAGCTGAAGCTGAGCGTCTACGTGCTGTGGATGCTGCGTCACGGGCGGAGGAGGATGCGGTGGGTTTTGTTGAGGTTGAGTGGGTGCTGAGGAATGACAGCTACGAGGTAAGGCATTTAGAGAGGGAGATCAGAATGCGTGCGAGGCGGAGTAAACAGAGCGGTTTTCTGACAACCGCCCGCTCCTTGCTGCACTTGGCTCTGGAACAAGAGTGAAAGGAGAACACTCAACACCTACCCAAGACATTCCCTCTGGAGTTTCACAAAGGGCGATAGACTTGTTTGCGAATTTGAGAGCGGACTGAGTGTTTCCGGCCTTGAATTTCTCCTTTGAGATTTCGAGACAGCGTAAGGCCTCGTCTCTGTTCATGGCTGTGTGCGAGGTTAGGCGAGTGGGGGAGAGAGTACTGTAAGGGCGCGAGAGCCGAGCCGAGGTGTATGTGGTGGGTGGCTGCAGGGAGTCGTGGGAATAGTGCTGAGCCCGTCCTACTCAGGGTGACGAATGCCGCGGTGACTTTTGCGGCCAGGAGGGAAGACGAGACGTGGCAGGCAGGCAGGCAGGCGCTTCTCGCTCGACTCTCGACGCGTTGATCAGGCGAGAGAGATAATACAAGAGGGGAGAAGATGTAGACACGTACACAAAGCACGGATCTTATCCCCAAACGAGGCAGTCCAGAGGCGGCCATTTGGCGGTGGACTCAAAGGAGACGGCCTGCGGATGGACAAGGGCGCTGAAGAGCTAAGGGTTGGGAAGAGTGTGGGCCTTTTCGGAGAACAACTCAATCCCCGCTTTGTTGCATGGAGATGTACGCAACCAAAGTGCGGGCGAAATGCTTTTCACAAAACTGTCTGAGGTTGGTTGAACGAACGAAAGCATAACGAGAAGTAGCTCGGAGGATGCATGGCCTCCGCCGTGGGCTGCGTAGAGAAAACAGAAACCTTAGAATCAACGCGCTGCCAATCTGCACGCAACCCGGTTCGAATATCTATCTGACCTCCAGAGCGAATCATCACACGTCCGGATGTCTGTGGGTTACCCTCATCCCTTTGCGGTCAGTTTTGGTGGGGTAATGCCATAGCTTATGTAGATGCATATAATGCCTCCTGCGATCCATCTATATGCACTGCTCCGGATTGGCGCCCCAGAAACAGGCATGTGTCGTGCACGGCTGTTCACCAATTCAACATATATGCCTTTTGTTGTCCATCATCCCATTCGAGGTCTCGATGAAACCGCAAGGTTTGAACACGTACATACACTGAGTGAGTCTGGTTGCAAGTGGTTGCTCTCGAAGTGCCCAAAGAAGGTTGAACGAACGCGGTGACGTGAGCATGCTGGGAACGCGCCCCCACCGTCAAAGTCGGAAGAGCTAGCTGAGTACTCCCTCCAAATACGCACTCCCTCCCAACTCCCTCCCTCCCTCCCTCACCAACACCCACACACCCACCCGTCACCAACCCACCGTCCAAAATGTCAACCCTCTTCTCCTTCGGCGCCAAATCCCCCACCCCCCCAACCGACCCCGACTCCCCAGCGCGCACAGACTCCCCCTCCCCAACAACAGAGGACGAAACACCCCTCACAGAATCCAAAGAAGCCGAAGTCGGAACCCAGACCAGCTGCATGCATTTCCTGGTGAAGAGTAAGCTGGGCTGGATTGCGTGGAAGGAGATGGAGGCTACGCTTTATTCGTAAGTCTTGGGATACCACGGGGAGAGGGGGGGGTCAGATGGGGGTGTTGATGGGGTCTGTTTAGGATTTTTGAACGGGGGTTTGGAGCGACGAGGTGCCAGATGAAGTTTGCGGAGCTGAGTGAGGACTTTGGGTTTGAGGTTGAGGTTCCGAATTCGGAAGTGGTAAGCGTGCTATTCCCCATGGAGCGGCCTCGAAGAGTTTTCTTCTTAATCTTTTGCGAACTGGTTGTGTAGGAGAAGTTTCAGAAGTTTTTCAAGGGGAGGGCCCTGGCGCAGGAGATCGGTGGGTTGTTTGGATTTTTTGACGTGTGTTGGGATGTAGATGCTGGGAAGCGCTCAACATGCCCGCTTGTTTTCTCGTTGCAGATATGTTGCACGGCATCGACCCGGTCGTCAACTCACGGCGCGATGTAAGAGCCAGCCATCGGCGTTTTCGTTCAGAGGCCTCTGCTTCTGGACCTGGAATTTGTGCTGATGAAGCATTCATGATTTGTTTATGTAGGCGAAACTCACGAATTTGAAAAAGACCATGGGGTCCACTTTGCAGGAGAGTGATGGTGAGTGGCCAACCAGCAAATATTGGATAGGCCATGCCGCAGAATAGGCCCACCAATCGCACCCTCTCTCCCCCAGTCCGCAGTTCAATCGAAACCGTCCTGCACCGCTTCGCCGCCCTCGAAGCCGTTGGCGCCGCCCGCACGAAAGAAGTCGCCGCGATCCAATCGCAATTCAGCGACCTGCAATCCAACATGCTTAAGAAATTCGACGACACGCTGCGGCGGTTCCAGGAGAAGAGCGAGAATGCGGTTTGGAGGAGGATGAGGGAGGTGGAGAGGGAGATTAGGGAGAGTGTTGCGGAGGATTTGGCCATTTTGAATATGAATCCGATGATGGGGAAGGAAGCGGGGGGGTCGCCTGCTACGCCGACGCCGGGTGGGGCTGTGACGCCGACGGCTGCGGTTGGAACGCCTACTGCTGCGACGCCGACGAGTGCTGCGGTTGGAACGCCTACTGGTGCGATACCGGCCGACACCCCCCTTGCAGCGACGACGACGCCATCACCAACAACCTCCTCGCAACCCACCCCCGACCTCACAACCGAGCTCGCCCAACTCCGCACCCAACTCGAATCAGCCCAAACCCAAATCGCTTCCCTCCTATCCACCAACACCACCCTTCAATCCCAACTCACAACACTGACCACCGCCCTCGCCACCGCGGAAGCCGAAATCACCCGTCTCAAGTCCCTCCCGACCCCATCCTCATCCGACACGGAGCAACAACTAACCGACCTCCGCGACCAAATCACAGACCTCCGCGCCGTCCGCGACGGGCTCCGCGTACAGCTCCGAGAAGCGCAGACGGAGCGGGACTCGTTTACGAGCGCTTATGTTAGTTTGCAGAGGGAGGTAGAGATTTTGAAGGCGGCGAAGGGTGGGATGGGCGGTTCGAGGAGGGGGTCGAGGGAGGTGTTGGGGGAGGAGGTGAAGGAGCATTTGGTTGAAATTCCGGTGGAATTGGGGATGGAGCGGAAGGAGGAGGCGGGTGCGCCGCCGGAGCTTGTGGTGGGGCCGGAGACGACAGTTTTGGGGGTTGGGGATGCTGCGGTGGTGAAAGGGGAGGAGGAGGACCCATGGAGGCAGTGACGGTTGAGGATGAGGACTTACAAACTTTTGAAGCATTGCTTTTGGTTGAATTCTACAGTTAGAGCATCGTTTGCACGTTCTAGAAGATACATGTACAGTACCCGCTAAGCCTGTGCTGTGGGTTGTTCGTAGGACTGTCAGGGCTGTCCCGGTGATGTCTAGGATGTCTGGGCTGGTGCAGCGGCGATGTCTTGCGTTGAAACGGGAAGTGGGGAACGTGGAGAACACAGGCTCTTCAAGGTCCGACATTCGCTCTTGACAGACACACAACACACTCCTCTCTCGCTTATAAACACTCCCCAGCATCCCGCAATGGCCCTACTACGCAACGTCACTCGGTGCATGGAGAAGATTGCGCCCCTGAAGATCGCAGAACACGCGTGGGACAATGTGCGTTAAGAGTTGCCAACCATCCTCCCCCAACTCGCATCCCAAACCACCCCCACTCTCCCACTAGGTCGGTCTCCTGATCGAAGCGCCCTTCCCGCGCCCCGGCCGCACCGTCTTCCTCACTATCGACCTGACCCATCCCGTCCTCTCCGAAGCCCTCGCAAACCCCGACATCGGGGTCATCGTCTCCTACCACCCGCCGCTGTTCAAGTCCTTCAACCGGCTGACGCTGAAGGATGAGAAGCAGAGCATCGCGTTGAAGTGTGCGGCGTCGGGTGTGAGCGTGTATGCGCCGCATACGTCGTTGGATAACTGTGTGGAGGGGATTAATGATTGGTTGGCGAGGGGGTTGGGGGAGGGAGAGACGAGGGTTATTAATGAGATGGAGGGGCCGCCGGAAGGTGGGTTGTTGGGAGGGAGAGGTTTGGGAGTTGGGACTCGCGTTGATGGTGGGATTGGTATCTTGTTGCAGGTCAGGAGGGATGTGGATCCGGACGGATTCACACACTAAAGCAGCCTATCCCCCTTAAGACTCTTGTTGAGCGGGTCAAGAAACATCTCGGGTTGGCCCATGGTATGTGTACACTGCTATCAAGTAAGATCCGCATGGTCACTCACATCGTCACTGCGTAGTCCGCCTCGCGACCGCGCCAGGTCAAGAATCCAAAGATGTCGCAACGGTCGCCATCTGCGCCGGGTCGGGGGCAAGCATCTTGGGCGGAGTGAAAGCTGACGTTTACTTCACCGGTAAGGGTTCCCTTTCGCATTCGCACGGTCGGCATGATAGTCTTATTCATTGCCCTTTCGCGCCTCAAACAGGAGAAATGTCGCATCATGAAGTGCTTGCCGCTTTAGCCGATAACACCAAGTACGTGATTATGCCCCTTTCAGGTTTTTGCGCACATGTACTCTACCGGCTTGAACGCTTATCTGTTTATTTCCATTTTACGTAGCGTCATTCTCTGCGAGCATACGAACACAGAACGAGGCTTCCTCTCCAACGTTCTACAGCCCCGACTGCAGAAGCTTCTCCGCGAGGAAGACGAGGGCGCGGTGGTGGTCTGCAGTAAGGTGGATAAGGATCCGCTTGTTGTTGTTTGAGGGGCCCGTACTGGGTATGCTATCCCCAGTGGTGTGAGTGGGCTGTGAGCTTTTTGGGAGGGTTGTGTGCTTGTCACAACTGTGATCGTTTGCAAGTGGTCCATCGAGGGAGGCGGGCTTGCAGCGAGACAGGATCCACGAAGGCCTGCCCGTCTGAGCGAGCCTGTGTTGTGGGTGAACATCATGGATGGGAATAAACGGGTTTGCATATAGTTGGACCCTGGCCATCAGCCGCAGTTCACATCGGCGTATGTACTAATAGTCTGAAATCGATATCGTAGTGTGATTATGTAGACCTATCTCAACCCCTCTCTGCGCTGTACAAGTAGATACCCATATCATACCCATGAGCGTCAGAAGTCTGACCTCCTCACTAGCCTTCGCTATTTGGATGTCAGCATGGAAACGCGCACCCCTCGCAACCTCGCCATTTTCAAGAGCCAAGGAACTGAACCAGAAATTGACCACAGCATCTCAACGCAAACCAAAAATGCTCTCCACCCAAGGCCACTGGCTCCCAACCCTAGACGCCCAAATCCAGTACGCCCAATCCAACCAGCACCTCATCCCGCGTCCTCCTCCCTCAACAACAACATCGCAGAATAACCGCACTAATCAAAACGTCGAATGCTCATTACACGGCCATCTCCGCGACACGGCCCTTCAGAAACTGTTTGAGCGGCTCGTGGCTGTTACGGGCGATATTGCGTTCGAGGGACGGGAGAACTTTTGGGAGCATGAGATTGGGTGGAGGCCGGCAGGTATGGGTGGCGAGATGGATGATCTTTGGGGGATGTCGGGGTACTTGGGTCGGGTGTGCATGGTTGGGAAGTGGGTTGATGGGAAGAGTGTAGGCTCATGGTTTTGGTCATTTCGATTTCGGTACTTGAACAGTTGAGACGCCGTTTGGCGCTGGACGCAACGATGACGTCCCCGTATTCCTACGGTCGGAGATCCTCGGGCCGCAGAAGGAGTTTCTGACGTTACATAAACGCCAATGGTGAATATTTCCGCCTCATATGTTAGGGCTCCCCAGCACATCTCTAACACCCCGCTTCCGCATCTAGGGTCCTCTGTTTCCGCGGCGCCCCCGAACCACCCAAACCCGGCGACGGCAAACGGGCGACGCAGCGGGTCATCTACGAGTCGCGGCTGAAGGGCGATGCCCTCAAGTACATGGAGATGGTGGGCTACACGTACGGTGGAGATTTGCCGTCTCGCGGGGTGCTGCTGGGTGAGCCCGGGCTTACGTTGTGTGTGTTAGGTTCAACTTTGAGTTCACGCGCCGGGGATATGTATTCTGGTATAGGAGTATACGGATCCTTATCTACCGGGTGTACAAGGTAAGGAGTCTTTGCATCGCGAAAGCCCATGTTCAGTGTCTCACCGTCCACGTGCAGCTTGAGACCCGCAACAAAGTAACCTCGGCAGTCCCTATTGACGACACAAACGACGGGTGGACGGTCGAAGCCATTGCGCCGCTGACGACTGCCGAACGGGTGCCGGAAAAGGTGCATGAGTTGCATGCGTTTGCGGGGTTGATTGCGGGGTAAGGGGCTACTGTTTCGAACGCACTTATGCCTTAAGCGAGGGATGAATCCCAGCATGTTCGGGTCCGTATGTTGACGATCGTTTGTTCATATGCGTGCAGTTTGGTCAAGTTGGTCGTGGTAGACCATGCCGTCCTGCGTAGTCGTCTCTACTACAAGTCTTGACACCAACCTGGGATTCGGCCTTGTCTCCCGCTGGACAACAGCGATCCGCCCCTCGGTCTCTGAGGACGTAGTACAGGGATACGGCGTAATCTGCCCGACCGCAGCCGTTGACGTACGAGAAACGAACGCACGGACTGGACTTCCGCCAAAACGGCTCACAAAGATCTTGCGGACCGTTCACACTGTGGTTGACGACGTGCTGGACGGCGAAAAGCGGAAAGCATGTAGGGAAATGAGAGATTCACACGGCGTACTCATGTGCGATTCGCGTCCCCTCAAAGATCTAGCCGACCAGGACTTGATCCTACCGCTGCGCTCGCAACACCTCTTGTGGAAAACGCAACTCCGCAAATGCTACATTCCCATCACGCACTTTTTTTTGGGATCATCACTATCCATACAACTGTTCTGAAAATATAGAACGCGCGCTAGACTGCGTAGGAAGCTACGCATGGCATGGATGGCGAGCAAAGGACCATACACCATATTCTTGCTCCTCTGCACGATTGGTGCCCATTTGGTTGACTCCTATGTCCAATCTATGAAATTTGAGGCGCTGAACGAATGAAGATGGTATGCACTATGCACAATTTCCGGGCAAGCGTCTCGGCACTATAGCGATCTGTTATCTCGATTGAGCGCCCGGAAGTCAAACGTCAGGGATGAGAAGCGAAAGCGGTGACGGTGCTCGCTGCTCACTTCCACAGGCTTCATAGATATGAATCAGCAATTAAGTCGAGGACCAAAGCGGCGATGGCCGCTCCTGGCGCTTGTGAAACGGCTTGCCGTGCTGGTCGATTGACCGTGCGGGTGCGGACCTGTCCTGAGATCTTCCTTCGACGTCTTGAACACACGCACTGTGACGAAATCAGGGCTCGTCTTGTCGTGTTGCCTTTCGGTCTCCATCCCCAGCCATCAATAAACCGACATCTGGAATCATAACCGAACCGAGTCCCTGGAATGACGCGCACCCGGCAAACTGGTTCACTGACGATGTTAAACCAACGATGGCAACCCCCAATGTTTAGCGAAGCGTGCACCTGCATCCCTACTCAATACTGAGGGAGCTGAGCTGTTTGGATGGGGGAATGTGATGGCCATTCCTAAACATTTCGAAAGCATCCGGAGCGGAGGAAGAGTGGTATATATTGACGTCCGTGCGGAGAGATGGCCCTCCCGTTCCGTCGCTTGCTTGCCTTCAGAGTACCAAAAACCGCCCACCCTCCTACCGGATCCAGGAGTCGACTCTTCTGTCATAAATACCCGCAATCTCCAAACAGCAGCTACGCCATACTATCCCCTACGCTACTTGACACACCGAAATATCGGCCTCCGAAAACTCGGCGTCGCATTCTCCGACCGTCCCAAACACACGACTTCCCCAAACTTGATCTCCTCCCTTAACACCTCCTCGAACCCCTCCGGCCTCAATTGTATGTTCCTCATATTCGCCTTCATCTCCTCATCCAGCCGGCTATCCGCCTTCGTATACGAGTCCCACGGCTGCGGCTCAAGTAGCAAGACACCGCCATCGTTGAGAGAGTGGTAGCAACGTTTGAAGAAGCGGCGGAGGCCCGCGTCGCCGTGGTTGAGGTGGATCCATTTGCTGATGGAGAGGGCGAGGATGACGTCGTATTTGTGGGTCGCGAGGGAGGGATTGGGTTCGTGGAGCCAGTCGCCGCAGCGGAATTTGATGTTGGCCGGGAAGCGCGGTGGGGGCGGTGGTGGGGCGCCGTATGGGTTTGATGGAGCATCGGTGCTGATTGGCTCGTCGACGATGGGGAGTGGGCCAAATAGATGCGTACAGCTCTGCGGGAAATAGTCAACGTCCAATGCATGCGAGTCCACTGGCTCTGCAACCCCATCCCTGTCCACGTCCATAGCATCTCCCCTATCTGCATCGGCATCCTGCTCCACCGTGCTCTCTCGCTCCGGCTGGACCAACGACGCCCGATTTACCACACCCGCCCTTGCCTTCCTCACCAACAGCGGGTCGATATCGACGCCCTCCACCTCCGCCGCGCCGCAAAGCATCGCAATCTGGATCGCCATGACTCCCGCGTTGCATCCGACATCGAGCACCTTTTTGCCCCTGAACCAGTCCTTGTCGAACAGGGCAAGCCGCGTGTCGACCCGCGCGCGGTGCGTCCGTTTGCGGTAGTAGCGGTCGTAGTTGCCGTGGGAGTGGGTTGGGCGGACGCGGGGTTTTGCAACAGTTGTCGAGGGCGCTTTTTGTTGCTGCTGCTTTGAGACATGCTGCTCTTGGGTATCTGCCGGTTGTTGTAAGATCGTTTGGACCGGCGGTGGTGCGTGATCAGTAACTACTGCAACGGGCCGAGGCACAGCCGGCGGCGGGGTGACCACAGGCCTGACGCTAGGTATAATTGAAGAAGCAGCCCCTGGTAGCCGTCGTTTCACCTGTCTCGGTACGAGAGCAATTTGTGATCGGACGCTCCCGGCTCCAAGAGTGCGGGGATGTTGCCCATGGGCGTGAGGAGGATGTCTGCCGGAAGGGAGGTAGGTCGAAAGCTGCGGGTCGTCCCAATGAGCTAGGTAAGGGTTCTGCTTGGGTGGCGGTGGCGACGGCGGTGGTACTTCTTCTCCCATCATTGTTGTCTCTTCGGCGGTCCGTTGGCAGTGTTGTCGCGGCAACAAGCAGACAACCTGGAATCAGTCTTCCATGTCTTCCATGTCCACGTTGTACAAGCATCCCCACGAAAGCGTCCAACACCCCAACGAAGCCGTCCAGAAACAAAAGCCCGCTACCATGCCACCCCTCCCCGGTTCGACTCTCGACAACCAAACCCACCCCATCCCCGCTCTCCCGGGGCACCACCTCTTCCATCGTCCCACCAACACCTTCGCCGACCACCTCCTCCTCACCCGCGCATTCCTCACCGGCACACTCACCTCCTCCGCCACGCAATTAACCCCGCTCGCATCCGAATCCACCCGCATCCTCCCTCACCTGCTCGCGATGAACAGCGGCGGGTACATGTCGGTTAGTAGCCAGCCTGGGATGTGGGAGGACGGGAGGCGGCAGAAGGCGTATGTGGAGGGGTTTATTGAGCGGGGGTGGTGGGAGAGGTTTGGAGGGCGGGAGGGCATGGGGAGGGTGGGGAGGGTGGGGTACTATTCCGTGAGGGAGGTGCAGGGCGGGGACGGGATGATAGTGACGAATGTCGGGGAGGAGGGGGATGCAACAGCAAGGGATGGGCATACGCATCCCGATCCTTCGGGGTCGTACATCGTAACGCAACGGCTCACGGACCCCGAGGGCGATTGGATGGACTGCACCCGTGTCTACTTCCACGACGACCTGCAGGAGACGATGACGCTGATGCGGCCGCGGTACCACGACCCGGGGCGGTTGCTGCAGTGCGTGTTTGCGGCGAGGGAGGGCGGGAGTAATGAGCTGTTTGAGGTGCTGGTGGAGGTTTTCAAGGCGCCCTACCCGATCATTGTCCAGCAGGCTTCAGGATCCGAGCATGGTGCATAGGGACGACCGGCTGTCGTTTGGTATTCAGTGTGGCATTATGCCATCGGTGTGCTTTTTCGAGCCATACCCATTTACAAAATATACCCATCTACGTACGTAAATCGAACGGGTGTCGCCAAACGCCGGCCAATGATCCACCCCGCAAAATCGCTCTCGGAGCATCCCTTCCTCACATATCAACCATATTCTCCATCTCAACAATCTCGCCCCACAACTCCCTATAAACCGACAAAAATCTGCCCATTTGCGCGTTCCCCGCTTGCGGATACCCTCCCAGGAGCAGGTGGTCATCCGAATGCGACGAGATGAGTCCACGGTCCTCGAACGATTTAAACACGTTGAGGAAGAGGGCTTTGTCGTTGAGGGCGAGTGAGGCTTCGAGGAAACGGGGGGCGGTAGGATGGGGGAGATTGCGGGAGATGGCGTAGCGGAGGGCGTCGAGGACCTGTGGGTGGGGGGGGGGGGGGGGGGGGGGAGAGAGTGGGATGGATGAGATACCATTGGGGAGATGCGAAAGGGGTCGTATTGGGCCCCCGGCATGAAACACCACACCCCACCTGTCCCCGTCCAAGTAAAACCTCCACAACCTCTTCCTCCTCCCCCAACCTCTTCAGCATGTCCAGGCCCAGCTGCGCAAACGGCCTATACTCCCCCTCGCGTTCCAACAGCAGCCGCGCGACGTCGATCGAGTCCTCTACCACATTGTACTGCACGTATTGGTGAAGCTCCGTGTAGCGTTTGGAGCGGAGGAGGAGAGTGGAAAGGAGGGCGTGGAGGGCTGGGAGGGCCGGTTTTGTGGGAGGGAGGGAGGAGAGGTAGAGGATGAGGGTGTGGGTTAGGTAGGGGGTGGATGGCGTCTGGATTGATGGGGCATGCAAGAGTTTTATGTGGATTAGTGAGCTGCTGTGAAACGTGGATCTGAATGTAGCTCGTCTGAGAGTAACTGTTTTTACCTCCTCCTCGGCCAAGACCGCAAACACGTTCGCATACATCAGCTCCTGGAAACAATACGGAAGTCTCGAGGGTGATAGCTGTTCGTCCACTCCTGCATGTACCCGAGCTAGAAACAAACCGAACAAGGGGGAAACAGTCAGCACACGACGTCGCTTTCAAAATCCTCCATGAACAAAACGCGCTTCGTCCTCACCCAAAGAATTCCTACTCCCCAGCGTCCCATGCGACGTAGATCGTCTCGATATCGTCTGCATCCCGTTCGCCAACGAGCTAATCGAATCCACAGACGCATGCGTCGGCAGCCTACAACCATTGCAAACATCATCAGCACCGCAATTCATCACACCGCTTCCCCTCAAAGAGCACCAACGAAATACGCACTCCCTTTCCCCCCCAGCCGCCCCAATCAACCCAAACACCACCCTCAACACCCCCACCCCAACCTCCCGCCTCATCATCCCCAGCACCCTCCTTAAAACCAGCCCCGTGACTTCCCCACCCTCCCTCCTCAACAAAAACTTCACAATCTCCACATCGGTAGCCGAATCCTCCATCGCGGTTATGATTGATTCGAGGTTGAGGTGGATGGTGTAGAGGATTTGGCGGGTGGGGAGGAGGAGGGAGAAGGGAGGAATTGGGTGCCATTCTTCTGTGAATACTAGAGGGAAGGTTGGTACGTTTCTAATAGCGGGAGGTAGGGAAGGGGAAAAGGTGGACTTACGGTCGTCTAGGGAGGAGTCGTCGTCGGTTTGCGGGAGGGATGTGTGTTTGGCGGTGAGGAGGGGGAGGGTGAGGTCGTGTTTGAGGTCGATTATCATGTAGTTCTGAATCCAAAAAAAAAGACCGCCATCGTTGAGTGACGTGCGAGGACTGAGATGGCTTTTGCATATAGCATGCAATACCTTGGTGACGAGGTTATGAACAACCACCAAACTATCCACCACGCTCGCAACGAAGCTGCCCCGCGCATCCAACTGGTACGTGATCGGCTTATGCGGACCGGATTTGGTTATCCGGTACAGCGCCAGTGTCGGCGTGGGCGTCGTCAAGTCGAAGAAGCCGCAGAACAACCTCCCATATCTTTTCCAAACATAAGATACCGTGAGGCGTCTTGGAAAGAAGAGAGGGGATGAAGGAGCAAGCACGCACTTACATCGTCATCAGAACAACCTGCTTCCGCGTCACCTGCGCACTCACCCCTTGATTCGCATTCGCCGGCTGCAGCGTCATCTGCACCAGCTGGTCGCACACCGCGTCGGGGCGGAAGTAGAACAGGCGGAGCGCGGAGGGGCCAATGGAGGCGACCAGGACGTGGTGGTCTGCCTACGCCACCCCAATCGTCAGTTGTGCACCGATGCCCGATCATCGCGGGATGAGAAACACGAAGCTTACCCAGTAGCTATACCAATTCACCCTCACCCCGACCGTTTTCTTCAGGACCAGCTTCTGCTCTCTGTTACTGTACTACGAACAACATCAGTGCCCCGCAATTCCACCCTCTCCGTTTCCCCTCTCTTCACGGTTGTCTGACCTGACCTGGTACATATGCAACCCCGTCCCCCCGACAACCACCAACTCCCCCGCAAACGTCCACTCGAACCCAAGCACTGCATCGGAAGAATTGGCGTCGCGGAGGATCTCCTGCACCGGCACCGCATTTCCACCCGTTGAGCTCACGTCTACTATCTCCTGAATGCGTCGTTCCCATTCAGCCCTCAGCTTGCCAAAAATGAGAGATCACGCCCGAATGATGCCATCGCTCACCAACATCTTCGCACTCCTCAAAACACCCCACAACCTCCCCCCAGAATCCCATTTCGCGTCCCGGATCGCTCCCTTGTGTTCCAACTCCACTTGCAGACCCCCGGGTACATTTTCCTGGGGGGGGATGCGGATTTCATGGTCGTCGCGGATGGTGATGATGGAGGCGCGGTGGTGGTCGAAGAGGAGGGCGCTGAGGCTGGGGTCCGGGGGGTGGGTGTGCCATGTTGTGTTGAGGGTTAGGGGTTGGGACATGAGGGATCGGGTTGTGTGATGGGGGTGATGGACTTTGTGATGCGAGCAAAGCACTGGGGTTCGATGGAAGACGGAAAACGACGTCGCCCTCTTTTCGCGTCCTTCTCTCGCTCGATCTCTCGATCCCAGCCAAACTGAGGGCCACAAACGCTCACAGAAAGCGTACAGTACATGGCACAGAACACTCATGAACGACATCCCCAAAGCCGCACAGTGCTCACATCAATGGACAGAAAAAAAAACAGATACAGATTACAGCCAAAACTACGTAGCTAACATAAGAAACAATAACACTGACAGAATGATTGTGGATCGGACCAAGGGTATCAAAAGCTACATCTGCCCGGACGTTGCTACGCTCGCCGCTGGGTATGCGTCGCGTATATCACATGAAGCTAAGGGCGCGCGGCAAAGAGGAGCATGACCTTGGTATGGTAGTTGGCCCGTCGGCGACATGGGTGGCATGATCACATGAACATGTCGTTATATCCTGGCGGCGGCAGCTCGTCATTATCGGGATCTCCACTTCTATAAACCACTTCAGGCAATGAGTACACCCTGCCAGTCAACCCCGCTTCCCCATCTGAACTCAAGTTTTGATTGCTTACCCGAGCCCACCAAACCCACCACCACCTCCAAACCCACCCCCACCCCCTCTGCCACCCCCAAACCCTCCCCTCGAAGAAGGGAACTGCGGCCTCCCGGGCAACCCCGGAATGCCCGGCGGGACAATTGGATCAAATCTCGCGCCCGGCGGTACCGCACCCGGCGGCAGCGTCGCGCCTCCAGGTCCCGCTGGTATACCTCCACCGCCGTGTTCCGGAAACCGCCCGGCAAACATGGGGTCGTCCGGTCCAACGAACATGCCGCCGCCACGGCCTAGGCCTGCGCCGCCGAAGGGCGGGCGCGGGAGGCCGGAGTTGGCGAAGGGGTCGAGGTCGACGTCGCCGATTGCGTGCGGGTTGCGGAACGGTGGGTATGTTGGACCTCTGTGGGGTTCTTCACCGCTGCCGGGGTATGGTTCGCCGGCGATGGGGTGGACGTAAGGCGGACGTGGGCGGTTGGCGATGTGGTCGGTGGTCTGCGACGAGGAGCTACTCGCGGTTGTGGAAGGAGCTTCGTAGCCCGGTTTGTTCAATCCCGGAATCAACTTTTGCATGATCCCAACCCTGAACTCTCTCAACACGGCGTTCAGCTGCTCTTCCGACGCAAACGCCCTCCCAATGGCATCCTCACTCCCACTGCTCCCTCCCGCACTCGCATCAAATGGGAACGTGATATTCGCCGCAGTGAACGTCGACGGCGCCAACTCGATCGTATGCAGCTTCTCATCCTCAATAGCCATGCCGTGCACAATCAGTTTGTTCTTGCCGACTTTTACGCATTTGAGGAGGAAGGTGAGGGAGGACTGCGAGTGCTTGTAGCGGAAGGAAAACATGTCGCCTGAGGCGTTCCAGTCTGGGGGGAGGCGGCGGGCGGTCGAGCCGCTGGGTTGCTCGCTGTCGGGGTAGTCCTCGTGGTCTGGAGATCATATCCGTTTGAGTATCCCCGAAAACTATGAGTAGCAGGTCTCAACACTCCACATACCTTTACGCTCCTCGCCCACGCCAATAAACCTAAACCCATACCGCGTCATAGCCGCATGAAACAATGCGACCGAAAGGTCAGCAGGAGACTTGAACGTAGGCTGCCCTCCTGCCGTTTGAGGAGGAAGGCATTCGACGAGGGTGCGAAGAACTGCCTTGGGCTCGAGAGGATTCTCGTCCTCGTTGTTGGTGGGCGTGGGATTGGTTCCTGAAGAAGCGTCTTGGCGGCCAATGCCGGAACTGGAGCTGGAGGAGTCAGCCATTCTTCTGGGATGTAAGGTGATACTCGTAAGGGGACTCGGAATACTCGTAATACAAAAGCTGCGGGATAGCCGCGAGGGACAAAAGAAAGACAGTCTGGGTGGGGACGATGATCTGGGGCTCTTACTAGTCCAGAGCTGAAGTAGGAAGAGGTGAGAGGGTGAGCGCGAGTGACGTGTTGTACTGTGTGTACGCGCGAACAAGGAGACATCATCTGCAGCGGGAAGCAGATCGGGAAGACCGGGATGTGGACTTGCTGGCGAACTCGTGCATACCCCACTGGCCCATTGGCTCTCACAACGGTGCATCCCCGTATTTCAGCTTCTCCAAAGCTAGCAAGGCTCCGTGGGTATAGGTATAGGAGGAACGTGTGTATCAAGACCGGTGCAGCAGCGAAGGGTCATGGGGTATATTCCTAACTTAATTTGCCGCACACAGTAGTCAGACAGACTGGTTCCCCACAAACGACACCGCCCACAGCCCGCGTTTTACACTCACGTCCTGGACGGTGCCCCTACAGGCGGTTTGGAAATCGCGTACGAGCTCACAAGATCTTCACGCTGCGTTGATCTCGACTTTTCCTCCAGCCGTCGTCGATGATGTTTCGTCCTGATGGCGTCCAGCGGAGATGTGCGCGGCGGTGGTGCAGAGTTGGGAGGGGTCAATGGCTGGTGGTCGATGCGTTGAGAACGGTATATCCGGCTGTTCTTGCCGTGGGTCATCGGTCGGCGCAGCACGTTCCCCAACAGTAGAAGATCGAGGTACCGCAACGGTCTTCCTCGCCTTCCCCACCCTTCCCTCCTTCTCCTTTGCCTTCGACCCCGCCGGCCCCACCACCTTCCCCCCCTTCACCCGTATATTGTACACATCCCTCGGCGTAATCTGCACCCCCGGATGCTGCTGCTGCACAATCTCGATGATCTTCTTTGGCACCACGCCCGCGGCGCGCATGGCCTGCATGCTCGCTCTCGCCTCAGATGTCATCGTCGCCTGTCTCGATTCAGGGGTAGCGAGCGGGTCGTCGGGCGAGTGATTGTGCCGTGGATCCGTGCAGTGCGTTTCCCACTTCCATTGTTTCTCGATGTTGGTAGTATCATTCGTCGTGTGGCTGTTTCCATTCTGGCCTTGAGAAGCGTAATTTGATGGATTGGTCTGCGTCCGCGTAATCACACACGCCCATGGACACCCCACCCTTCTACTCATCTTCCGCCGTTTCCTCTCCCCTTCCCCACCGCTACGTCGTGGGACCCCGCCATGCGTGCAGGCCAACCACACTTTACAAATGGGTCCCTTGCCCTTCATTCCGCGCTTCGATCGCCGCCGCACGATAGAGTACCCGTTGGTCACGGCAAAGGTCTCGATGGCGCGTTGCGCGGCGTCGAGGGTTGGGTAGGTGTCGTCGGGGGGTGGGGGCATGTCGAGGTTCAGTACGGCCTCGTCCTCATCGTCGGCTTCTGCCCCTTCTTCGTTCCCTGCGTCTGCAGCATCACTCACGACATCCAACCTCATCCCGCCCAGCAGCTCCGTCTCATGCCCTATCCCATGCGTGATTGTCTCCTCGGGGTGGATGTGCAGCTGGTCGGGAGGGAGTTGTCCTTTGGGGACCACCAGAGGGGTGGTGGACAGGGCGCCAGCTGCGGCGAGAGCGGCTGCTGCGGCTGCGGCTTGAACGGAGGCGGAGGGTGGGTGCTGGTGTAGGGCGTTGGCGAGGCGTTCGAGGTGGCGGCGGTGGGAGTCGGACGTTAGGAGGGTGGGAGGCGGTGGTGGTGGTGGGAAGGAGGATGGTGGGGACTGGGGCAGTGGGTCGGACATGGTGAGCCGAGGTGGAGAGAACGAGGACTGCTCACTTGCTTGCGCTTTTGCTCACAGGTAGCGGTGAAGGTGGGAATATACAGTACGCCAAGGGCAATGAGATGCTGGTTTGCCCATAGGGCTTTGAGCAATTGAGTGGGAAAGAAACGAAAGACGCATTGTGGCACTTCAAGGACGGGCTCCGAAGGCCTTCTTCCCACGCGTCCGTCCATCACCACCGATTCACTTCAACATCAATCAACGCACAACGCGGACGGCCTCACAGCTCCGAGTCGGACTGGAAGGAGAACAGGCCGATTAAACCGCACACGTGAGCTTTGTGGATAATAAATCGCCCCCGAGACCCGACGGAGGGGCCGCTACGTCACCCTGCCCGCCACCACCGTCTCCTCGGCGCCCAGAACAAGCAGAACAGAACAGACAGTATAGAAGAACAAGCCTTTTTTCCCCACGCGAACCCTCAACGGGAAGGAATTAAAGAAGGAAAACCCCCCAACACCCACATCTCGGCAGCAACAGCAGAGCTTCGATTTCTGCAAGACTCAACTGCAAACTGAGCCACAAACAAGACTCGTAGATTACCCGTCTACCCCTCTTTGAAGCTAGTCGATCGCAAACGGTCATCCAGTTCAGGGCACCCACCCTCCGACTCCTGACGAAATAATGAGCGACGAATCGTCCACTGTGGCGCGTCCCCACGCCAGCAGCTCCCGGAAGACCCTCCCCACCTTCGACTTCACCGTCCATACACTGGAGAATGGCGACAAGGTATCCACCGTAGAGAGGTTCGCAAAAGGTTCGTGTTGGATGGGCCTGTCAGCCGTGGAGGCGCGAATAGATCCCACCACCGAAGGATCGCCTCATGCGTTCCTCTCTTTCCATACACTCAAATATCCTAACGCTTTACTCCCCGATAGACGTCCCACCACCTGCTGTGCACAAGCCGACGGAAGAGGAATTCTGGTCCAAAAAGGACCCCTCCAAACCTGATCACGAATTTCTGAGAAACCACTTTTTCCGGGAGGGCCGTCTGACGCAAGAGCAGGCTTTGCGTATCATCAAGCGTGGAACCGAGCTTTTGAAAGAGGAGCCCAATTTGTTGGACGTCGAGGCACCAATCACTGGTTAGTTGCGGATGAATGCGAGCTGTCATATTAATCCGAAAGGACGTTTCCAACGCCGAGTTTTGCTCTATTCCAGTGTGTGGAGATATTCACGGACAATACTATGACTTGATGAAACTGTTCGAAGTGGGTGGGAATCCGGCAGATACAAGATATCTGTTTTTAGGAGACTATGTGGATAGAGGATATTTCTCAATCGAGGTGGATATCCAAAGACCGGGAACCTCTACGTTCAAGCAAAACCGTGTACTGACAAATTTCTTCGCCTTCTATATAGTGCTTCATGTACCTCCTGATCCTGAAGGACTGGTTCCCGGACTCCATCTTCATGCTTCGAGGCAACCACGAGTGCAGGCATTTGACGGACTACTTCACATTCAAGCTCGAATGTGAGTGCAGGATTGTACTCGATCACGTATTGTGGTTTCATTCCTAACGGGATTTGGCTCTTCTCAGGCGGTCACAAATACTCGGAAGAGGTCTACGAAGCATGTCTCGAAGCATTCTGTGCCCTACCACTAGCAGCTGTGATGAACAAGCAGTTCCTTTGCATTCACGGAGGATTGTCTCCCGAGCTCACGACGCTCGAGGATTTACGCGGGGTACTTCATACGTGTCCAGCTAGCGAATTTTAGAGGGGAATCTTCTGAACGACTGTGCGCGTTACAGATCAACCGATTCCGGGAACCACCGACGCACGGATTGATGTGTGATTTGTTATGGGCTGATCCGCTGGAGGACTTTGGACAAGAGAAGACGAACGAATTTTTCGTACATAACGGCGTACGCGGGTGTTCGTATTTCTTCAGGTGAGTTGATGACAGACAGCTTCGGAATTGCAATTGTGGAGAGAATACTAATCCGTACCTGTAGCTACTACGCCGCATGTGCCTTCTTGGAGCGCAACAACCTACTCTCGATTATCCGTGCGCACGAAGCACAAGACGCAGGGTGAGGGAACCCACGCATTTGTTGATCCAGAGTTCATCAGCTCATAACCACCATCCACGCTCCAGATACCGAATGTACCGGAAAACACGGACAACAGGGTTTCCATCAGTCATCACTATCTTCTCCGCGCCAAATTACCTCGACGTGTACAACAACAAGGCCGCCGTGCTCAAATACGAAAACAACGTCATGAACATCAGGCAGTTCAACTGCACGCCACATCCGTACTGGTTGCCCAACTTTATGGATGTGTTCTCGTGGAGTTTGCCGTTTGTTGGGGAGAAGAGTATGTTGACGATGATTTGAGATTGCTGGATGGGGAAAGGGGCATGCGGGGAGGGATCACTCATGGAGAGCTCTTCGTAATAGTTACGGATATCCTGTTGTCGATACTCAACATTTGCAGCAAGGAGGAGCTCGACGATAACACTGCAGGCGTGAAGGTGCCGCAGGTTATTGAAGACAGTATGTGACACGTCTCGATTTCCTTTACCACGGTCATTATGTTGACCCACTTTTTCTGGCAGGTGCCGAGCAGGAAGCGCGTCGTCAAGTAATCAAGAACAAGATCCGCGCTGTAGGGCGTATGGCGAGAACGTTCCAAGTGCTGAGGTATGTTTTGAATGGCTTTGGATCTATCACGCGAACGCGACGCCATGTCTGTCCCGCTAACAATCCCCATTCCATTTTGAAGAGAGGAAAGCGAGCACATCATGGAGCTCAAAAACGTCATGGGCACTCAAACCCTCCCCCCCGGCACACTGGCCTTGGGAGCCGAAGGCATCAAAGCCGCCATCTCCACCTTCGAAGAAGCGCGCTCCGCCGACCTCGACAACGAGCGTCTGCCCCCTCTCAAAGACGGCCAGAAGGCACCCGCGCCGGCCCCGCCCGTGTTTGCGCTTAAGGAAAGCGAGGCGGCGGCGACGAAGAAGGTTATGCCCCCGCGGCCGGCGCAGCCGAGACGGACGCCGTCGTTGAAGACGCCGCAGGGGATCATCAACCCGACGCCGGGGGATGCGAGCTTACCGGCGGAACCGACGAAGTAGGGCGGAGGTTTGCGGATTTGGGATGTGAGGGACGGGTATGGGAGAAGCGAGTCGTGGGAAACCTTCGTTCTGTCGCTCTACCTCCTTCCGCGGACGCGTTTACCTCGGTTTTCCAGTCGTCGACGACGGCAGCCTCGTTCGAGGCATCTGATTTTCTGTAGCAAGGGACCGTGGGATGGAGAAGGAAATCTCTTTCGTGCGTACGCTTTTGCCGAGTTCGCTGTGGGACGGTTTCTGGGCAGTTCACCACGCCCTCCATCCCACCCTACTACACCGGCTTTTTCATTGCACCCTCTCCTGACATCCTCACTTTGTCGTCCCTCTTACCATGTTGTTTTGTCTCATACCTACATACCATCACTGATTTTGTGAAAGTGTTTTTCTCATATAGCATTCATACTCACATCTTGGAATTGAGGCTTTTGATCGGGGGGGTTCCATCTTCAGTTGACGGTGAAGCGGCCCCACGCGCCTGGCATCTCCCTCTTCTCCCAAGGCACACAAGGCCCAGATCACCTACCTAAATACACAGCTGGGAACTGAGCCTACATAGGCAGAGGACCCCCACGCATCCAAAGAACCACAACGCGCGTCGCCATTATCACCCCTCTGAGGCGCGGTGGACCCCAGGCCCTCCAACCACTCATACATACTACATCGAACATCACCGTTCTCCGCACACAATCAAAAACGGGTTTCGAGACACCAGCACACACCACACCACACCACACCACCGCACGCCCCCGCGCTGTCTCATTCATCACAATGCTGACATTCAGTCCCCCCTGGATAACCCACACCAACGAAAAGCGGCACAAGACACCCATTTACTCGCTGGCTGTGCATCCGCTGGGGGAGAAGCTTGCTACCGGTGGTCAAGGTACGTGTAGCTAAAGCCACGGGGGATGTGTTCGAGGGGGTGTTGAATTACAATTTAATGGTTGTGGGCCTTTTTTTTGGGGGGGCAGACGCGAAAGTGAAGTTATGGAATGTAGCGGCGGTGTATGATGAGACGCTGGAGGCTGACCCGGGGACGCCGAAGCTGTTGGCTGTTTTGTCGGCTCATAGTGGTAAGCCCCGATTTCTCCACACCACGAGATCATGGTATCCGATCATTGATGTTGGGGGATATTCCCCAGGCTCGGTCCTATGTGTACGATGGTCGCAGGACGATGGGCAGCTCCTGGCGTCGGGGTCGGATGATTGCAAGATTGTGATTTGGAAGCAGGATAAGTGGGTGAATGTGTCGGATGTGATAGGGGAGGGTTGGGAGCGGGGACTGATGTGATTTGTTTTGTGGGTAGTGCACCGATAAGGGGGAATTTGCTGATAGATAAGGACGCGGCGCCGTTGACCGAGTATTGGAGGGCGGTAAAGGTGTTGACGGGGCATGAATCAGGTGCGGGCGAGAAAGGGAGACTATGAGAGGCAACGCGGGATGTTGGATTGACTCCAGGGTGCATCTGCAGACGTGGCCGACCTAGCCTGGTCCCCCGAAAACAGATACATCGCCTCCTGCGGCTTCGAAACTACCGTCTACATCTGGAGCGGCGCAACGTTCGAACTCCTCCGCAAACTCCAAGGCCACTCCGCGTTCGTCAAGGGCGTCGCATGGGATCCCGTCGGGAAATACCTCGCCTCTCAGAGCGATGACAAGACGACACGAATCTGGCGGGTGGCGGATTGGGCCGAGATCCATTCGCTGTCGGCGCCGTATGAGGCCGCGGCGTCCACCACGTTTTTTAGGAGGCTGTGTTGGAGCCCGGAGGGGAATGCGATTGTGACGGCGAATGGGGAGAGTGGGCATCGGCCAACCGCGCCGATTATTCATAGGGATGGGTGGACGTCGGATATCAATTTGGTGGGGCATAACGCTCCGATCGAGTGTTCGGTAACTAGTTTGTAGCGGGGCTCGGTCACCAAGGAGATGGGTCTCGCTAATCTCGCTGCCTGTCACGTCCTCCAGCAATTCAACCCGCAACTATTCGAACTCCAAAAAGAAGAAAACGGGACAACGGTCAACAAACACACCGCGCTCTGCGCCCTCGGAAGCCAAGAAAGCACGATTTCCATCTGGGCGACCGCCAGCGAACGGCCTCTCGCCGTCAGCAAAGAATGCTTCAAACACAGCATCCTCGACCTGTCCTGGTCACCCGACGGGTTATGCGTCTTTGCATGTTCATACGACGGCACCGTGGGCGTGCTGGCCTTTGAACCCGCGGAGCTGGGAACTCGGCTGCCGGCAGCGGAGAAGGAGCGCGTGCTGAACAGTCTGGGCGTGAAACGGAAAGCGGTGGTGGAGAGCGTCACGCAGCTGGCGCTGGAGGAGCAGATGCGGATTGAGAAGGAGGCGAGTTCGTCGAGGCTGAATACGTTGCTGTTGGGGTCGCAGCAAGGTGGGGCGGCGGGGACCATACCACCGGCGACAGCGGCGGTGGTGGCTCCGGTGGCTGCGACCCCGATGAAGAAGTTTCCGGCGCCGTCACCTGTGCCTGCCACCCCGAGCGCGGTACCGTTGATGCAGAAGGTTACGCAGACGCCAGATGGGCGGAAGAGGATCCGACCGACGTTCTTGAGCAGGTAGCGTAGCGCGGCGTAGCATGCATTCCCATCTGACCATCTGGCGACGTTCATGAACTTATCAAAACCGCATTGTGGCATACAGCGGCATCGACGCAGCACCCCTCACCGGAAGCCAACGCCTCAACGACTTTGTATCCATGCAAATCGACCGGCCACTACCCCCCGACACGAACGGCGACAGCGGTGGTCACGACGTCATCAACGGCGACGGCATCCCCACCACCGCCGGCAAAAGGCGCAAAGTCGACGAGCTTAACGGGCCAGCCATTGGCGCTGTGCATTACCTCCTCCCGACGGTTGTCGAGGCCAGGCGGCCGGTGAATCTAGCCATACCCAATGTGCGCACGAAAGTGATCACAATGATACCTACGGGTGAGAAGGAGGAGCCGGCGAATGTGGAGTGTGATAATACTAGGCAACGTATGTGTGAGTGTTGTGTTATGGGATCCACGACATGGGGGTGGTAGCTTATTTGGAGTTTTGGGGAACGTATGCAACAGCGGTGAAGGTGACCTGCACGAAAGGCTCCGAGATACTCTGGGTGGATACGCTTCCCTCCCACGTGATACTGGTCACGGGCACCGCGAGTTTTACGGCGATTGCGTGTGTCGATGGGAGTCTGTATGCTTTCTCGCCTGCTGGGAGGAGGTGAGTGTTTGTGCCTGTGCATTGCGGTATGAGGAAACGGGACGAAGAGGATTATTTAGTCTCTCCTCTATTGTAGGTTACTGCCGTGTTTAGCCCTCGAATCTCCAGCGTCTTTCCTCGCTTCTCAAGGCGATTATCTCATGTGCCTGACCTCGGGGGGAAGTCTAAGCGTATGGTACGAACGCTGGAATAGAGCATCTCTCCCCTCACGCACAACAGTACCCTAACGTCACACCCAAAACACAGGAACATAACAAAACAAACAACAATAGTGCAAGACTCCTCCATAATCCACCTCCTCCAAACCGGGCCCATCCGCGACACATCAAGTCCAGCCTCCCCCTCGCCCTCCCCCGACGTCACCATCCGCAACGCCTACCTCCGCCGCGAAGGCATCCCGGTGCTGATCACGAGCAACGAGGACAGGTACTCATTCCATCATGGGATGAAGGTGTGGATGAAGATTGCGGATAGGGCGAATAGCCAGGGCGTGACGTTAAGTGGGGGAGAACAGGGGGTGCCGGGGGCGACTACGTTGGCGATTTTGGAGGTAATTTTTGCGGCAATTGCTGTTCTCGTTGCGATATAGTGTGCGATACGCATCGATTTACTAACTGTTACGCGATTCCGATCTCTTCGTGGCCAATAGAATCAACTAGCAAGCTACACAGCCCTCCGCTCCGCCAACGACTATATCAGAACCATCCGGCGATACGCGACCAAACTCGCCGACGAAGGCGCCGTATCGAAAGCGATCGAGTTGTGTGATGAGCTACTTGGGCCGCGGTCGAGGTAGGTTTTGAAGCGCATATGTTTTTTTCTTTTTTTTTGCCATTGTTTTGGGGAACTCCCCCGTTACGTTGATCAGCCCCACTCACGCCCTTCACGAAGTAGGGCGACGATCACGAAACCACTCGCTGGGACCATCGATGAGTGGGACCCGCTTATTTTGGTGAGTTATGGGGATTCGAAGATGTGGGGCTTCCTCCTTTTGCGTTGGCGTTGATGCGAGTTGGGAAATAGGATGGCTGACGTGTGTTTCCCCCCCGCTCTGTTCCCACTTAGGGTATCCCAAAACGCACGCTGCTGGAACAGGTGCTTGTGCCATTAAGTACGTCCGCCCGAAAATCAATCTCCCCTATTCATTGAAGGGCAACCGTCACACGGGGAATGTGACGTTTGGCTGAAACTTTTCCGGTTTTCTTTCTTTCCCTTTCGCCTCCGTCCAGGTAAAAACAGGGACCTGCAACGCCACGTGCAGGTCTACTACGACACGCTGGAGTCGATACGGGATACCGAGCATTTGTCGCATCTGCGGTTGTGAATGGAGTGCCCGTTGGGGGAACAGGACTCGGTGTGGACGTATGCCAGTCAAGCACACATTGCGTAGAACGACACGAATGCGGCATGTTGCAGAATCAAAGGCGTATATACAGTTTGCATTGCATAGGAGGAGCGGAAGGAATGGGGAGGGCTAAGGGGTCGGTGCTAGATTCGTAGGCTACGCTACGGTTTCACAACTATATAGTTTCCCCGAAACCTACAGTACAGTTTGGGCCCGCCTCCTGTGCGTTTGAGAATATGAAAATATACAATGATACCCCCCAATGTGGTTGTTACGCCTGTTATGTTACCGTGTGCCTGGAAAAAAATGATGCGGTTGCACGGCTGGCGCGCGGTGGTCCGTGCCTATATGTTTTGCTCATGCTTTAGGTTTCTTGGCATCCCCGTTGCCTCCTCCTACCGCAGCAGCTAGTGCCGCCTCCGTCCCGTTCGCTGTTGGGGACGAGACGGATGCTTTGCGTTTGTTATTGTGACTGTTGTTGTCGCCCGGGGTGGATGTCACTGGTGTCTCACTGTCGGTGGTTGTTGTGACCGGTACGGATGATGACGGGTCTGTTGGCGTTGCTAGTGATGGTGTTGCATCGGCAGGGGTCTCGACCAGTTTCTCCAGATTGTACTTTTTGAATTCCGGGTAGTCGCGGACGACGGATAGTGCGCATACATTCTAGGGTGTGCCATGACACATCAGAACATGATCAGACGCACAAAAAGTTCGAAAGACAGAAACACGATACCTTGAAGATATCAATAACGACGGTCAACTCGGGGCTCTTGAGGTTCACGAAATGCTCCGCGCCGACGATATCAGCGATCTCTTTGATGAGGTCGTCGCGTTTGATGCTGTCGTTCCATTTGATGCGGGGTTCGACGGCCCACTGGACGAGAACGGAGAGATAGGTGTATGAGTAAGGGTGTGTGGGTAGAGGGGTAAATGGATGGAACTGCACCTGTATACCCTTCTGACCCTCCTGATGGAAGAATGGCGCGACGGCTGTCTTTGCGAGGGCTTTGATGTCGTCCATGTAGGCTTTGCAGGAGTGTTGGACTGGGTGGAGGCGTGAGGTGTATCTGATTGGCGGTGGTGGGTGCAGGGATGTATCAGTCGTTATGTGCGGATGGTGATTGATGAGGTTTGGGGAGTACGTTCTCTTTACCTTGTCTTCTTCAGCTTCTTCTCGTTCAGATCTTGGAAGATCTTGTGGACGAAATCTGCGGGCTCGATTGGCGCAAATGTCTATGAGGTCCATAGGGGTTCACTCAGTATGTGGTCCACGCAGGTATCGCAGCTTCATCTGCCACCTGTCCATCCCCCCGCCTCCTCTACCGACATACGCACCCTCAAAAACACAATACAATCAATATTGGTCTTGCACCAATAAAATTGCGCCTTCTTCTCGTTTGTCTCGCTCTTCAGCTCCTTCAACTGGCGATTAATCACGTCCGCAACGTCCTCCGCGTCGTCGTCGTCGCTGTCGTCAAGGTCGTCTGAGGCGCCTGCGCCTTTGATCTTTGTGCCGTATATCTTTTCCGCGTACTTCAGAGAATACAAAGGAAGTTAGGTTGTGTTTCTCGCGCGGGATATTCGGTTGAATGGGGAACTATTTTTACCTCCTCGAAAAGACTACGCAACTCCGCGACGGCACCGCGTTCTTTGTCGAGGTGGATGAAGGCGTAGATACCCTGCATTCCCGGCTCGACTTGGAAAGCGCCATGCTTCGAATTGCCTTTACCCTTCACTGGGGCCTGTCAATCGAGATATGGTCAGAACATGCGCAAGCGGTGAGCAGGGGAGGGACAGATGTGACGCACCTGCGCATAAAGCCCCTGGCGATACTTTCGCTTCTGCTGCTTGTTTGCATTCCCCATTCTGATACAGGTGTTCCTCAGGATTGTGTCCAGTTGGGTCTGTGGGTTTCGCGCGAGTTTCGAAAAAACGTCCACGGAAAGCGGAGGGAGAAACACCGAGTGCTGCGCCACTGACACTGTTTTGACGGCATCATCCCCGACAAGGGCATTTGCGTTGGTCGCACTTCATTGTTACTGCTGTTTTATCAAAGGTACACATGTACAGAGGGATTACAGGGATTGAGACTGGTGTTAGCCTGCGGGTGTAGACGGCCAGGCAATGGGACAGATGTTAAATAATGACGTTCAGGTCTTGACGCGGAAGTGGAAGCTTTTGGGTCGTGTGAGGTGATCGTATCTGCGCGAGAGTTCGAACAAGTTCAGTGTCCATACATCCCCCTCAAGCACGTCCCGCACATTCGCTAGCAAAAACTCACCCAAGCACCGACAAAGTAACGCCCCTCCCACTCTCCTTGACCGCCGTCCACGGCAAAGCCGGGTCCAAATAATCACACCTATTCATAAACACCGTCCCCACCTCCACGCCGTCCGCCACCTTCAGCGCCGCCTCCTCATCGCGCGTCCACACACTCGCCGTAAGTCCAAACACGCTATCATTGATCAACCGCACCGCCTCGTCGTCAGAGCTCACGCGCATGATCCCGACCACGGGGCCGAAGGTTTCTTCGGTCATGACGCGCATGGAGTGAGAGACGTTGGTGAGAATTTGGGGGGCGACGTAGGGGGTGGAAGGTTGAGCGGCGGGGAAGAGGGTGGGGAGGAGATGGGGGTTGGCGCCTTTTGAGACTGGGGATGGAACGTGATGTTAGCGGATGAGAGACGGCTGGGAGCCTGAAAGCGAGGGAAAGCGTTGAGCGTACCTGCGTCCTCAATCTGTTCCCTGATGAAATCTGCTGCTTTTGTACTAACTACGGGGCCGAGGTTGGTGTCAGGGTGTAAAGGGTCGCCTAGTTTGTAGCCCTGGAATGTTGCGTCGCCGATTGTGAGTGGGTTTCCTTTTTCCACATAGTTGAGAACCGACGGCCCATACCTTCGCAACTTCCACCATCCTCTCAACCAGCTGATCATGCACCTTCTCATGCACATAGATCCGCTCAATCCCACAACAGCTCTGGCCCGAGTTGTACATGGCCCCATCGACCAGGTTCTCGGCCGCATAGGCGATATCCGCGTCTTCGCGCACGTACGCCGCGTCTTTGCCGCCGAGTTCGAGCCCGACGCCGACGAAACGCTCTGCGGCGGTTTTGCAGACTTCGTGGCCGCCGCGGACGGAGCCGGTGAAGAGGACGTGGGCGATTTGGGGGTGGGAGATGATTTGGGCCGAGGTCGGGTGGTCGATGTGGAGGTACTGTGGTAAAAGTTACGTCGGGGTCAGATCATGAACGGCAGGGATAGATGGCACAAAGAAGCCACAATCGAACCTGGAAGACACCGTCTGGCAATCCAGCTTCCTTAAAAGCTTCAGCAAAGCGTTCGGCGCATGGAAATGTCTGCGGCGCCTGCTTCAGAATTACCGTGTTTCCTATCAAATTCATGTGTCATTGCCCACCATGGTCATATATGTCATCTCATCCCCTATCCAGCTCCCTCCTCACATACCAGCAAGCAACGCAGGAACAACCCCATTAACCGAAATCAAATACGGATAATTCCACGCCGCAATCACAAAAACTACACCCAGCGGCTCCCTCCTCACAAACCGCTTAAGCCCCTCCTTCTCCGGCACCGCCGGCACATCTTTCAACGCGTCCTTCGCAATCGAGATCATATGCCTGGCGCGCTCCTCAAACCCGCGGACCTCATTCGCGTTCTGCTTTATGGGGCGGCCCATAAGCCAGGCGAGCTCTTCGACTAGGACATCCTTTTTGGCGACGAAGGCTGTGACGAACTTTTCGATGAGGGCTATGCGGGTGTCGAGGGGGGTTGTCCGCCAGGTTGGGAAGGCGGTGGCTGCGCGGTGGACGGCGGCGAGGGCTTCTTTGGAGGAGGCGAGCGGGCGGGTGAGGTAGGGCTTTGAGTTTGCTGGGGAGAGGATTGTGTGGTCGGCCATTGCGCTCGCTGAGAGTGGTGCGTTGGTTTGCTGTCGTGCTGCTGGGTGGGGGTCTCTGTCTGGGGGCTTCTCTTCTCAACGGATGTCCGCGAAAACGTCAGGCGGCCGTCGTCTTCCGTCGTTCGCGTCGCAAAGACCAAACGACCACCTTTCAAGATGGCCGGTTGAACACGGCGCAAGGACACCCCGTACATACTGTACAATACAACCCCTGCAGCCAGGTTCAAAGATGCCATCGCAGCAGGCCATAGAGTTTCTTCTCACAGAGCACCTCCCGTACCTGGGCAAATCCGCGCCCGCCATCTTCCCACCGTACGCAGACGTGGCGACGCTGGAAGGCAGTCGCTGCCACATTGAGTTCCTCGACGGGGCGGCGGGGTTTCTGGTAGGAGCTGCAAATGACGGTCCTGGCGTCTTGATGCACCTTGCTGAGCACGCGGAATGCCCGGATCCGTTCATGCTCCATTGACCTGACGCGGACAGTACTGACTTTCTGACTACCCACCAGCTCGTTACCCTCACGCCCGCATCACCAACTACGACTGCCCCGAGCACAGCAAAGACCGCCGCCGCGGATGCAATCGGCACCCGCTTCGAGACTCTACAGGCGTTATTTTCGCGGATAAGTCCGGCGTATTGCGCGGCGTTCAGTGACGATCTGGCGAGACGGCTGGCTGGGTTGGATGATCCCCCGGCGAGTGGCGAGTGATTTGCAAGGCAGTGGGAGATGGGGGAGCCGGTGTATATTGGGCGTGTTGGAGCGGACGGGAGAATTGTGACTGGATGTGTGAGCTGTGCAGGCGTAGGTATGCTTACGTGGGCGAGACCTACAGTAGATAGATGGGCGCATTGGCAGCCATCAAAGCAAATGGACATTCAGAGTGTTGCAGCCGAGGCCATGGAGCTATCCTTACGGTGCGGTGCGTCGTCCTCATGGGGAATCAATCTTAGTAGAGCAAGATATTATTTACAGTGAACAAATAAAAGTGAACGCGAGCAATCTTGAACAATCTTGGCCTGGACCATTGGTTTCCTCGCAAGCGAGTACTACAACAGGAACCGCCACGAGAAGGCTGACCAGCAGGTCTCCCGCCTAAAACAGAGAAGATATTGCATGAGCAGCAAACACGTTCAAAGGGAGAGGTATGCTCCAAGATCCGGTCCGATGAGAGTGAATGTCACGTAGAAAACTGGAAATGAGACAATGAGATGTTAGTATCCAAACGAAGACGGAACGAAGCAGCAAAAAAGGTAAACGAAACAAAGACGAGAAAGTCAACTGGGCAAGTCCAACAGTTTAGACAGAGAGGAAGCAACAAAACTCACATTTTCACAACACAAAAAATACAGGGATACCATTCTAAAGCATGCCAGGAGATGCTGTGACCGGCCTCCTCGGCGCATGTCCGAATACTGGAGACCGTCGTCGAACACCCAATCTTAGCCGTAGACACTGCTCCGTCCTTGAACCAATTGGCAGTGCGTCGTGCTTAACTCCCGATGGCGAATGGACCGGGTCGCAGGTCTTATGATGCGTGTTGGCGACACGGAACCATCTCCTCGCGGTGAGCGTTGGGTCCAGCCGTCGCCAGTCATGCTCGTCGAACGATATCCCTGAAAACGCATTTGCAGCGGTCTTGCTTACACCAGGACTAGCACCAGGACCAGCATCTCAGGACAGATCTCAGGACAACCCAGCACAGCCGCCCAGAGCGCGTCGAAACGCAGCCATAACAAAATGATACCAAAATCTGCAAAAGCCAACTCAACCCGGCATTGCGACATCACCTGTGACATCACCTCGCATTTCTACACAACACACAACCAGGACGTGCTCTTGAGTGGCTCAGCTTCAAGTCTCAACTCTCCTTTTCGCTTTTGAGTTACTCTGGACTTGAGAATCAGCACGCAAAGGTATGGTCATGGCTGTCCCGCACGCATTCCAACACCCATCTTCGGCATGGGCTCACTCAACTGGCAATGGGAATGCACATATGGGTAGTTTCCTGGCCAATGCAAAGCTTGGCTACATGACGGTTATCAACTGTGTCAACTATAAACCTTTAGGCAGAATCTATGTTGTATAGTGCGCCATAAATACCATATAACTGGTTTTGCTGAATACTCTTCTCTGCGAGATAGTCTGATTACCGAGAGGCCTTGACGACGTTTCAGCCGGACAGCATGGATTACACGAGGTGAGACTTCTCGTGTCCCGTGGCAAGAGCAGCATCACCGACCGACGTCGCAGTGCCACTATGAGCTCACCCCCTTCCGCCGAGGAGCACCACACTGACGCCGAGGAGTGTCACACTGATGCCGACGACCACGCGGTGGAGGTATCGTTGTGTGGCAACTATGCATGGGCGTTTGTGCAAGCGTACGATCAGGACGTGGCGGCGCACATCTCTAGCGGCCCTCCGTAGTACATATGGATACGAGACGTCGTTCGCCGCATACGGGCAACCGAGCCCATCGTCCGTCGACTGTCGTTGCGCACGCCCTCCAGTGTGAGTGCGCTGTTGCCGGAGTACATGCACGCCGCATCCAACCAAGATGACGTATGGCGTCGCATCGACTCGCTGAGTCGTGACCGCCGCTCCGTGCTGGGTGGCGATGCGTTCCGGGACTGCATGCTCGACGCAGCGTACCTGCTCACGAGTGTGTTGCACGATCCGTCCTGCAGGCCGTCGCCCGGGACTATGTGGATGCACTGGTCGATGCATGCCAACAAGATCTGTGCACTAGCGCACTCAAGTGCGCGCACATCGGCCGCTGCAGAGCCGCTGCGGCGTGCGGTATGTGGCGAGACGGCGCGGCTGCTGTCCGGCCCGCTGCCGCGTCTCGATGATGTTGTATTGGCCTCCGCGCTGATCTATGCCAGCATGACCTTTACGCCAAAGTACTTCTCGATAGGCCGAGGCCGAGGTCTCGACCACTGCCCACGTGGGCCCATCCTACCGTACGATTCGCACAACATCCACGAGCCCCCCGGATGGTCTGCTGCTCAAGTTATAGAGAAGCGAGGTGCTCGGATGCGCCGCTCGATGACAGGGTGGAGTGCCATTGTCAGCGCGGAGACATTCCCTGTAACGGAGTACACACGCAATGACATATGCAGTGTTATGTGTGCACTGTCGATAGCCTCGTATCCCACACGTGCGCTTGGCAACACCGCTAGGTATGAGCTTGACTAGCTCGTGGCTGCGCTGCCTACCGTGTTTTAAAAGTCGGATGAGCTAGCAACGCAACCCGCATCACACGTGCCCGATCGCTCCGCCTTGTCCAGTCTCGGCATTCATATTCCCGTTGTTATCGTATGCTGCTGGGTTCAGGCGGATCACGAGCTCCTCGGCGACCTGAATGAAGACCTGCGCTGCATACGCAGACATGTATGCTGTCATGCCCCTTGCGGCGTCATCAGATCGGCCATGGTCTGCGTAAGGCTTGCTACGGTCACCCCCATCACACCGGTGGTTGCTATAGCCGAGGCCGCCGGGTTTACCCCGCTCAGCGAGGCAAGACAATGAATCAAGTTCTCATCCGTGACGCCGGATGCAAACGACTCCTGTATCTATGTATTGATCGTAGACCGACACGCCCACACCGCGCACGCCAGTGCCGACCAGGCTCGGATCTACCACTGCAAAGAGATGGCGGACGCTGATCGCATTGTACACACCTTAGGCGTGGCACCGTTGGCTGACCACGTATACCCGTCGGGGTTGAACGCCATGCTGATGTTGGAGGGGGCCGTCATGTGGGCCCTGGCACGCTGCAGGGCCGCGCGGTCGACGAACTTGGACGGATCACCGTTGTCGTAGATGAAGTCTCCGGGCTTAGACCCGTTGTACAGCACGAGACGAGACCACTGGTTGTTGGCGCGCGTGGGGTGATACCTCACACCGTGAAACGCAAAGTCCTTACCGGGCTTGTGCTTGGATGCTCTTGCCCGACTTGAGCTCTTTCGATGTGAGCGTCTCCGGTCGCAGCTCGCTGCTCACCTCTGCTATGCTCGAGTTGGCTCGATACTCCACATACAGCGAGTTGCTGAATGCATCCGCAAACACACGCCAGCTCTTGCTGGGCGCCGCGGTGATCTGCGCGAGATCGTCAGCGAGCTGGTTCATGATGGTGGGTATGTCTTTGACTGCCGCCTTCGAAGGCACCGCCTTGCGGGCGATGACAGCGTATCTCAGCAGGTAGCCATCATCGTCATCCATCAGACTACCACAGTGCCTGGGAAGAAGTACTCGGACGAGCTGAGGTAGCTCTGGAGGAACACACCCACCTCCTCCAACGACCTGGACAACTGGCCCGTCCTGGATGCCCTACTTTGACGATTTCACGACACTATACGAAAGACCGACAGCGTCCTCGAATATATCATCATAGGAGATCCGAAGGCTTCCGGACACCCGTGGCGGACATGGGGATCCCCGTCCTCCTCGGATAGGAAGGACGACGTGCTTCTGCTGAGACCATGGCGTACTGTTACGAGGAGATGGCTCGTATCGGCATCCGTATGTCAGATATGCAGGCGCGATCGACCGTCGGCTATGCAGCCATGTCGATCTGGAGAAATATGGAAGGGACCGTGGATACGACGAACACATCTGTCCGGGGTGCCAACGGAGTTCCCATAGCTCCGTATATAGCTCGCTAACACTAAGCGCTGCGTACAATAAAAGCAAAGCTCCAGGCATCAGTTTGAGTCTCCAGGACCTGAAACTTTCACAACGGACCAAGCATACCTACTGGAGTGAGCCACAGCGGATAGACCTTCCAGAACGCAGATGGGAAAAACTTCTACTGATTGGACATGTGTTTGAAGGAGTTCGCTTCCAGCACTTCTAATTGATAGAAGTCCACCCTTTACTGATTATCAAGTCAAATAAAGTAGCTCAAGCGATTCCCCATACCCTGTTTAGTGATGTCCAATATTATCAGGATTGTGGGTTGGGGTTGGTGTTTTAATGGGAGTGAACGGGCAAGAACAAGGAGCTGTGGAAAAAGCGCCGGCGGAGCTGCTTCCTGCCTCGCAAACGTATGTGAGCGCTGATGAGAGCTCTATTCTCTCTATTCTATGATTCCACATCATCAGGACCATCGCACATACCCCAAAAGAAACCAAAATTGAAGAAGCGAGTAGAATGTGGCCATCTCCACCACAAAACAAGCTTTCCCAAAAACCCGCCACACCTCCTCACGCATTCCTCTCCTCCGGCTCAACCCACTCCAGCCCCAGCACCCCAAAAATCTCCCTCTCGCTGCCCACATCCACCCTCTTCCCCGTTGCGCGATCAAACAGCCCATGGCTCACAAAATGGTACCGCCGCCCTTTATTCACCTCTCGTCCCCGCTTCGAATTGAAGGAGGAGACGATCCCCTTTTTGCACCATTCGCGGAGGCCGCGCTCGAATTGCTTGGAGCCGGACCAGCCGAGGATGGCGCAGGCCGCGAGAGAGGGCGGGGAGATGATCAGGTCAAGTTGGCGGTAGGTTTGCGTGGTGGGTTGGCGGAAGGCTACGAAGGCCTGTAGGGGAAGCGGGGTTGGTGGAAGGTCCCCTCAAAAGGCCCGAGATGGGTTTTTTGCTTTTCTCCCATAGAAGCCAAGAGTGACCTCCCCCACAGGCACAAACGACACGAAACACATACCTTTGCAAGATTATCGAAACTGGCCTTTCTGGCCGCCTTATCCACGAGTTTCTCCTCCGAAACGGCGTCCCGCTCGCGATCGTTGCCTTGGCCGTACCACATGACGTGTTTGACATGTCCTACATAGCGCCGTTTGTGGTTCAGTGAGGTCGGGCGGGGGGTGAGGGTGTGAAAGCATTGGTACCCAAACAAACAAAAACCTACCCTTCTTCTTGAGAATATCCACAAGCTGCGCCAACAACGGCCTCGTCATGTTCTCATCCGGGTGCGTGATCACCACATCACAATCGCCGGTCAGCTCTTTCCCTCTCCTGGCACCCAAAAGTTTATTCATTCGGTCCCTCCTCACCCCCACCCAACCCACAAAAACCTACCTATACCCCCCCACAGGCGTAACAACAAACCCCTCCGCAATCTCCCGCAAACACCCCTCCACAACCCCCACAACCTCCTCCACATCCCCCCTCGTCATCTTCCTCCCAAAATCCTCAAACATCTCCACGCCCATCTGCAGAACCCGACTCATCCGCCCCTCTTCGCCGGCGCGGATGTCGGCGATGGTGCGGTAGCCTTTTGCGTACCATTCGCGGGCCTTTGTGGGGCCGACGCCGTAGATGGAGGCGAAGGTGAGGAGGGTTTGGTAGAAGGCGGAGGAGGCGATGGAGGTCGATTCGCGGATGTGGCCGGTTTTGAGGTATTGGCGGATCTGGGTGAAGGGGGGAGAAGTTCAGTAAAATGCATTCACGCGGTGGGAGATTGACGGTTTGTGATCAGGGTCGCCCGAGTTTACCATCTTGGCGATCTTATCCCCAACACCTTTGATCTTCCGCGCCTCCCTCCAGCTCCGAATCGTTCTCGGATACGACTACCCACACGAACCAAACGAAAAAAATAATGACAGAATAAGCCAAAACGTCCTCCACCCTGCCCCACCCCGAACCCCCCAAACCTACGGTAATAGCAGCCATAGCCCTCCGATAACTCAACGCACTCCTCGCCTCACCCATCACCTCCCTCTGCTTCTCAATCACCCCCAGCAGCTCCACCAGCTCCATATTATGGTGCCGCAGCGGATGTTTGCGCTGCACTTCGTAGGGGGTGTTGCGAAAGGTTGGGTCGAGGGGGATGTCGAGGTCGTAAGGGGCGGTGGTGGATTCTTCTTCGGGGTCCGAGGAGGAGGAGTCGGAGAAATCCGAGTGGGAGGGGGAGTCGGAGTGGTGGGAGGAGTCGGAGAAAGGGGGGTGCGGGGAGGGCGGAGGATGGACACCGTTGGGTGCGGGTTCGCCGTCGTCCGAATCGGAGATGATGATCACTGGTCCGCCGGTTGGATCTCCACTGCCGTCATCACGCCGTTGACGTTTTGGTGGCGGAGGGCTGGGCGTCGAGACTAGGATCGGGGATATAGATCGTTTGGCCGTCGTCACCGTGCTGTCGGCGGAAGTTGGCGGAACGTACGAAGGGTCGGCATTGGATGTGACTACATAGGGGAGAAGATTGATGGTGTGGGATTCAATTGGTGGGGGGCGGGTGGATGATAATCTGGGTTGTGCGGCGATGTCAAACGTCAGTCAATTGGCCTATTGGACGCAGTTGTGAAGCGATCCCTTACCCTTCCTCTAACCACGCCAACGCCACCACTGGCTTATGGAACTATGACCCCATGGTAATTTGAAGTCAGCGTCTCCGTTTTCCCTGTATTCCATCATCCCACACCCTCATATTCTCTCCCCCCAACGTCAAAGTATCGCGGGTACCTGCCGCATATCCAGATGCTTTGCAATCCTCGCCGGACTATTTAGTTTTGTCACGACGATATCGCACTCCGTTTCCGAGGTGACCACAATCGCACCTGAGAAAACACCGAAATAAACTGTAAGCGTTGGTGATGGCTGAAGGATTGGGGTGGATGAAGCGACGCGACGCGTAGTAGGTGGGTGATTGAACGTGGACGGATGGTTGAATGGCTCATGGCTCAACGATATCCTGCTCGCTCCACTCGCGACATGGCTGTTGGGAGCGACGCCCATACACACAGAAACGAAGCGAGCATAAGGTTCTGAAATATCACACCTGCCTCCTCAGCCTTGTCCTGTAACAAATGGAGGTGGTCTTGTGGTATCTTTGTAGAAAGGATGAGTAGCCTGAGGCCGTGCCAGGAGGGAGGGAGCTGGAGTGCGGGGAGAGGGAGTGGAGCTGGTTGGCGCATTGTCCTGTCTTCAGTGTGTATGTATGTATGTATGTATGTATGTATGCAGTGTGGCGATCTGGGGTGGGACTAAAGAAGCCAAGCTGCTCTCCCCTTGCTGTCTGTCCGTCACCTTGCACTCGACTCGCGCTGTCAAAATGCTGTCAAAGGGCGCAAAGGGGACTCCGACTCCCCCCCACCCCGGCATTTTCATACGACCCACCAGGATTCTTTCAATACCTGGCCGACCGAAAAACCCCACGACGGAAAATGCGTACCCCCATTCTCGTCGCTATCACAGCGGCGGCCGCTGCGACCCTGGCTGCCGGCGCTTCCGTGACTGGCAAAATATTCTCGAACCCCACCTGCGCGGGGTCCGTCCTCATGGAGTCGGTCTTCACCGACAAAGGTAGGTAGGCTCAGGCTCCTGGTGTTTAAAAAACCCAGATGGAATCAGTCTATTCTACCCGTTGCTTATTCAACGACTGTCGCTATCTCGCGCAACAAGCATGCCTCTCTCTCCGCCCACTCTATGCCAGAGTCTCTTACGTGAACGGAGCCGTCGCGCTGCAGAACTACGATAGCCAGGCCAACTGTTTCCGTTAGACTGCGCCCATCAACACCACCACCCAAGCGGTCGACACCTGTATGAGAGGAAACAAACTTTACTGTAGCGACATCACGCTATCCGCGCCGGTCAAACCCGAGGCTCAAGCAGGCTGGAACACGTCCTTTGAATTGTACCCGACTCTCGCGGACTGCGGAGCCGGCAACGTCGCAAAGGCCACGCGGGTCTCCTCTGCCAAGACAAGCTACTGCTCCAACAAGACATTGGCGAACGGAGTGTTGGCCTCAACGTTCGTCACGTGCAACTCGGTCCGCTACCTGATGTGGGAGTACAACAACCCCGGGTGCCCCGATGCCGACTTTGCGGCTGTCTCGTCCTACGCGAACAACCAGTGCCTGGCCGCGTCTTCCACCACTGACGACTCGCTCATCAATCGTTGCTTGATTCCCGGCGGTGTTACCCCACCCGATTCTCCGTCTTCGCCTTTCAGCGCTGCCATTGCGGTGCGCCCGTCCCTCGCGGCTCTGGTCTCCCTGATGAGGGTACATGTGGCTGCTGCTTCCCTCAATCTAATGTAACCGGCCCAGCACGGGTCTAGAGAGGGACATATAGAGGCTAAGGCAACCACCGGCAACCACTGGGTGATTGGAGCGACGCTGGAAAAACCATGCGCTTTCAGGAGTCATCAAAGACCAAAGGGTGAGTGACTATCATTGGTAGTACCTACTGTGTATTATAATATGCTAACTCATCATGGAAATCAGATTCCGCACACTCTTTGCAAGAAACAACATTCCATGTTACCTGCTAGATGAGTATCGAACGTCCTCCGTGTGCCCAGACTGCCACGGCCGTGTGAAGAAAAACATCCGACGCCGGCTGTCATCTCGGCCGTGGCAAGCTAGAAAGGGAAGAATGGAATTCGTCCATGGATTGGTGGGTTGCCCCAACCCCGAATGCATCAACCAAGACTGGACGCCATTTGAGATTCCTGGAAGACAACCACTACGACTACAGATGAAAGTGCACAATCGGGACGTCCTCAGCATCAAGAATTTCCTCTCGATTGTGCGCTCGGTGGTGTTTGGCGATGGCCGCAGACCAGACGCATTCTCCCGTAACCGGTAGTCTAGAATCCTCACCCCATCCCATTTTCCGTGGTGGTTATCTGCCATCCACATCATTGTACCTCTGCCTGAGGCGTCGCCGATGATGGCAACTTGTAACATACAAGAGGTGCCCCACCGCGTTTCCCCCACCCATGGTTCGTGTCACTCTCAGTGAGCAAAGCATAATGTGCCCGAACATGCCCGAATATGCCTTCCACAAGTGGCTCTCTGCACCGCGTGAGTCTGTGGATAGGGTGGTACGCCAAAGCCCCCCTTTACCAATCCTTCAACCCCTCCCTCAACGTCACCGTCCTCCCGCCCGCGGTACTCGCCCCCTCGTCCTTCTTCATGTACGTCAACTCCTTCAACGCCGGGCCCAGCCCCTTCTTCAGTTCCGGCAGCGGAAGGCCCGGCGCCGCTTTCTGGATTTCGGAGATGAGCGTGCTGACTTCCATGGTTTCCCGGCGCAGGGTGCGGAAGATCTGGAGGACGGATGTTGTTGTTATTGAGGCTGTGTGTTGGAGGGACAGGAAGTGAGTGGAGGAGAAGGAGAAAGGAACCATGATGTAATATGATAGGGATGCAACTTACATGTCGCGGTGCTTTTGGTTGTCCCACTGCTCTTAGCCGCCGCAGCGGCAGCCGCCGGTTTCGGAGAGGTAGCAGACCCAGCCACCGGCGTCTTCCTAGTCGAACCGGCCCCAGCCGCGTTCTTCTTCATTCCCGTAGACGACGCCGGCGCCTTCCGTTTCGAGGAGCTTCCGCCACCAGTACCACCAGCAGGCGTCGCTCGTCCCGCGCTTGCAGACGCGGTGGCCGGTGACGTTGCTGCTTTCCCTGATGCGGCTGCCTCGCCCGCGGGTGTGCCGCGTTTGCTCCCGCTGCCTTTTGGTCGGCCTGCCGCGGCGGCTTTGGAGCGCGCGGAGGGTGGGAGGCCGGTGCCGGGGTGGAGTGGACTGCTAGACCGGCTGCCGCTGATGTGTTTGAGAATGTCGGCGGCTGAGTTGCTTTTTACGGGGCCTGTGTCTGTTCGCTGGCGCTAAAGGAAGCGAAAGTATATGAAAAGTCGGCGACCATGACATATACAGCCCTAAAAAGTCCGAAACAAACCTTATCCCCAGCGTCATCATCCGAACTCGCCGCCCCCTTCCTTTTCTTCCCCACCCTCGCCGTGTCCGACAAGGGCGACGTACTCCCCGCCCTCCCCAACGGACTCGACGCCCTTCCCACCCCAGTCAAATGGTTCGGCGAGTTCGCCTTCGACCCGCGTCCCGCATTCCCCAGATGGGCCGGCGACGTGCTCGCTTTCGGCCGCTTGGTGCCCATTTTCGTGGCGCGGTATTCTGGGGACGACAGCGCGGGCGAGACTCCACCCGCGAGTGCGGTTTCGGCTTTGATGCGTTTTGTTGTGGGGCCTGTGAGGGTGTCCGAGTCTTTGCGTTTGAGGAGGTTGGGTTCGGTTTTGATGGCGGGGTCGTCTGGGTTGGGCTCTTCTTCTTCGCTGTCGCTGTCCTCCTAAGTTTCTTTTCGCATGAGTTCCGATACGCACAAGTGGACCCAATGCGTGGAGGGTTGGGCAACTTACCACTTCACTGATATAAGGATTCTCCTCATCCGAGAACTTGATATCATCCGCCGCATCCACCTTCTTCAACACCTTCTTCAACCGCTTGCCCACCGCCGCCTCCGTCCGCGACTTCTTCTCCTCCATCACCTCATCCTCGTCATCATCGTCGCTCAAGAACCCGGTCCGCTTGCCGTGCTTGCCGTACTGCCGGTTTCGCGCCTCCTTCTCGTCTTCTTCGTCCTCCATCCCGAACCGGATGTCTTCGTCGTCGGCGAACTCTTCCTCGTAGTCGAGTTCGGCGGCGTCGAGGTCTTGCCGGTCGGAGCGGTCGCGGGTTTGTTTTTCTCTATCGAAAGATGGTGGTTGGCTTTTGCACAGATGGATTTTCAATGCCAGCAGTTGATCTTCGCAACTTACTCGGTTCCCAAGAGCTTCTTCATGTACCCCTTCTCCTCTTTAACCTTCGGCTCAGCACTTTCCGCGTTTTTCTCTTCCTTTCAAAAGTCGCGAAACACAAAAACGCCCATATAAGCAACCCGAACCCATCTGCCTCCACACGCCTTCCCCTCCCAAATGGACGCCCTGCCTCACCTCTTTCGCCTGCTTATGCATATACCACGTATCCAGCCTCCGTCCCCTCTGCTGCTTAATAATCTCATTCGCCTCTTCCGAGGTCAGTGTTCGATACTTCGGTTTTGGGGTAAACTTATACCACTTGTTCACCGGCACCGCCTGCAATCTATCGCCCTACAACGCAACCTCCCACCATCAGTCTGTAGGCCCACTTTGCACGCTCTCTATGTCCCCCCCAAAACGCACCTTCTTAATCATAACCATATAAACCGCCTCACTCGCCCCCTGCACATCCCCCTGGTACTGCACGCTCCCCTCGAAGTCACTAAACAGGTACGGAAACTTGTCCGGGTCGCGTTTATACCGCCTGCGTTCCGCCCGCGCGTCCGGGTCGTCATCCTCATTCGGATCCCTCGACAGCGTGTAGATCTTGGTCTTTTTCTGGAACCGCTTCGTCCGTGTCTTGATGGCATTGCCGAAGGGGGCGATCGTGGTTGAATCCGGTTTGGGTTTCTCGATCCCTTCCGATGCGCCTGACCCTGACGGCGTGCCGCCGCCGCCGCCCCCCAGCGGTGTGCTGGTGCCGGTGGCAGCGCCGTTGGCGTCCCCGAGTTTAGCGAACCGCCGCCTCGGCTCGGGCTTATCCCGGACCATCCGCAGGGGCGGGACCATGCTGGCGAGGTGGAACTTTGGGTCGGGGATCTTCATGACGTTGTAGGTCAGTTTGGGGTCGCGGGGGTAAGGTACGATTTTGAGGGTGGTCCGTTTGGCGTCGGTTGCACCACTGGGTGCTGGTGGGTTGGTGGAGGATGACATTGCGGTACGGGCGAGGGGAGTCGGGGGCGAGCTAAAGTGATCTTGAAAATGTCTGGGAGTGGGTTGCTGAGGGCGTGGGTATGCAGTGAAGCAGTCGTCTATGCAAGGGAGCTGCGAGAAGGAGGTCTCTATCCGCAGGTGCCGATGCAGCCAGTCCTTCGCAGAGGGCGGTTGAAGCGGGAATGTCAAAATTGGGGGGTGTCGGTGATGGAGGGGAAGCAGGCCGAGTCTCCCCATCCCCTTTCAGCGAACGCGTCCCTTCCGGCCAAGTGCGATTGCGATGTTCCCAAAACAAAAGTTTCTTTCTTCACAGCAAAAACCACATACAAAAAAGACACAAAGCAGGGGTCGGACAGGGAGAGAGAGAGAGAGCGAGATGCAGAGTTCATGTCCACGCAATAGAAAAAGGGATCGTGTTCATTCAACAAAAAAGTAGTGTTTTCACCCCATCCTCCTCTCCCCTCCCCTCCCCTCCAGCGTCCAACCCACGCCCATCGTCCCACCACCCCCATCTAATGCGCCACAGTCCCCACCGGACTCTTCAACGCCGAATTCGGCGCCGTAGCAGACGTCGGCGTCGCAGGCACTGTGCCCCCGCCCTTTGAGGTGGTGAGCTCCTCGAGGGAGCGGTGACGGGAGAGTTCCGACAGGACGGTTTCGTCGACGGGGAGGACGGATTTACGGCGGAAGCGTTGCGGGGTGGGGCGCTCGTCGAATTGTTGCTGTTGGTTGGGGGAGGAGAGGTGGATTCAGCGCTGAGAGGAGGTGTGGGGAATGAGGTGGATGTTGTTTTCTTACCATGTCCTTCCCAAGGAGGTCATCCTCAGGTAACTCGGCCTTGCTGGGCGTCTCATCTGTGGCGCTCGAGAGCACTACCAAACCAAACCATCCCAAGTCAGCCTCCCTCTTCCAACAACTCATGGTAATCGCTTTCGCTCGACAACTTACATCCCGCAGAAACCGACACACTCGGCACAACCGGAACACCCAGCCGCGGCGCGCCCGGCGCGCCACCGGAAGACAGGACTTTGCCCGCATTCTGGGCCGCGATCTGCTCCAGCTTCGCCCAGGCTTCTTCGCGCTCCTTTTGTTTCTTCCGCTCTCTAATCAAAGGGGAAATCGAGAACGTCAGGTTCTAAGGGAACATGGACGTTCGTGATGGGTGTGATTACGCACAATTGTCGGTTCTGCTTATACTTGTTCGTGCACTCGTCAAACAGCTTCGGGCTGATCTCCATGAACAGCTTTAGCGCGTTGTACACGAGCCCATGGATAGTCCTATAAATCAATCATGCATTCAAAGGTTCAGTATCTCCTCCTATACGGTATCAAGGAATTGCTTGCATTCGTTGTTTTTTTTTACCTATTCCAATGGGTTTTAGAGTTCCGATAAAGCGACGAAAACATGATGGGCAAGATCACGTTCGCGTTGTCGCCAATCAGGTTGATGATGTAGTCGTTGTTCCAGTAATACAGGGCTCGTTCCGCCACCTTAGAAATTAAGAAGCATCAGTCTCCCAAATCACCACCCCACTTGGCGCCAACACGTAACTCGCCCGTGAATGCGTTCGCTGACTGGCGCATTCGCATCCACCAACTAACCTGAAAATGCGGCGTAGAAACACACCGCGAGATCTGCTGAAACAGCGGCGTCTGGATCTTGACAAACTCCTGCGGCTCAATCACGTCCAAGATCTCCTCAATCTCATTCAGGAACATGACCTCCTTTGGGGAGTTGACCTTTGGCCAGAAGCGGAGGAGGCCGCATACCACCTTGAAATAATCATACACGTCAGTGACACAGGAATGGGGGACGGTTTCTTTTGAAGTTTTTAACGCTTACCTCCTCGGTAAGAGCCGGATCCTTTTCCAAGAATTGCACGACGCAGTATGCCAATTGCGGGTGATAGAGCGTCAGCGACTTGGCCTTGTGCAGTGGTATGAGCACACGGGTCAGGAACACTTTATGCTCTTCCTTCAATGGCAAAGCGAAGCCGTTGATGATGCTTGAAACCAAACATTTCAGCTTTTCATCTCCATGAAGAATGGTGATTCTTCTTTATATCTTACCTTCCCAAAATTTCCAAAAGCTCCGCAATGCCATTGTGTCGCTCAATCTCATAAATAAACTGGAAAAAGACATTGTTGATGGATCGTCGGATGAACGCGCGCAGGTTGAGGAATTTGCCGTAGATGCGGTGCAACGTCGTTTTCAGAAAGTCGCGCTCTCGTGGGTCTTCTGAGTCGAATAGGTCCAGAAGCTGTGCAAAAAGATCGAATCCAATGTCAGTTTTCCGGGAGAACTCCAAATAATACGTGAGGAAGTCCCCACATACCTGAAGAATAAAATGCTGATCTATATATTTTTTCGCAATATTGGTGTTGAAATCCGGCGATTCGATGAAGCGGAGGAAGAACTCGTAGACGATCTGCAGATGGGGCCATGCCATTTCCAAGACCGGTTCGTCTTCCTCGGGGTCGAAGGCGTCCCCGCTCGGGTTGACTTGCGGAGGTATAGTTCGGAACAGGTTCATGCCGAACTGCAGGCCATTATTATACTTTCAGTCAACGGTACTGATATCACGAATCAAGTACGTTCGAGGCCTACCATATTCATAACCTCCGGGTATATCGGCTCGGTGATGACCCCTCTATTGTTGCTTATGTACTCCACCAGCTCAGTGAGTGTATGGCGCTTGATCTCCTTGCCTTTCAGGTCCGACAGGGAGTCGTTAAAGTCGAACAGGACGCTGCATTGCTGCAGTTTTTTGATTAGAAGCTCCTGGCGTTCGACGGGTACCACGTCTGTGACATAAAATCGTTGTGAATGAGTTCAACAAAAAAGCCATAGGACATTGAAACGTTTCCCAAGAGCGGTCTCTCTCTGTGGCATTCAGTACGCACCTTTGAAACCAGGAAGTTTCTCTAATTCGACGCGTTCGGTGACATGAAAACGCGATGACCGTTGCCGGCGAGGTGCTTTGCTGATGGGGACCGTGTCCTTTGGCGTATTTTTCAATCTGTTCAGAGGCCCGCTCTTTGGGATTTCCTTGTCGCCTCCTTTGTGGGCTCCGGTCTGTAATCCCATTGCTCGAGATTAATATCCCATCCAGTCTCTTCCTCATCGCCACAAACTTATCCAATTCTGCTTCCTACCGATGTCTGCAAATCCATCTTGGTGGTGTCCTCTTTCCGGGTAGTGATGATGGGTGGCTCCTTTGGCAGCTTCTCTTTCGGGGCTCCAGCAGCCAACTTTTCCGGCTTGTGTGGCGCAACGACTGTAGCGGCGGCGACTTTGTTGGGCGCCGTAGATTTAGAGGGTGTCTGGGAGTCGTTGGAGTCAGAGGGCTTATTTCTAGATAGCTATCAGAATCGGAAAGAAATATAGGTCAGCCGCGTTGGCGTTTCTTCCTAGATTTTACCCCCCCTCCAACTCGCAACACGGGCGGGTATGACACTGGATACGCACAACGCGGTTCTTCAATCCTTTCATCTCGAGGTGCCCTTAGGACCCGACGCTCCGACGGGCTGTGTTCACGGCGTTTGTCCGTGAACCAACTGCTAGCACGGGTGGTTTTCGGGATGGCGGCAAGATGGGCAGCCGCGGCTGGTGGTCTGCCGGCGAAGCGAACAAAAAACACAGCTGTCGCGCGTTGCCGTTGCTTTTGCGAGTTGCGGGGTGCGGATATTCTGCTTGGGAATGATAGTGCGTGAGGCGCCAATAGCGAAGTTCGGCTGGGAGACCAATAAAAAGTGGGGGCGACTGTGAGTTTCCAACAGTGTGGTGAAACGCAAGAATGTTCGGTTCGCTCAGCTGCGAAAGTATCTGAGTACTCACAATACAACCCCAGCTTCGGAAGCTTACTTCGTGCAAGATGCGTGGATGCCACAGGGTTGGGGCGGCCCTAGCTTTATTTTTTCTGCGGAGGGGCCTGAAAATAGCAACAAGCAAACCTCCTCTCCTGTCAAGTCAAGGAAGCACAGACACGCGCTTGGGCTCGGCTATAGGAATGGCGGGCAAAGACCGAACACTAGGGGAGAATGTTCCGTACGCAGGAGATACGTAGTTTATGGGATAGCAATGCGAAGTTTGGCTTGTCAACGTCCTGGGGGGGTGCGCGATGTCTGTTGCGGCACAGCTTCCGTCTGCTGCTGACGTTTTTTCCCACGCCGTTCTTTCACGCAGAGACTTGAGAGGCATGTCCAAATTAAACGAAGCGTTCTCAAATGAGGGAGTGGATGATCCCCCATCCCACTTTCTTATTACGGGACGATTAGGGAACCAACCCCCGTGGACGATCGCTCGTCACTCGGTCCGCCGCTAATCATTTTTGCTCAAGAGACGCGTCGAAAATGGTGGCTCCCTCCCTCGGCCTCCCAGAAGGAAAGGTGCGAAGCCAAGTGCCCCCGCTCTCGATGCTCCTGACGAAAGGCAGAAAGGCAGCAGGTGCAGGAAACACTGTACTGTACATATGCAGTGTTCGGTATGTCGCCGAAATCAAGGACGGTCGTGTCAGGATATCCTTCCAACCGAGATGCATGACCAGCGTGGGAAAAATCCTAACCAAGTGGACCAGACGTATGTCACAACCATCGAGAAACGGTCCTAATCCCGAACATAGCGAGGGCCCCATTATGCCCGGCTTTCTGTCGGGTGGTGATTGATGCTCTGGCGGTGGGAAGTGGTTGGGGAGTGTCAACTCCTGTTCGGCCGAGAGCGAAAGCGCGTCGAGATGTCGGCTCGCCAAAGTCGCTTGCGTGGCTACCCTTGCCCTCCGACTTCCAAATTCGCGTCCTAATCCCAACCCCCCAATCGCCCTCACCTACACAAGAATGACAGCCCCATCAAAACCCACCGACCCTAAAAAGTCCGCCGAGGCAAAAGCAGAAGACACCGAGACGGCCGCCGCAAAACTCAAGAACGGCACCGCCGCGATCGCGCTGGAGGAGGATGATATGTTTGAGGATTTTGAGGCTGACGGTGGGTTGATGAGAGGCTCGGGGGAGGGAGGCGAGGGGAGAGGCGGGGGTTGCGGTTGGAGTTTGGGTGTTGGGTTCGAGTGCGATAAGCAACGAACCTTGAAGGCCCATTGCCTGCATTCCACCGATCGTACTTTCCCACCACCACGCATCCATCCTTACATCGTATTACACTTTTTGTTTGTGCAGCCTGGGAAGAAACAGAAGAAGACCAACTGAACATACATCAGTGGGAGGACACGTGGGCGGACGACGACGATGGCGAGGATTTCGCTGTTCAATTGCAGTGCGTGCCCATCATTACTCCTACCCCTCCCTTTTCTATGATGGCTGATATCTCGTATTTTTTCAAGATCGGAAGCCGCTAAGAGAAAGACAGGGTCCCAGCCCATGAAGTTGTAAATAGCTGTGGTGAAGGAAACAGACACGAGAATAGGTTTTTTTTGGCCGGCTTGGGAGACCGAAAAGATAGCAAAGAACCATACGTTCCCCGCGCATGATTTCTCTCGAACGACACGAATCTTCCGAGTATCAGTATACACGCGGACATATGAGTGTTACTCCTGGGTATGCCAATGGGGCGTGATTCCTTGATCACCCCTCCACAACTCGAACAACAACAACATCACAATCCGTCCCCACCGCCTTCCTCGCCGCCTCAAACCCATCCACACTAACCGCACACAGCTCCTCATGCGTTCCGGGGTCACGGTACAGAAACGAGTCGGTGGATTCGTCGTAGGCGACGAGGAGGATGTAGTGGCCGATGAAGTCTGTGTCGTGCGGGGGTGGCGATGAGGGGGACAGCCGGGGGGGGGAAGAGGTTGGGGTTGCGGTGGGAAGGGGGGTTATCGAGCGCGCTGGGGAGGAGGGGTGGGTTGATGAGGGGGCGCGGGGGCGGGGTTGGGGGTAGGGTTGGGGTTGGGTGGTTGGGTATCTGGGTGGCGTTGGAGTGCTTGATGATGGTGTGGGTATATGCTCCGGGTATGGTGGCTTCGTGGTGGATTTGAAGCAGGAGAAGCAGAAAGACGATGTCGAGGCCGTGGGTTCTGCCGGGGATGCTTTGCTTGGTGATGAAGGCGATGATGGTGATATGACGACCGGTGAAGATGGGACCAGTAGCGGCGTCGCGGAACCCCTCCTATCCCGTCCAGCGGCAGCCGTTTCACCTCCCACACCCACCGTCGTCGTTGTCGTCGGTGATGGCCGCCTCCCACCCCACAGCCCCCTCCAAAACCGTTTCGTCCACCCACTACACCACCGACACCTCAACCTCCTCAAATCGACCAACACCACACACGCGTACAGCCCACTATCCACGAACCGCACGATATCCAGCACCGGCAGCGTGTGCGCGACCACGCGGACCCTGTTCTCTGCGGCGCGCTGGAAGAGGGCATGGATGCGACGTCGGTCCGACGGGAGGGTGCGTGCGTAGAAGAGGCTGTGGGTGTAGCGTTGGTTGACGCCGATGTAGGATGTGTAGTATGCTGTGGAGACATACACATGTTAACACGGAAACCTTGGCTAACCGTATGCAGAGTTTCCCTTCACTTACTGAAATCCCGCACGCCGAATTTCCTCAGAAGGTAAGCGAGGTCAATCGTCCAGAGTCCGTCGGCGTCCGCAGCGGCGCCATCGTCGGCGTCCAGGAGGTCGGCGTGCGTGTGGGCGATACTGAGGGCTGTGAGGACCATGCTGACGCAGGCGAGGCCGCAGTCCCATGTTGCGACCTGTATGCGGGATGGGCTATGTGAGCTACATGGATATGACCCTGCCATAGATGGGCACAAAGACAACTTGGAGAGGAGACAAGTATTTCCCTCGAGCTTCAGAGTGTTTGCAAACCGTACGTACCTGTTGGAGGTGTGGGATATGCCCGACCAAGGAACTCGAACCGGCGGCCATTGTGAGAGTGAACACTCCTATGAACTAGAAGTATATGACGGACCCACACACTAAGCGGTATTGTTTGATAGCGTGAGAGGGAGCGAGGGAGGGTATAGTGGGTATATGCGGGTATATGGGGCTGCTGGAGGGGTGCGATGGAGGAGTTGTTTGAGCAGGAGGGACTGAGGAGGGAGGGGGCGAGACGAGGGAGGCCGTGGCGGAGTGTGATGTGATCGCTCCCCTCCGTCGCTTTCAGTCGCACTGGACACCCTATCGCCGATATCCCACCACACAACTCAAGCACTCCAACCCCCACTCTGCTCCAACCGTTCCTCTGCCCTTTCCTTTCAAGCCAGAATGTCGCTCACGAAAGGAGAGCGCAACATCACCATCTGTATAGATCGCGGAGGTAACAAAAACGTCACACTTCCAGGCGACCCATTTATCCGAATTCGAACTAACCGCTCACCCATTCTACAGGAACGTTTACCGACTGGTGAGAACCCGGAGAGACAGAGAAGGGACAGTCTCAACGGACAAGTGGCCGAAAGCTAAACCATCATCCATCCACCCAGCATCGCATTCGTTCCCACAAAAGATGGCACCTCCCCCTACAAAACAATCGTCGTGAAACTTCTCAGCGTCGACCCACAGAACTACCCCGATGCACCCCGGGAGGGAATACGGCGGATCTTGGAGTTGGCGACCGGGGTGCCGCATCCGGCTGATAAGCTGGTGAATACTTCGAGGTGTGTTTTTTGGGGAGTTGTGGTTTGGACCACTTGAGGCGTTGTGGCTTATGAGTTGTGGTTCGGAAGGTTGAAGGTCATCAGGATGGGGACGACTGTTGCGACGAATGTGAGTTGATGGTTTGCGAGGAGGGGATCACGGACATGTGTATGGGTTTGCTGATGCAGGGTGCTTTAAACAGGCACTGCTGGAACGTAAAGGCGATGCCAGCGCGTTGGTCATCACCAAGGGGTTCAAGGACCTGCTGCATATCGGGAACCAGTCTCGGCCAAAGATCTTTGATCTCGCCATCGAGAAGCCCGCTGTACTGTACAAGACGGTCATCGAGGTGCACGAGCGGGTGGCGCTCGTGAAGGAAGGGGAGGACGAGGGTGGTGAGCATGTAACGGGGGTCACCGGCGAGAAAGTAGAGATACTAGAGCCCCTGAACATCGGGCAAGTCGAAAAAGACCTGAGAGCCGTCTACGATTCCGGAATCCGCAGCATCGCCATCTCCCTGCTCCATTCCTACACCTTCCCAGACCACGAGAAGCGCGTCGCGGCAATCGCCAAACAGATTGGGTTCACCAACATCACCCTCTCGTCAGCGATCATGCCGATGGTCAAGATCGTGCCCCGCGCAGCGTCGGCGATGGCGGACGCATACCTCACCCCCGTCATCCAGCGGTACATCGAGGGCTTCTTCTCCGGGTTCGATGAGGATATCCGCGATCCGAAGAAAGTGAGGGTCGAGTTTATGCAGAGCGATGGCGGGTTGACGCCCGTGGAGGATTTCAGTGGGTTTCGCGCGATTCTGAGTGGACCTGCTGGCGGGGTTGTTGGGTACGCTCGCACGAGCTGGGACGAGCCGGAGGCGAACAGCGTCAGGGGTGGGAAGGCCATTATCGGGTTCGACCAGGGTGGGACATCCACCGACGTTTCGCGGTATGCGGGACAGTACGAACACGTGTTCGAGACGACTACAGCCGACGTTACGATCCAAGCGCCGCAACTCAACATCAGCACTGTGGCTGCCGGGGGTGGTTCGCAGCTGTTTTTCAGAAGCGGGCTGTTTGTCGTCGGGCCGGAGAGCGCCGGCGCGAACCCGGGCCCAGCGTGTTATCGTAAAGGCGGGCCTGCCACCATCACCGACGCGAATCTGGTCCTGGGACGGCTTGTGCCCGCCCACTTCCCGGCCGTGTTTGGACCCAGCCAGTCTGAACCGCTTTCCACTGAAGCGGCGTTCAAGGTCTTGCAAGAGATCGCTGATGAGGTTAATCGCGCGAGTCCTGGTGGACAGCCGATGAGCGTTGACGAGGTGGCGTTCGGGTTCATCAAAGTCGCTAATGAGGCTATGGCGAGGCCTATCAGAGGTCTGACGCAGGCCAAAGGGTTCAACACCGCTGACCATATACTTGCCTGTTTTGGGGGCGCTGGCGGGCAGCACGCCTGCGCTATTGCGAGGTCCTTGGGCATAGGCATGATTCTCATCCACAAACATTCATCCATCTTGTCCGCTTATGGGCTCTCCCTAGCGGACGTAGTTCACGAGGAACAGGAGCCATCCGCGCACACACTTGGGGAGGATGCTCTGCCAACTATCAGAGACCGCGTGCAACACCTCCAAACCGCATGCACGACCTATCTCCAAAATGAAGGCTTCGACCACACCGCCATCGAGCTGGAAGTCTACCTCAACCTGCGCTACCAAGGCACCGACCACGCCATGATGACCCAAAAGCCCGAGGACAGTTGGGACTTCCAAACCCCCTTTGTTGCGCAGTACCAGCAGGAATTCGGGTTCACACTCCCCGACCGCGATATCATCATCGACGATATTCGTGTGCGCGGTATCGGGAAGAGCGCTGTGGCGCCCGAGACCGACCACTCGGTGTACGCGGACCTCGCGACCTTGACCCAACGCGACGTGAGCGGAACCCATATCGACCAACAGCAGGTGTTCTGGGAAGGCGGCCGCGTCGACACCCCCGTGTATCTCATTCCCAACATGCAACCGGGCGACCACGTCCACGGGCCCGCCCTGCTGATCGACCGTAACTCCACCGTCGCCCTCGAACCCCTCTGCCACGGGACCATGACCACCTCCCACCTCGTCATCACCCTCGACACCGTCAAGCCCACCACCGCGACGGCATCGACGGACCTTGACCCGATCAAGTTGTCGGTGTTCGCGCACCGGTTCATGTCGATCGCGGAACAGATGGGCACGACGTTGCGGAAGACGGCGATTTCGACGAATATCAAGGAACGGTTGGATTTTAGTTGTGCGCTTTTTGGCCCGGATGGCGGGTTGATTGCTAATGCGCCACATATCGTAAGTGTCTTCATGTCCTCTTATATTTCATTCAAGCTAAGACCGTACGTCGTATGACACAAAACGTCTTTTTCTTTGTGCTAGCCAATCCACCTGGGCAGCATGCAGGAAGCAGTCCGATGGCAGATGCGATCGACGGAGATGGAGGATGGGGATGTGCTTGTGACGAATCACCCGAGCGCTGGCGGGTCGCATTTGCCGGATATCACGGTGATTACGCCGGTGTTCAATAAGGGCGTGATTGAGTTTTTTGTGGCGAGTAGGGGCCATCATGCTGATATTGGAGGTATGTGAATGCGGGAGATGCGCTCTGTTGTTTCTCGGTGGGTAAAAAGTTGACCGCTTCCTTTTCACACAGGCATCCGCGCCGGCTCAATGCCCCCCGACTCCCGCGAGCTCTACCAAGAAGGCGCAGCCATCAAGTCCTTCAAACTCGTCCGGAAAGGCCACTTTGATGAACCCGGCATCCGTCGCATCCTCGTCGACGAACCCGCGCAATATCCCGGCTGTTCAGGCAGCCGCTGCATCAACGACTGCATCAGCGACTTGAAAGCGCAGACGGCCGCCAATCACCGAGGAATCACCCTTGTCAGGCAGTTGATTGAAGAATATGGGTTAGAGACCGTGCAAGCCTACATGGGCTACATCCGCACCAATGCCGAGACCGCCGTCCGCGACCTCCTCAAACGCGTCGCAGCCTCCGGAAGAACCACCCTAACCGCCTCCGACTGCATGGACGACGGCACACCCATCACCCTCACCATCACCATCGATGGCCCCACGGGTTCCGCAGTCTTCGACTTCACCGGCACCGGCCCACAAGTCTACGCCAACACCAACGCCCCCCGCGCAATCACCTACTCCGCCGTCATCTACTGCCTCCGCTCCCTCGTCTCCTCCGACATCCCCCTGAACCAAGGCGCACTCAACCCCGTGGAAATCATCATACCCCCCAACACCCTCCTCTCCCCCGCCGAAGGCGCCGCAGTCGTCGGCGGGAACGTGCTCACCTCCCAACGCGTCGTCGACGTCGTGCTCAAAGCATTCAACGCGTGCGCGGCGTCCCAGGGCTGCTGCAACAACTTCACGTTCGGCAAAGGCGGCGAGGGCGGGTTCGGGTACTACGAGACCATCGCGGGCGGATCGGGCGCCGGGCCGACCTGGCACGGCCGCAGCGGCGTGCACACCCACATCACCAACACGCGGATCACCGACCCGGAGATCTTCGAGCGGCGGTACCCCGTCCTTCTGCGCGAATTCGGACTCCGACCGAACAGCGGTGGGGAGGGATTGTACCGCGGGGGGGATGGGTGTGTACGGGAGGTGGAGTTTAGGGAAGAGGTGGAGGTGTCGATGTTGAGTGAACGGAGGGTGTTTGCGCCGTATGGGATGGAAGGGGGTGGGGAGGGACGGCGGGGGGTTAATACATTGCTTAGGAAGGATGGGAGGACGGTGAATTTTGGGGGCAAGAATGCGACGAGGGTTACGAAGGGGGATCGGGTGAGAATCGAGACCCCGGGGGGTGGCGGGTGGGGGAGGAAGGGTGAGGATGTCAAGGCGTAGGAGCTAGTTATTCCCCTTCTCATTTCGCAAGTGAACCATAACTCTTTCACTTAGATATTTTCTTAGCATCACCCCGTTCTGTACATCTGTAGGCCACTCGCCCTTTGTTTACAACCAAAAAGGCAGTAATCTGTAATGCGTATGTTACAAAACGCTCCCGACTGTATAGACACATGTAGACATGTACATTCTTCTGTAACGGAATCTCACTTCCGGGCCGTCTCCTCGTAGTTCTCCAGCAACCATTTCACGGTGGCAACTTAGTGCTGTAAGAAAAACGATAGGTGGAAAACAGATGAAGCCCCCAACGCGTGGTTGTCACTGTCGAGGAGAAAATAGAATAAATAGACCACCCGCCGAGTCACATGACCGCGCATGACTCTTGCGAGTTGCGTTTCCTCTCGCTTCCCCAAGAACCCCTTTTTTCGCTGTGGGGCCTTTTTGCGCTGGCATTGCTATTCGGACTGGCTGCTACCACGGTTTGTTGGAACCACCGCCCTCTCACATAACTACCGACGCTCATAGCATTCAGGGCGCTCACCCGGGATAAAGAGAGTTCGTCCTTGAACTTTCGAAGTAGTGGAAGGTTTTGTCAGAAAGGAGTCTTTCCAGGGTTTTGCATATCTTGTTCGACAACGGACCCACATCTCGATATTCGTGCTGAGCCGAGCGGATACTGTTGGCCAAAGCCGCTTGCTCTTCAATCGTCCTTTCTAACTTCATTCAAGTCGATTTCCACCTTCCCGGACAATTTTCCTCCCCCCGGCCCCCCGCATTATGACCGCCAAAAAGCAAACGTCCCAATTCTCTGCGCAAGCAGTGAAGCAACAAAAGCAAAACCACGAATTGCATCAAACGGCGGCCTTCTCTCTCTCCGCATTCGACAATGAAGCACCGAGGAGCGGCAGTGCCGGCACGCCCAGCTCAAGCCAGTATTTGGCTGCCGTGGCGCCCGGCGTAGGGTCTTTCCGGTTGCGTGTGTGGGACACCCGGACCTCGTCCCTAGCAGGCGAACATGTCGGTACTGCCGGTGCCACATGCACGGCGGTCTCGTGGGGTACTACTCAGGAGGGGTCTGCGAGTACAGAGGGAGAAAAGAAGAAGAAGAGGAGAAGGTCAGGAGCCCCTACCGCATCGACCGGCAACGAGCAGAAGGTGGTTGCGATGGGTCTTTCCAATGGGGAAGTGCAGATTTACTCCCTCGCGCATGGCAAGGTTGTCAGCACTCTGAGTGGCGTGCATACGGCTGGCGTGACGGATTTCGCGTTTGCGGCTGACGGCGTGCGGGGTTACTCTGCGGGTCTGGATGGGATAGTCGCCGAGTGGGACGTTCGGACTGGAGCGGAACTGGGACGGATGGTTGCGGATGGCAAACCGGTAAAGAAGGTCCGCGTGTCCAACGACGGCACGAAGCTGCTGACGGCCGGCCACGCTATTCGGTTATGGGATGTTGCTGCAAGATCGGTACTAAAGACATATCCTGGGCACGCGTCTGAGGTCATCAGACTTCAGTTCAGCGCCGACGGTGCGCTCTGCGTCTCGGCTGCGGAGGATGATAGGCACTTAGGTGTCTGGGACACTACCAAAGAAGGCACCAGTGATCGAATCACGTCTCTCACGATGGAGTCGTCCCCTATCCACATTGCGCTTTCGGCAAATAACGCCGTGCTGTCGCTAACGGAGGAGGGAGTTGTATATTTATGGGCGGATGCGGCAAAGACGGAGGTGACGGCCTCTGCGAGCAAGAAGAAGAGAAAGACAGCAAACCTATCACGACCAGCGGAAAGCAGCATTCGCATCGTGTCCACGGACGACAAGAAGCCATTACCCGTTCTAGCCGCCACGTTCTCTGACGACAAGGTTCTGATCGCAAGGGGACATGTGGTCAAACCCGCTTTCGAACGGATAGACTATGTCAACGACGACGGAGCATTGCACAACATCGAGCTGAGCCGCAAACACGTCCACTCCGTCCTCCTGGAACAGGAGACCGCCGTAGGCGCGTCTGGCGCGAAAGGATCGACCACCCCGTATAAGGAGGACCACAACACTCTAATCCTCGGAGCCGGTGACCTCCCACTCGACAGCTCCTCCCTCACCGGCGACGCGCATCTCCTCTCCAACGCCGAGCAGAACGCACTGAAAGAACCCACCCTCGAAGAGCGTCTCTCCGCCATGTCCGTCGCACCCACCGGCACAGACACCAAAGCGGCACGCAGCACCACCACCAAATCCCGCCGCCCGCCCACCGCCAACTCCCTGCACCAAATGCTCTCCCAAGCAATCCACACCAACGACATCCAGCTCCTCGAACAAGCCCTCCAAGTCCACGACCCCGACATGATCCTCGCGACCGTGCGCCGCCTGCCCCCCGCCCAAGTCATCCCCCTGTTAGACCAACTCCTCCTCCGCCTCCAAAAACGCCCCAACCGCGCAAAACAGCTCATCGAATGGGTCCGCGCCGTCGTCCTCGTCCACGCGGCTTACCTCATGTCCGTCCCGCACCTCGCCGCGAGTCTAGGCGCGCTGTACCAGTTGCTTGATTCGCGCGCTGCGGTTTTCCAGAAGCTGTTGAGGTTGAGTGGTCGTCTCGATTTGGTGGTTTCGCAGACTGCGTTGAGGAGTAAGGCGAGCGGGGGGGAGGTGCTCGAGGAGGAGCCGTTGGTGGCGTATGATGAGGAGGAGGAGACGGATAGTGAGGATGAGGAGGGGTTGGAAGGGGAGGAGGAGGTTGATGGGATGGAGTTGGATGAGGAGGTAAGGGCTTTGTGATGGAAACTGGCTGTTGTCGCTCAATGCTTGGGGCTTCCTTCCCTTGTGCGTTTGCTCATCTAGTTTTTCCCCTTTATCTCATACAGGAGGATGATGAAGAGTCTGAAGAAGAGGACGACGTCGATGAAGACGACGATGAAGACGACGAAGAAGAGGAGGACGAAGACGGCATGTAAAAAAAAACACAATAACACCCTCAATTCCACACCGCACAAGTCTATCATCCTCAAATCCGTACGCACGCACGCACGCACGAGTCAACCGCAACATCATCACAATAGACGTAGTATATATAGGCCACCATCACCACACGTAGGGTAGATTTCACGGGCGCCCGCCGTCCGCTGTCCGCTGTCATATCACACACCGTACCGCGTCCACAGCAACCACTGTCTCCATCCCTTTTTATTGTCATTCTTTATGTTTATTTCATCTTTTATTGGGTATGCATGTGTCGCAGCGTATACTTGGTTGAGCGTTCTCGGTCTAGCGGGTCGTTTGAGGAGGAAAGCGGGGATCGTCGAGGACGCGTTCGCCATCGCAGCTCTGATCGTAGCTAGACGTTTTCCCAGCCGCCGTTTCGCAAAGTCGGCCACCATTCCCAACGCCCTACCAGCCCCACACCGTCCAGCAGGTCACAGCAATAACCCTTCCTCCCTCCTGAACCGCTCCCGCCTACGCCCCCCTCGCCAACAGAAAGAATGTCAACCCCAACAACACCCCCACGCCCCTCCCCGTACACCTCCGACCCGTACCCGTGCAAATCCCTCGCCTGCGCCATCCAGGCATGCCTTATAAAGAGCGATTACGACCAGGCGAAGTGTTTTCGGGAGACTGGTGCGTTCATTGTCATCTTACAGTCTTGAATCAGGTGTTGGCTGATAACTTACTCCGCATGGGATGTTTAGAGGCGTTCGAGGCGTGCTGTAGACGGGCGAGGGAGGAGGGGAATGAGAAGGCGCGGGAGGCGTGTGGGTATGTGTGGCGAAAGTGGGGGAGGGAGGGGACGGTGTAGGGCGTGGGGCTTTCGGCTACCCGAGGAGGGAGATGTAATGTAGATGAGGAGGGGGTTGTCGTGTTGGCGTACGGCGGGGAGGGAGGTTGGGTGGAAATGGAGCAGGAATCCGTTCGTGGCTTTAGGTAGGGGCGAGGGAGGCGAGGGTTAGCTTTCTGTATCATGGGAGAGATGAATATCTGCGGCTTCGGCATCGCTTTGCCATCTTGGTAGATAGGGGAGCATTCAGACCACATTATAAAGCGAGCCTGGAAATCTAGGAAATATACTCGCCAAACTTGGGGGCTGGACGTCATTGCCCTCCCATTAGCCCTCAATTTTCTAAAGCTACATCCGTCGACTTATCGTTGACCTTCAAAATCCCGCCCATCTGGGCCGTCCCACTACGGGCATTGTAGATCCGCAGCGTTCGTGCCTCGGAGACGTCGTCGGCCAAACAGCTGTTTCGGCGCTCTACTGAGTCGTAGAAAGATAGCTTGTGAAGATAACCCGCGCTGCGTTCAGTTTTCGGTGGGATTCCGTCACTTGCACCCCGTGGTAGTTAGCCAATGACTGCCAAGTATGCCTCAAGTAGGCGGCACAGTGGCATTGGTTGCAATCTCACCCACCGTTCATCAGCAAGCATCCGCAACCTCCCGGTTGACCTGTGAACAAAACCCGCGCAACCTCTCGTCCATCAACGGAACATCCGCAACGTCCCGTTCCTTAGAAAACTTCCCTGATGCTGCAAACAGGCCCGCAAAGCGCATGGTCTCCGTACCTGGTACCAGACCTGTACTGCCAGAGCCAACCTGGGGTGCAACCTGTACTGCCAGAGCCAACCCCTCTTTCCACGCTCCCAACTCTGCCAGGAACCGGAGGGAAATAACTGGATGGATGTACTTACGGGCGCAATCTCAGTTTTGCAGGGTAGGGGCTTACCCCTGTCCAGATCTCGCTGGGAAAATCTGCTTCCGCAGTTGTTCTGGTCCGCGGTGTTTCTAAAACCTTAGCTGTCCATCCATTGACATTAACACGTTTGCCCCTTCAGACTTGAAGCACGGTGACATGATAGTCGGCATTGTCAATCTATATCAATAGACACTCGGTGTAGACGCTGTCATGCGAAAATGCGCATGCCGAAAGGTGTTCTTTCTAGGCCGACGCGTTCGGATGGAGACGCGTCAAAGACCGGTGGGAGTTCAGCACCTCCTCCTTTCTAAACAGAGCCCTTCCGACGTCCATATCTTGTACATAAACACACATCCACCCGCCTCCACCAAAAAATGCCGCCAACAAAGAAACCCGCATCCGCCAGCGGTGCCAAAAAGAAATCCAAGAGTAAAGAAGTAGGTGCGTTCCCTCCCCCTCTGTCTCTCTCTCTCTCTCACCCGGAGGCACGGGCGTGGTGGCCAAAAAAGGAATATCACATCCAACGCAGACTAACGCTTTCCGTTCAGTTGGCCAGGATCTGGAACTCCAAGAAAAATTCGTGAAAGCCGCAGCGGAGAATGAGGCGCTTACCAGGGAACTCGGTACGTGAAAAACAAAAACAAAACAAGCCCCCTCCGTCCATCTTCCGTGTTCATTTCATCACTCTCTTTCTCCCTCTCTTTCTCTGTGCATGTATTCATCCATGTAGCCCACCAATCCAGCCTCTCCCACCGTCTCCAACTCACCATCGAGTCCCAAGGTGCGCGTATAACAGATTTGGAGGACGTGGTGGAACGCAAGGGGAAGGATCAGATGGATCTGAGCACAGACATGGGGCGGCAGTATAAGGTGATGCAGAGAGAGATGTGTGCAAAGGTGGCGGGGGTTGCAGGGGATTGTGGCGGAGTTGGGAGGGAGGTTGGGTGTGTATGGGGCCAAGCAAAGGCGAGCAGAACGTCTCCATAAGAGCCCCCCCCCCCCTCACTGATCACCCCTCCCCCCCTTCCCCCCCCCGCCCCCTTTGATTTGTTTTTCAGCGGCCTGCCAAGCAGCCCTAGCAGAATCCCTCCGTGAACGCGCGCAGATCGTCGCTGAAAAAGAAGCCGTGCTCGAAGACCAGCACCAGAAGATGTCGTACATGTCTAACAAGTTTGAAAGCATGCTCAATGTAAGTATCACAAAAAACATCCATCATCCACGCCCTTCCACTCTGATGAACCTTATTTGATGCTTTTTTTTGGCAGGAAACACTAGGGAAAATGCACAAGAAACTCGAAACAGTCAGCCAGCGGTGGAAGGAGAGCGACAACATCCATCTGTCAGATGTCAACCAGCGGCGGCTGGCGGATTTTCATTTGACGAGGTTGATGTTGGGAAAGACTGAGTAGATCAGAGGGTGGGGGTGCTTGCAGGGATGGGTGTGATTGAGGTGTTGGGGATCGGGATGGACGATGATGTGTGGGTTTTGATTGAAAGGGGTGTATGTAGAGGGCTGAGACACGGTTGTGCAGGAGGGAACGGCACACGATATCCAAAATGGGATTGAATGAAACGAGCGAGACACCGTCCATGCATCGAATGCGGATCAAGCAGGTGCTCAGGCCGCGCGGTCACCCCATTGTGGCAAACTGTAACGCCCAGTGTAAGGAAAATGCTATGTATGTAGTAAAGAAGACTTGACCCAAAACAGAACAAGAAGCACTCCACTAAAATGTGCCAGCAACATCCCAAAAAAATGTGCGTTTTCTAACCCTGGAAAAGTCTGCCAAAACGCACCCTTTCCGGATGTTGCGCTCCAAAACCGAAGCTTGGACCCGTCCTCGCCAAAAGCTTCATAGGTGGCATAGCAACACAGCCAACCGAATTAGAAGATTAGAAGAGTCCGCATGTTCACCATTCATCGTAATTACACAAGGCTCCCTCCCCAACCAACTCCCATTTGCCTTCCACCATCATCATCCCACTCCTAGACATAGACATAGACATAGAAGCGAGTATATATGTGAAGTAACAACAAAAAACGGCTAGCAGCAACATTACAGTAGAGGGAGAGAGCTTCTCTGGAAAGCCACCTCGTGGACTGAACACCCGTCTAGATTCGGAATCAGTCGTGATGTGTTTGCGGTGGCTGTCACAAGCGCCCGTCGCAACTGAAGACCACGCCCGCCTCCGATCTCGCGGCCTCACGCACGCGGCGCCGCCTGCGAAATGCAAAAAAAGGGTGCCCGGAAAAGAACCCCCCCCAACTGCAACTGCTGCTTCCAAGTCAACCCTTCTTCCCAACGCCCACGCACAAAGCCCATATGCGAGAGGGACGTCGGTCTGTGCGTCAACCCCTCTCCGCTCCTCGACTCCCCCGTGTGAACGCGCACCTTACGCAGAAAAAACCCAGGTGTTCCATTTCTCACACTTCCGACCCCGGGGATAGTCTAGCTTGAGGTTTCAATAAGAGAAACCTATCAGAGACGACGATATGACGGTGCCGGCCACCCACCACCAGCCGGCTGCTGCTTCAGCGAAAAAGCAGCACACAGACACCCATTCGGCCCATTCTTCGTGTGGGAAGGAACGTGCGACACAGAAGGAACACCTCGGCAATACAACCGCGAATTCGACTCCGGCCGGCGCGTACAGTAACGGAAATTCAAATGGGAATCCTGCCACTTCGATTATGATTTGCAGGAATAAGCACTAGTAGGTATCGCGGGAGAGGCATATGGGAAGAGTGCGATACGAATGGGAGAGGGGACGAATGAGAGGGACAGACGGGACGCGAGTGAGATCGAGAAAGAGAGGGAGACAGAGAAAGGCGAATTACAGTAAGGCGGGGGAAAAACGAGCTGTTCGAGAGGCAGCGACCATTTTTTGGCGAGCGGAGCGAGGGTTGGGTGGCCCGGGCCAAGCGAGGGACAGCGACCGTCGGGTTTTGCTTGCGCGCGGCAACGAGCCCAGTGGAAGCTGATTGCATCGAGCGACATGAGACTCATTCCCTCTTAGGCTATCTACCGATTCGTTAGGAGGCTTCCCTGACATCTTTTTTTTCCCTCATAGTCCATACATTGCGAGCTATCACGGCCCATGGCTCTCGCTCCCATTAGAACTCCTGCAATCGTTGTTTACACTCAACAGCGACGTCACCACCGCTCCGCCCCCGCCGCCAATCGATCCCATCATTTTCCGGCACTTGATACATATCCGAACGTTAGTGGACGAGGCTTCAGAGACGGTCATCAAAGCAGCTGGTGGGCAGTCGATGCGAGGCTCCTCGGGTACAAATCCACTAGGGATACCCATGAACTCGCGAGATGGTGGTGGGTTTTCCTCGGCAAGGATGTCGGCTATCCGGCAGCATCGATTGAGAGAGATCGCGGTGGCGAAATTAGCTTCGGCGTATCGGTGTGATGAGATTGCTACCAGCGTGTTGACGATGCAGAGTGCTAGTGCACTTGATGATGTGGCCGTGAAGGTATGTTGGGAGAATGTGAAAGATCGATTGTATCACACACAGACCGGCTCACTCTGACTTATATCAGGTATTGAAGCGGGACCCGCATAACATGGACGCGATCTATGTCCACCACTTCCACGAAAAGATTCCCTCCCGGATGCTAGCCACCTCCACCGATTGCACCGCCATCGACAAACTGATCGCAGCATACCCCACGATCCCGGAATTCTTCCGCACGCGAGCCATGATCCATTCCTTCCGCGAAGAGTTTCCTTTAGCCCTCCGCGACTTCAAAACCGCCATTGCTCTCGCCAAAAAACGCAAACGCAACGTCAACGGCGTCGATTGCGAAGCCCTCGTGCACGGGGGGCAGGAATCCAAGCAGGCCTTCCATGTCGAATCCGACCAGGAAGGCGTGTGTTCCGAAGCGCTCTTGTATTTCCTCCGTGGCGCGTGTTTCCACCAGTACGCGATCCATCTGATTGATAAGGCGATTGATAAAGTCAACGACACGTATTTTGCGGAACAGCGGAGACGGAAGAATAAGAAGAAGAAGAAGGGACGAGCGAATAGGGCCGCGGCTGCTGCGAACGCCAATGGGACGACTCCTACGCCCCCGCTGGAAATGGCCACCACGGCGTCGCCGACGTCATCTTCGCCCTCGTCGGCCACCGCACCAGCGCCTACGGGCGCAGAGACAGCCCTCCCGACATGGCAGGACTACCGAGACGCCATGCAACCCTCCTCGCAGCTCATCGAGACGCTGGCCAAGCGGAGTATACGCGACTACCACCATTTCCTATCCTACTACCCGCACTCGCTCGACCCCTTCGCGTTCGCACCCTCACCCGCGAATAACACCACTAACCATTCCCCGCCGTCACCGCACACGGAAGCGCACGTCCCCGCCGCCGCCGAATCCGACTCATCACCGCCCATTGCGACCATGCCCGCCTTCATCAACTCCATTACGCACAAGTCGCTCACGAAGCTGCAGTGTGCGGCTGTGGGTGCGCAGCAGCCGGGTGGGAGTCCGCCGGGGACGCCGGGGTTGGAGGTGGATAAGTATGCGAGGGTGGAGAGGGCAGACAGGGCGGATGGGGGGGTTGGTCAGAGGATGGAGCCGAGGATCGATGGGGTGGCGCAGAGGATGCAGTCGCCGAGTCCGCCGCCGGAAATGGCTAGTTTGGGGACTTACCATCCTTTACTGGTACGCAATCTTTTTGCTTGCCGTTTACGCCTCACTCGGACTGTTGGCTGACGATTCTTTTTTGTCGCGTTACCTTCATTTGTATGAACAGCTGGAAGCCTGGTTCTCCCTCGGCGTCAACTACATGCTGACCCGCGACTGGCGCACCACCGCAGCCTGGCACGACCGCATCTCTCTCCTCCAAGACCAGGTCGAAGGCTACCCCGTCTTCCTCCCCGCCCGCAGCATGAGCCAGGCGGATTATATCGAGATTCTGACCTTGTTGAGGAAAGCGGCCAGGGAGAGGGGTGGGAAACGGGGTGCCGGAGGTGGAGCCGCGAATGGAAATACAGCGGACGGGAAGCCGCATCGTGAGGCGTCGACGAGGGATACTGATGGGAATGCGTGTAACGGCACGGGAAGTGGGCAACACACACCTCCCATCTCCGTAACACACACAACCCCCGCGACAAAACCAACCACCTACTGCTGCGAATGCATGTCCCACCCCCGCACCGCCACCGGCCGCGAAAGCGCGCTGATCGTCTCACAGGCCAACCCCACCCACAACCACACCGACTCCATATCATCATCATCATCATCATCATCCACATCACCTTTCTCAATGACAAACTCGGCTTTCAGCACTTCCGCGGGGTCAAACAGCACGATCAAGCAGTACCCGCTGCATACCAAACGCGCGCAGACGGTGGCGATGTGGTTGCAGGCTATGGTGCTTATTGAGCGGGGTGAGGGGGTTGGTAGTGAGGCGGGGGTTAATGGGAGTTCGGTTAATGGGATAGGGGTCAATGGGACCGGGGTCAATGGGACCGGGGCCAAGCCGACTGTGGCGAGCATTGAGGCGCAGTTGCGGGATGTGCAGGTTTGTTGAATCAGTCCTTTGCTTATGCGAGTTTTTTCGTGGGGCGCGGAGATGTAAGACTTATGCGGCTGGCTGTTTTATTTTGGCGATTTGAAATAGGACCAGATCAAAGTCCTGGAAGATAAAACTCGCGAACTGCTTGCGATTAGGCAGCTTGAGACGCGGACGGGTGCGCGGGCGTGAGACGGTCAAAGACTTCCGATCAAAGGAGGCACACTGATCCACAGCACGGCGGCTGGGACACGGAAGGAGATGAGACGAAAGTTCTCCACCAGCCCCATTTACCTCAACCATCCCCCACACCATGGCTTCACACCCCCTGACCCCCCAACCAACCAAACGTCTCTCAAACTCCCTCAAGGCGTAATGCTCTCTACCCCAGACTGTTTGATAATACGCATCGAAATTGCTTGCCCCCCTTGCTTTCTTTGTATCTGGTGGAATAAGGGATGGAATGAAACGGGCTGGGTTTATTTGTGGAATGGATTGTGCGCCGATATCGCCCACAAAGGGAGATGGTGTGACCCTTGATGTCGATTCTAGCCGCGGGGCTAGAGCGTAGCCTGCAGCCCCCCGTCCCTCAACGGACGAAAAAAGTCAGTGAAAAAAACGCCCATGGCACCTCTGTGACTGAATCGCCAAAATTTCATAAAGTTCACGTTGCTCGACGATACATGGGGGTAGATAGATACAGTTCGGGCGCGGATGTTTCTCGATCGCTGTTTTGGTTGCTGGGGGTACGAGTGTCGTGTCGTGTCGTGTCCATTCCTGTTTCTCACTTCTTTTTCTTCAATGCCTCGAATCCTGCGGTGGGGATCATGGAATAAGCAAGAGTGAGGACTCGGACTTGTCACAAGCCCCTCCCCCCCATCGCCCCTATGAAACAGACAAACACTCACGTCTCGTCAAATCATCGAAATTCGGCAACGTGTCCACATCCCCCGGCCCACTCCCGCCCTTCTCATCCCCGCCGAACCCGCCCGGCACGCCGGGGAAGTCGGGGGAGGAACCGCTATCCGCTGGTGCGGTTGGAACCACATGCGCGTTAACGTTTGGTGGGTAGGGTGATTGTTGTTGTTGTTGTTGTTGTTGCTGTAGTTGGGCGGGGAATTGGGTGGGAAACTGTTGTTGCGGGTAGGTGTAGGGGATGGAGCTGAAGCCGAAGCCGGAGCCGGTGGGGCCTGTGGGGATTGTTCTGGGGGGATTACGGGGTTAGTAAAGGTTTGTGTGGGGGGGGGGGGGGGGGGGGGGGGCGGGTGGCACTTACTCTAGCACGTTGTCCATCCCGATGCCGGCCTCATAGGGCACGTCGTACGCTTTTGCGATGGTTTTGAGGTATTGGTCGACGAGGACGGGGTCGGGGGTTTGCACTTTTAATTTGTGCACAATCTAAAGCGAAAGGGGGGATACCAGATCAACGGCGACAAATCATCAGACCAGAGCATATGTGGAACGGAAATGCCATGAATGCTGCATACCCGTGAATTGACGACATCGTTCTGGTTCTCCATGGCAGCGACCGCAAACTCTTTGCCGAACTTCATGATCAGCTGGTCCCGGACCATGTTGAGTTCTTTGACGTCGATTCGTGGCGCCGCGTAAATGATTGTGTTGACTGCCTCCGCTATCGCTTGGTCGCAGTGTCTGCAGGAAGTTCAAGGGATCAACGCTTAGCTTGTGCAATCAATGATGCGGCGAACGACGTCCTGCACATTCCGCTCCCGACAGGGATGTTGGGCTGCGGTGGCCAGGGCTCGCTTCGCTCGGGCTACGACGAAATCAGTCGGGCTCTGCCCGCACACCCTGGCTTCGCTCTACATCCCCTGCTACCCCTTCCCGCTAACATCGCTCGCGCTCCCTCCCACTCCCATCGACACCTACTTCATACTCTCCAACAACCCATATCTCGCCAACAACAATTCACTATAAAGCTCCAAAATCTCCATCGCCTCAATATTAAAGTCCTCGCGAATGATATGTTCCACTCTAACCCTCGCCGAGTCCTCTTTGCCCTTTTCGAGGAGGGAGGCTATTTCTTTGCGGGCGACGGCGTTGAGCTGGGTTTTCTTTTGTTGCAGGAGCTTAAGGCGGTTGATGCCGAGTTTTAGTTGTACCTGCGGGGAGGGAGGGAGGGGTGTTAGTGGGGGTTGGTGGGATGTTAGTGGTGGCGAGACGGGAGGGTACCTTTGTGCGGGTTGGGTTGAAGCCGCCAAGTCCCATCTTGAGGATTGCTTTCGGGGTGGAATGGAGGAAACCGGGGCGGGACTGGAAAGCAGTGGACGCTAGGACAGTGATGTATGGTCTAAGCGAACGGCGTAAGTATTGGAGGGTGTTGCGAGAGTGGTCGAGTGTGTGCACTGCGGGGGTGCCAAAGTGGGTGAGCCAAGAGGGAGAACACTTGGGAGGCCGCGAGAGAAAGCACACCTCGCAGTGACGGCACGCAGGCGCGCGTTTTCGACAGCATCCGCCTCAGGGCTGGAAGGAAGGAAGGATGGGACACACATCCCGTTTGCTGGCAGAGTGGCCTCGACTCTCAATCGCTCCTGCCGCCCGTGCGTTCAGCGGCAGAGCCCAAAATCAATATGGGCCCGCTGCCAATACGCCCCGACATATTTCCACGACCCAGAATTCCGGGGTCAGGCCATGCAGTCGCAATAATCAAAAGCCGTACATCCGCCGGACGAGTAGTTTGGGGAGGAATGCGGGCTTCCTTCAACGGTTTCAGGGGATAGGTGCTAGTGGAGGAAGGGAAAGCTCCTCCGCTTTCTTACATGTACAGTAGTCGTGCCTTGCCCCTACGAGGCTGCGAGTCCAGTGCTCCGTTCAAGTTGACGTGGACGTGTTTGTTTCGCGTCTTGTCCATTCCACGCGCAGGAACACCCACTCCAGTACTAGCATCTTCCTGCCCACTCCTCCCGTGGTCTGGCGAGGACACATTTATACAATCGCTCCATTATAATGTCCACCCCCTCCCTCCCATCCGACCTCGATTTTGCCCTCGACCTCAACTCCACCGCCACAACCCCACCAGAACCTGAACCCACCCTCAAAGAAACGCAACTACCTACCCATTCCTTCGATTTCACCGACTTGAATGATGCCACCGCCGAGGAAGCAGTGGCGGATGAGCATCAGCGGCAACAGAAGGAGTTGGATCGGGAGGTTATGCCGACGATAGAGCAACACGCGCCGCTAAAGGGCTTACCCCACAGCACACACGCTCATGTAGAATTCCATTCGGGAGAAGGGTGGGATGCGAAGGCGGATGAACCGCTTTGTTTGGCTGACCTGTCATGGAGTCAGATCGCGTGGGATAAAGTTTCATCGGACGGGAATGGGGATGTGCATACGCATTCAGAGGAGGAACCGGCGCAACACCCCACCCATCCAACAATGTCCGACCCGGCACCACCACCAACAGCAACTTCAACACCAAAACCCCCAATAAACCACACCCTCCTCCCCACCACCTCCCTCAACCGCGCCTCCTTCCGTCCATCCCCCACCAGCCCCGTCTCACCCATATCAATCAGCAACGGGAGCGTGCGATTACATGTCGCTTCGTATGATTCCTGGCCGCGGTCGGAGACGCAGGTGCGGAGGGGCAGGGGGAGGGTGTCGCGGTACATTCGGCCTGTTGAGCCTCACGAGGATGCAACCACGCCCGCCGGAAGGGAAACGGAAGTGGAAACAGAAGAAACGCGACAGGAAGAGGGAGACAGATTCCATCGGACCACGACCACGGCCCAGACTTCCCTAACAAGTCTCATCCGCACCTACGCCGAGCTCGATCTCCGCAAGAACGTCGACGCGTTCGAGAGGTGGAAACGGTCCAAATCGCCCAAGAAAGAGTGCCGTGCGGGGAGGTCGGGTCATGCCGGGTCGGTGGGCGCGGAGCAGGACAGTTTCGCCATCGTAAATCTGGAAGAAGAAATAACCCCCATAGAACGGAACCAACGCGCTTTCAAGGCCTGGCTTCATCAAAAGAACGCCGATAAACCCCCGCTACCCCACTTGCCCACCCATCCCCCACAAGAAGAAGACGAAGACTCGGAATCCCACCGTCAAGAAGCCGTCAAATCCGCCCGCATTCAAGCGCATATATCCGCCTGGCTGCAGACTAAGAAGGCGCAACGGATCCAGTCGCGTGTTCAAGTCGCTAAACAGCACAAACTACGGGAGGAAGAGGATGCGAAAAGGAGGGAGAAGGGACGGAGGGCGTGGGAGGCGTGGCGTGAAGGTGTTGACGGGCGGAAACAACATGCGGGAGAAGAGTGGGAAGGGAAGGAGAGGCCGGAGTGGGTTGATGTGGATATGGACAGCGGGGAGGTGAAGCCGACGGAGCCTGTGCGATGGAGTGGGTATATCACAACCACAACATCAGCAACGAAGAAGACGAAGATAAAGACGCACAATGCACCCGCAGAACTCCTCTCACCCCCACACCTCTACACCCCGCACGCCTCCAGCCCGGCCTACGCGCACAAATACCATCTCCTCATCGCGTCGGCTTCTCTCCCACCACCGGTGGATGATGAGGAGGCCAGGACGAGGGCGAGGGGGGTTGAGGAGGGGGTTAGGCGGGGTTTGGGGGGTGCGGGTGTTTATGGGGCGTATATGGTGGGGTTGGGAAGGATGGGTGGGGAAAGGAGGCCGTGGTATCCGCCTGGGACGGTGGGGAAGGGGATGCGGGTGTGAGTTTTGCACTGTTATAACGTGTACATTGATGTGCGGGAATTGGATTGATGAATGCTGGCGGCCAAACATGCTGCACTTGACATCCATTCGACTTTCTCGTCCATGCATCATCACATTTGCGAAAAAAGGTCGATATTTCCTCGCCGACCAACAATACAATACGAGATTCCGCCTCGTTCCGACCACTATACTTTTCCCAAGTGGGTATCTAATGGGTTGGACAGCAGACATCCCTCATATATGCCCGAACCCCGAATCCTCCAGGTCCCGCTTCTGATTCATCCAGTACTGTACAGCAAGTAAATAAGGAAATTTCGGTCAGCATTCGCAGACGTGTCCCAGTCTCCGCAAATTTCAACCAAACAATTGATTCACAAGACCCACCTGCCCCCAACAAAATCCAAAGAACCCCATATAGATGAATCCCGCGAGATAACATCCTCGCGCCACGGCCGCTGGGTCGGTGGGTACCTCGCCCTCTTTGCCTTCGACTAGCTCTTCGGCGTGCGCGTGGAAGAGGGCGCCGAGGAGGAAGAGGAAGATGATTCCGATTGCGCTTAGAACCGTGCTTTTGGTGGGGAGAACAAGGTGACGGTGCGTTGGTTAGGTGAACGCTTTTTGACGACCTCCCAAAGGACCTCCTCATCTCGCGTAAGAGCCGTCACCGTCCACCCTCCCCACCCCGCCGTTTCAGCCTACGCCCAACAAAGATTCTATGCTACTCACCAGCACATGGAGCACCCAGGCCCAACCACGATTGCCCTTCGTGCGATTGCCATCTTCCGCGCTTTTCGTCTGCCGAGAGTTGTGGGTGTGTTTTCCCAACCAGACGAGTGAGACTGCTGCTCCAACCGATGTATGTACGTCGGACTTTCACGGGTGAGGGTTCCGAACTGGACGGCGTTTCACAGTGTTTGCGTGGGAATGTGGATGTGTTCGTTACGAGACTGGTTACAAGGTGGCTTTCGTAGGGCGTAGTTCCGCGTCAGCTGACGATGAGTGTTCAGTGGAAGGCTTTGCCCTGTATGTGCCGATGTATCCGACAGACGCTGAAGGCCCTACTGTGGTGTGCTGTGTGGAAGAGAGGAAGTTGCAAGCACGCCTGCAGGATAATACGCCTGCGTCTGGGGTGATGATGTTGGGGGGGGGGGGGGCGGGGGGCAAGGACCAGGACAAGCCCCTCAAGGCGCAAGGGACTCCTCCGCGTCTCTCAGTCTCTCCCGCTTTCTGTCGGTCTTCTCCTTGTCCCTCCAGAAACAGCTCGCCCAACAGGTCCCCAACACCAACCAGTACGCACCCAGAAGGCGGCCGGCCATACACAGCGAACCCTTCGCTCACCACAGCTCACCACATAGGTATGGTTTGGAGTCGTCAATCACGAACGCAGCTCAGTGTGGAAGGACAGTTACGCTGACGTTTGACATTCCTTACGCGCGCGTCGTTGCGGGGACACTTTCACTCACAAACTGCTGATGTTCCCACGGCTTTCCACCAATAGACCTCTGCGGAGGCAATCCTCTCGACACTCAAACGGGCCATAGCATACCCCGCCTAGTCGGCTTCTCCCAGAACCATCAGACTCCCCGCATGTCATTTCCAACCGTCCAAACCCCTACCGCCTTCCCAACGTTCCCCGGAACAGCAGTCCCCTCTCCACCACCTCCCTTCACTGCCACGCCCCCCTGGCCGGATCCCGACGTCGATGAAGCCGACAATCCGATGCTTGCTTGCCCTGTATACCCCCTCGCATTACACAATTCCTACTTGTACGAGCGGCCGGGGTATGCGTATGCAATGCCGGCAGTGAGGAATTTGAAGAGGAAGGCTGGGGAGGGGGAAGGTGTGGAGATGGATAGTGGGAATGGGTGGAAAGGGAATGGGGTTGTAGGCAGAGAGGCGGATTTTGGGCAGCATCAACATTTTAAGCGTGTGAGGGTAGAGGCGATGGAAGGGCAGCCTGTGGTCGAGGAGAGGTATGTGTTTGATGGAGGAGGACATGCATTATGATGCTAGAGAGCTTTGTTCCCACGCTGATATTCTCCTCAGGCTGCTAAGTCGCTCCGCCGAAGATACATTCGCAACCCACCCGCCGGCGGATTTCCCACAACCGGATATCGCACAACATCGCATTCAACAACACCACATCCCACCACATCACGCCCCACAACAGAATCACATCCCATATCAAAACCCACTCAGCTCCATACGCATCTCCACCCGCTCCCCCCACCAACCCAACCCGCACTCACAATCAACCCCAGATGACATAGATCCCCACTTACAACACCCCAACCCATACGCTGACATGAACGCATATTTGTACAATCTGCACGAGACCCGTCGGCGGGCTGATCTGGAGGCTGGGCCATCGTTTGGGGCTACGCATACACACCATCAACAGCAGTATTCACCGCCGACTGAGATAGGAGGGACGGGTGACACCTATGAGGGGATAAATGAGATGCTGAGGGCTTTGCATTTTGCGAGGAGAGGGGTGGAGGGATGACCGATGGGAGTTGTATAGTCGGTTGGTCATGAAGGGCAACCAATCCGTATTGACGTGCTCAGCATATTGAATTGTGGTATCTGAATCACGAATACCATTTGCTTATCATAGATTCATCTACGAGTACAAACACTACCCATAAACACATGCATACAGTGGTTCATACGTATCGCCACATCATTGAGTGTGATTCTACATACGCACACTCATTCGTAGGCCGGGCGGATGTTCTCACACCTATCTATGGTCAGGGACGGCTATAACGATCTGCGCTATTCTGCAACCCCAGAGCGGCGGGTAATGGGGTCCTGATGTAAACCCAAGAACACAAGCGGATGTTGCGCGCACCATTCGCCAAAATGGCCTGATGTGTCCTGCGTCCTGCGTCTCCCTGCAACCCCGCTCGTCCTTCCGTTCGTATCTTCCCGGTATCCGCAGTGGCGGTCCTAATCGACGTACAGTCCCGCTCATCCTCAGCCCATAAGTAGTCCACCCAACCATTTTTCCCTCCTGCCTCGTCAAGCTCATTCCTCTGCTATCCCCTGTTTGGGAAGGTGTTTGGTATGTTCAAACTTCAGGAATGCGAATTCCGAACGTCGTTCGACGCTTTGGACAATTCGACTCCTCAAGACCCCTTCGGGCGGCAAGGGCATCGAATTCTCGAGAAAAGCAAAAAAGGAGGCACTGCGATTCGAACGCAGGACCGCCCGAGCTGCAATCGGGAGCTCTGCCACTGAGCCTATACCTCCAATTTGCTTATCGTCCCCTCTCACTCAATTATTTACAGTATACTAGGTCCTTCGCCTATCTACATGAATATCTCGCCCGAACATGTTGCGACATCCAGTCGCCATCGACGCTCACTGCCTTAACCGGCACGATCAGAGCCACCTCTATACACAGACTGTATCATGCTATCGGCCAGCAATCCCAACGCACGAACCTTCACCGGCGTCTGCCAACTCTGCTTCCTCGATGGCTGGTTCCAAGGCCACATGGTCACCAGCCCCAGCGGGCCCCTCTCCAGCGACTTCCCAACCACGTTTCTCGGCGCCCATCCACCCAACACCCCAACATCCATCGGCCTAGTCGGCACTCCCGCCGAAGAAGACACCCACCCACCCGTCCACCCCTGTTGCCCCACCACACCGTTCTGGCGGATCCGATTCAGGGAATATGATTCGAATACAGAGGCGGAGTGTGTGGTGCAGCAGCAGAGTGGAGTTGGGGATGCGGTAGTGTTGACGACGGAGTTTGAGGATTGTGAGGATGGGACGGGGTTTGTCAGTCCGATGGGGATGGTGATGTTTGAGACGACGTGTGTAAAGGTTGACGAGGTGAGGGGGCTTCTCCGCTTGTAGGCTTGATGTAGGGACAGTCAACGAGAATTTGAACATGCTCTTCTGTAAGGATGCGGAACGACATATGAAGAGGTTCTTCCCTCAGTTAACGCCAAGTCCCGATGCCGTGATCTGTCTCGGCGAGATGAGCATCAATGAACTGCCATTTATGCCGAAAGGTGCAGCGGAATAGTGTTTAAGGAGAACCACGCTCGGTTGCATGGAAGTCGATGCTTCCTGCCCGGAGGATACACCGTGATGCCCCCGCCAGTCTTATAGTTACCGCCGTAGTCTGGCTGCTAGTTCATGTTCATCGGACCAATGTTTGAAGATGACCCGGATCAGCAGCGACTCGAGGACTGCCAAATTTACGGATTTCAGCCAAATCCAATTCTCACCATCCGACGCCGGCTGGAACATGGGGGCATTTCGTATTGTGGAACCAATGCGAGGGAGAGACGGACCGGGAGGACCCGTCTTCGCCTACGAGATGTGAAAGCTCGGCCTACTTTTCCACCGTCGTCCCTCCGATGTTTGCTCCCATGGTTTCAGACCCAGCACCGGAGCATTGCGATGGAGCCGCTCTCCCTCTGCTCGCACATGTCGACACACACCTACCACACGCTTTTCGTAGATTCCCCAGTTGTGGCGCTGTGGCCCTCCATCAACCGTCCACACGTCCATGCATCAGCGTCTTCAAAGCGATCTCTCCACGTAGTTTGGGGACATCTGATCGGAGTCGTTTTGGTGAATGTATAGCATATTGTAAAAATGAAAGAAGATAACCATTCCGTTACCTGGCCTTTGCATTACAGTCATTGGTAGAGTGTTTTCACATCTCAGGGCTATCCATCGAATGTGATGACATCAGGGCCCATTGCGTAAGCATGCGCGGCCTTTCCGATCCTGTCAGAATCCGGAGTCCCTTTCAGTATTGTGGTCTTCAAAAGCGCATGTGTGTAGAATGAAACCAGAAAAAGCCGAAGGAAATCAACGTCCCTTTCGCTCCTCATCATTATCTCAAGACCCCTCCAGACAACCAAGGCAAGATACCAATGATGCACGTCCTTCAGCGTCTCGCCGTTTTTTGCATCATCATCCAGAGTTGCTCCGTGGGCCAACTCTACGCATACGATTATAAGGTCGGCGTACGCTGGGTCGAGCTGCCCAATGGAGACTCGCTGCCCTCCGGATGCTTCAGCGGGGTCGGGTCGGTTAGCGAGGCGGAGAGTGAGACTGTTTATGTTTCAGGTAGAGATTCCGCGTGCATACAATGCAGTTCCGGGAACTGTAATCTGAACGTCTCTACGCACATTTCAGGCGGTCTATCCTACGACACCCACGACACCCCCGTCTACAGCGACCTGATCTACTCCGTCACAACCACCCACAATGCCCCCGACCCCACCCTCCCCAACGCCGGGGTGATGTCCTGGGCCGAACTCGACGCTACGCTCCCTTCCCCACGTTTCGGGCACGTCTCGGAAGTCGTCAACGGTCACTATTTGGTCGTACATGGCGGACATGATGCGACGCCGTTTGAGCCGTCATTGTATGAGGAGAATTCAAAGGAGGGCTTTCTGGAGGAGACGGTGGTTTTTGATATGAGTGTTACGCCATGGGGCGTTGTGACGCTTCACGGGGGGCCGGCGGTGGTGCATGCGGGGTCGTTTGCGCATGGAGGGAGGATGTTTGTGCAGGGAGGGTAGGTTGATTCAAAAATGGGGGAGTTCTCTATTGACATTCAGGCGACGTCCTAATCTGATGGGAACTCATCCTCAGATGGATCGCAGGTACAGACATCGCCGAAGACAACACGAAACTCTGGGCCCTCGACTCGACCACCCACCCGACCAATCCCACGCTCTGGACCTGGTCCGAGCAACCCATCGTCGGCCCCGCCCTTCCCGTGGGCCCCACCCCCGTAATCGTCCCCGTCCCACACTACAACTCCACCACCCACGACGCCCTCATCATCGTCTCAACCGTCGGACAAACCATCCTCCCCGACGAATGTCTCGGTAACATCTACATCTGCGCGTGGATCATCGATGACCTATCGGCAGCCACTTGGACCGTAAGGGGGTACCTGATGGATCACCCGGGGTACTTTCCGATCATGACCTGGTACCAATCCCGCAACCCCTTCCTATCGAGCCTCCCCGACTCGAGACGCTACGTCGCCACCGAGAGCGGGTGGTACCCGGACCTGATGTACGGCGCGCCAGACAAGTTTATCCTCGTGCTTGAGCCGGAGATAATATGGCAAGAGGTCATAGACAGCTATTCGGTTGATAGGGCGTCGGGAATGATTCTCGCGGGGGCGGAGAATACGTTCCGGTGGGGTGGGTGTGGGGTGAACGACGAGTACTACCTTCCGACATCGCATTTTGCGACGGTGTATCGCGCGCAGTTTGTCTCGTATTACCAGACCTCGACACTGGCGATGTCGAACCCGTCGGAGAGCGCCATCAGTTATTCGGCCGACACGCCTGTCGATATCGAGATGACGCTCCGCGACAAGAACGGGGAAGTGAAGTGGGGCCCCTTCGACGACTATATGCGGATCGACGCCTACGTCGTTGACAAAGACCACAGGGACTCGAGGAGCGCGTGTACTGTCGACCAGGCGAAGGCATCAAAGGCGATGATCCATTGTCCGCGGAGTATCACGGATTTCAGCGTGGAGGGGTACTTGAATATGGTGGATGAGCTGCCGGATTCGGTGGGGTATACGATTGTGGGGGATGGCGAGCATGTGTCGTTGGATTTGTCGTGGGTTACGGGGGACGGGGTTGGGATGGCGAGACAGGGAACTGTGGCGAGGTTTTATGTGCATATTGTTGATATGAACGGGGTGGATGCCGCGGACAAAACCAAGTTGAACGTCACGTTCGTCCCAACGATCTTCGATGTCAATACCACAATGGTGAACGGGTACGTCCAAATCGACTACCTCCCCACCACTCTCGGCCTTCTCGCGATCCACATCAGCCACAACGGCCAACCTCTCCGGCAAAGCCCTTACACACTAAACGTAACCACCGCCCTCCAACCCTCCGAAATCCAGCACACCTGGGTCTACACCACCGGCCATTACTGGGAATCCCTTACCACAACAGGTTCCATTCCACCTGAACGCTGCGAATGCAGCATGTCCAATTTCCCCGACGACTCGGCCGCCCTGCTCACCGGCGGGCTCAACGGCACCGACGTCTACTCCGACATGTACACGTTCAACTACACCACGCTGGAATGGACGCTCCTAGACACAACATTGCTGAAACCGTCGAACTCCCACGCGTCGGCGATGGTGGGCGGGTTTGCGGTGTTCAATGGCGGGTTTGATGCGGATATGAATTCATTGCCGACCGGGACGGTGTTTGATGTTGAGAATGGGGATGTGGAGGAGTCGATGGGGGCGCAGGTGTGGACATTTGGGGGAAGTGTGGTCAGTATGAGGAGCGAGACTGTTTATATGATTAATCGAGGGTTAGTGGGTGAGATGCATGACTTTGCGGAATGAAATGCATGTTGCTGATGAGTCGGTCTCTACAGGAGTAACGGAGGCGGGGACTCCTACTCCAAATTCGACTTCACGGAGGGATTCCTCACTCTACCGGCACACGGCGCTACACTCCCTACTCGGCTCTACGGGGGTTTTGCAGTTGCGGTTCCGAATTTCCGAAACCAGAGCAGGGATGTGATCATCAGTTATGTGCCTGCGCATAACTCGGACGATTCGGAGTTCCAGCGGTGTGGGGATTTCTATCCGTATGGTGACAAGGCTTGTAATTATGCGGTTAGTAATGTGTGCGTTTTCTTGATGTGGGGCATTCCGCGTTGAGACTCATGTATTCTGCATATGTTAACAGATCTACGAGTTCGATATTGCCACCTCACTCACACACCGCCACATGCTCCCACGCCCCGGAATGCCCGAAGTCTACGCAGCGCAGGCCCCCGTCCTCCGCACAGACCCCGACGGCAACCGCTTCGTCATCTTCTTCGGCGGCGAACAGACCACCGGATTCTACGACAACGGCAGCGGGTTCAGTAACCATGTCTGGGCGCTGCAGCTGGAACCGATCTTTCTCTTTGAAGAGCTGCAAGTGTTCAACAGGGAATTCCTTTCGCCGCGTACCAGTGCCAAGTTTATGACTTCGCCCGTACTGGGCGAGGAGGTTGAAGGCATCATCTACGGCGGCTGCAGAGACGACATCGTGTACAATAGCACCTACATCCTCCGCCGGGGGCGTCCGACGCCTAGTCTCACGCAGCTCGAGATCAGTCCCGCCATTAAAGGCTCTGCAACGGATGTCTCGTGCGGGAGCGGTGAGAGTTTCAGCGTGTGGTTCCGATCGCGGAATCAAAAGGGGGAGCTGCTCGGGTTTGGCGGGGACTCGATCAACGGGATTATGCGGCATAAAGTTTCCCCAGTCTCTTTGTCGTGTGAGTTCTCCGACGCGGGGAATGGGACGTACGTCATCTCGTGTTTGCCGTTTACGTCGGGGGTGTATGAACTGCAAGTATTCCAGAACAGTCTGCCTGTAGGCAACTCGACGATATTGGTGGAGGTTGTCGCGGGTGTGAATGCGACGGCGAAGGCGTCGTATGTGGAGAAGTTCATTGACGGGAGTGTTGCGGCCGCGACGGTGGGGAGTGCGAGTGTGTATAAGGTGGGGTTGAGGGATATGTATGGGAATCCGATCAGTGACTGGAGTCGGACATCGGTCAGCGCTGTTGTTACGAAGGCTTCTACGGGCGCTTTGCGGCGGCGAGCGGCGACGAATGACAAGGTGTTGCCGTCGACGGTTAGAGTGGAGAATTCTACGGCATATGTTTCATTCATACCGGACACTGCTGGTTCCTTCAGCATCGGGGTGAAGCTGAACGACCAGGATGTCAGCGGATCACCGTTCGAGGTTCAGGCGTTACCTGCCGCGGATGTTGCTCTACCGTATGTGCGCCGTACAGAGCCCGTGGGCATATTCCTGCTCTTCCTCAGTGCTCTGGGAATCGCAACTTCGTCCTTCGCATTGATCTTGTTATTACTCCAACCGGATGTCCGCCATGCCCGCGAAGGGCTTTCCCTTCTTGGAACGACAACGGCGTACGTTACCAACATCGTACAACTCGGTGCACCCTCACAAGAGCTATGCGTAGTACGGCCAGTACTCGGAGCGCTGTCCGGCGGCCTCGTTCTCGGCGTATGGTTCGCAACCCTGTTTAGTCAGCGGGCATACACCGCGATCCCAAAGTTTGCGCCGCTGGTTGGCATGAACTGCCGGTTTTTGGCGGCTACCACAGCAGCAACTGTAGCATCTCTCGAGATCATTGCGCTGGTCATCACACTTCGTGAGAGTTCGACCCTTGTGGTCATCCCTACGGGGGAAACCGCTAACAACGACGTATGCCAGGGGTCCAAAGACCTCGTGCATCTCTACACCGCTTCCGGAGCAGTCTTTGCAACGTCGTTGTTGGCTGCTTCACAGTGGAACTGGAAAGCAGGCAACAACACCTTCTTCTGGTACGCCAACTGCAACACCGCCGTCATCGCATTGATCGTAATTGCATTGAACTACCTCCTGGGCACATCCGTCCCACGCATCCTCCAAATCATCCGCCAAATCTTCCTCTTCATCGGGGCAACCGGGCTCATCATTCCAAATGTGCACACTCTACTCGTCAAGTACGGATTCATCGAGGCGAACAAGCGCAAGGACGTCGATTTCATGTCAAACATGACGAAAACACCCACCGAGCGCGCGGCGATCGGGATGGCGAATATCGACAAGCAGTTGAATATGGCGGCGCTGGCGGAGGAGGATGCGGTTTTGGATCTGCCGCCTGGTGGTGCCGTTGCGCAGATGCGGCGGATACCGGCGGTGGCGTTTATGGAGAATCGGAATGCGTGGACGAGTTGTAAAGTCATGATTGTGCAGAATATGAACAAGGTTTTGATTGATTGGGGTGATGGCAAGGTAAGGCGCCACGGAGCTTGAGATGCATCTTCAACGGGTCATTATGGTAAAAACATACCTACATCCCTACTCTCCCATGTCCTAGGTCACAACATTCAATGCCAAAAGCATCACAGAATTCGAAGAAATGGACCAGCAACTAAACGACGAGGACTACTCCCCCACCACCCACCACGGCCTAGCCTTCACTTACCACGACATTCCGTCTGTGGTGTTCTTCCACACTCCTCAAGATAGAACAGAAGTGCAGCAGAGCTTGATGAAGGAGAGCGCGATGGGTCAGGCCTCACAAGGCATTGTGCGTACTGGGAAGATGAATGTAACGTCGGATGTTGAGGAGGGGAGGACACAACCGGTTAAGTCGAAGTGATCTCAGCAGAGACTTTCCTTTGAGGGCATTGGCTATCCGTTCTTGGCTCGACTCTAAGGCGCTGCGTCGAAATGACGAAGTGATCGTAGATCCTAATGACACCTTGAATGCATGGGAGTCTTGATTACATGTAAGGCGCTGCGTTTAGCAACTTTTTGCCTCGGGGGTTGGATTTTTTGGACATGCATTTATCATGGCTCTTGTCATTCCTAACAACTAGTCATGTGACTATCTGTATTGTACTTCTGTGCCTATATTGACGTCGAACCCATAATACGCCTTCAAGGGATGGCGGCCGAAAACTGCCAGAAGCGATAACTGTCAAAACACTGTCATTAGCTTTCGAGGTGAATATTCGTCCCCATGCGGTTCACCGTGCGGGTTCTTTGTATTCCATTGCGCCTGGCGCAACGACAATTCGAGAGCGATGACTTGGCGGCATCTTTGCGAAGTCTCCGCCGCAGCCAGAATCAATGGACTTCTTCTGCCAATCGGATGGCCATGCTTCTCTTCGAGCTGTTGGAAAACGAGCCAGAGTTGCGTGACTTGGCAAGTGACCACCTGGTTCATGAATTACTGGACCTGGTGGCGATGGGGGGGCAGTTCTTGTTCTGACTTTGTTGCGAATGGTTGCGATGGTGCTCGAGCGCGCGGGAAAGCTGAATGGCGCGCCAATTCTGGTCATGAAGCGTCCTTACGCGAAGGAGAACGGTTGTTGGGTGCTGCTCTCCGGTATGGGGACTTCTGTCGGTCTTGAAGCACTCCGTTGCTTCGGGCAGCGAAACTCCGCGAGAGAGCTCACGCGTCGTCGATCGCAAGTGACTGTGGTGATTCATGAAAGCGTCCTCTCCCACATGCGATTCTCGTCTTCAAAGGCCCCTGGGAAAACCGCCGTGATCTCGCAGACAACCCCTCCTCATTCCTACGCCAGTCTCACCTCCACTGCATACGCTGGACCCATCGCGCCTTGTAAACGTGCTCTCCATAGATTCCCCTTCCGACTTGTCGCATCTCAGAGAGTAGCTGAACGCTCAAAATGTGGGCCATTCGCAGCACAGCCAGTCGGAGTTCCTTGGTCAGTCCAACATGGTGCGTTTGCCTCACCTACCTGGAAAATATGCGTAGAATTGAAGTACTCACTCCAAGCCTTCCAGTCGGAGAGCGTTTCTCCTTCGCCGTCAATATGCAACACCCGCGAACCAGTCCACTGCCAACCGATACAGCGCGAGGATAACGGAACCCAAGGCTCAGGGCGCTTCTCAAGCTATGCGTGCGTGTGCTTTGCTCACTTTGGACGATCGGGATATAGGGACTGATGTGCCATGATACCGGGTAGTTTATGCAACAGGACTGACGGAAGCAGATATGAAGCTCCCACAAGTTGGGATCTCCAGTGTGTAAGTATGGATTTGCTGATAAGGAGTTGCCCCAGGCCTGACTCTGACGCGTTACTTGCAGGTGGTATGAAGGCAACCCATGCAATATGCACCTTCTTGATCTTGCAGACAAGGTCAAGACAGGAGTGAAGAAGGCAGGGCTCGTTGGATATCGCTTCAACACCATCGGTGTCAGCGACGGCATCAGCATGGGTACCGAAGGGATGTCTTATTCCTTGCAATCGCGTGAGATTATTGCGGACTCTATCGAGACCGTCATGTCAGCTCAGTGGTACGATGGAAACATCTCCATCCCAGGTCAGCAGGACGTATGCACCGGCAGAGAAGAGGGGTGTCGCTTAGACTCACCTCATGGTCATATTGCAGGGTGTGACAAAAACATGCCAGGGTGCCTGATAGCGATGGCACGGTTGAACAGGCCATCGTTGATTGTGTACGGAGGATCCATCAAAGCAGGAAAATCCTGCAAAGGCGAGCCACTGGATATCGTGTCTGCATTCCAATGCTACGGTGAATATATCGCGGGACGCATATCGGAGGAAGAGCGTGCCGACATCGTACGGAACTCGTGTCCGGGCGCCGGGGGCTGCGGTGGAATGTATACGGCAAACACAAGTATGTACTTCCACGGTTCTTCGCCATTGGATGCCACCCATCTGATCAAAGTCATCTCAGTGTCGAGTGCGATCGAGGCAATGGGCATGAGTCTACCATACAGTTCTTCAACACCAGCAGAGCATCCCGCAAAGCTCGAGGAATGCTTGAACGCTGGGAAAGCCCTGAAGCACCTCCTGGAAAAGAACATCACACCAAAGGACATCATGACCCGAAAAGCGTTCGAGAACGCGATCGTGCTGACGATGGCTTTAGGAGGTATGGTCGCTTCAAGGTACCCTTTCACAACGAGGACTCCGCCTGATAGTGGCATCCAGGTTCAACAAATGCGGTTCTGCACTTGGTGGCCGTCGCCAGGACGTTGGGAGTCGACCTAACCATCGACGACTTCCAGAAGATCAGCGACCGCGTACCTTTCATCGCTGATTTGAAGCCCAGGTACGCAACGAATGCTCTTCTGATCCCCATAGACACGACACCCTCTCACATCTCCGAACGGTAGCGGAAAATACGTCTTCGCCGACCTCCACGACATCGGCGGTATCCCAGCCGTGCTGAAGTACCTGCTAAAGGAAGGTCTGATCCACGGCGACTGCATGACAGTCACTGGCAAAACCCTCGCCGAGAACTTGGCGCCATTGCCCGACCTCAAACCAGGCCAAGACATCATCCGCCCGTTATCAGACCCCATCAAATCATCCGGGCACATCCAGATCCTCCGCGGCAACCTCGCGCCTGAGGGATCTGTTGCGAAGATCACGGGGAAGGAAGGTCTTCACTTCTCGGGGCCTGCAAAGGTGTTTGATCAGGAGGAGGATATGTTGAAGGCGTTGGAGAATGGGCGGATTGGGAAGGGGGATGTGATTATAATTAGATATGAGGGGCCGAAGGGTGGGCCGGGGATGCCGGAGATGCGTAAGTACTTGCGAGTTGACCGATGTGTGTTATTGAAGGATGACGCTGATCCACCCTGACGTTCGTAGTGACGCCAACCAGTGCGGTGATGGGCGCAGGACTCGGCAAAGACGTCGCTCTCTTAACTGACGGCCGCTTCTCCGGTGGTTCCCACGTAAGTCCCCTCACAGCGTCCCCATCCCACCCTCGCTTCGACCTCCTCACCCATGCCATGTCTTCCATATCACAGGGCTTCATCATCGGGCACATCACCCCCGAGGCGCAAGTCGGCGGCCCCATCGCGCATGTCGTCGACGGGGACATCATCAGCATCGACGCAAGGGATAAATCTATCTCGGTGAATGTCAGTGAGGAGGAGTTTGCGCGCCGAAGGGAGAAGTGGACGGCGCCGCCGTATAAGGCGACGAGGGGGACGTTGTATAAGTTCATTAAGAACGTAAGTTTGGTTGAGACCGTGCAGGAAGCGGGAGTTCTTTCTTGTTGCCCCAGCTTCGATTTGGGGCTGGGTGTGGGCGACCTGGTGTCAGTGAGCTTACCGTACGCCCGTTTCCTTTACTTACAGGTCAACAACGCATCCCTGGGATGCACTACGGACGAGTAGGACGGCGGACGAGGGGATTGCCCCGCTTGGTATCACCAACACACGGTGATGTCGCAGAGTTGTATGTCAGAAAGGCTGCACGGCGTAGGGAGAGATGAGAGCGAGAGGACACGCCAGGAAACTGTAGAAGCAGCTCCGTATCTATAGTGTCATACTGCCAATATAACCTCGCTTCTGCACGTCCATGGGCGTACATGTAAGCGAGATACGGTTGTAAGCATTTAAAAAAGGCGAGGATGGCCAGCTTCACTCGCTATCCCTCCTCGTCTTCCCCGTCAGCGCCTTCTCCGCACATTTTCGAGTCTGCGACCTCACAAATGGCCCGTCCCTGATCCCTGTCAGCAGCTTCTGCACCTCTTCTCTGTTCCTATCTGTCCATTGTGCGCCGGGGTGGTTTAGTAGGAGGGGAAGGAGGTAGATGTAGCGTTGGTGGAGCTGTGGGTAAGCGGGGATGAGGTTAGCCATCCTAAAGAGTAAGTAGAGGGTTTCAGATGTTGTTTGCTTACATCCTCGTCCTCCGCGTCTACGTTCTTGGTCTCGCGCACCACGACATCCAGCAGCACACCTAAATCGTTGGTGTAGAACAGGCCCGATGTTGTGGGGTCTGAGAGCACGGCGTCCAGGAATCGAAGGATCTTTAGACGTAGGAGCTTCTCCTCTGCGCAGTTTGTGAGTAATCCTTCTGTCAGGGAAGATATGAGACCGGGAACGTACCTGCCCGATTGAACAAGAAGATAACATTCTCGCTCAACGTCTTGCTATGATCTATCCGCTTCTCTATGGTAAGCAGCACCGGATTCGGCACAACCGATCGTGCCGTATTCTTCAACGCGTACTGGTATTGCACCGTCAACAGCAACTTTAACAAATCGGCATTCTGCTCCTCAAACTCCCTGGTCTCTTCAATAAGCTCCGCAAGCTGCTCCAGCCACGGCGCGTCGAAGATCTTGAGATCGCCGATACTCAGTTCCCGCGTATCGCAGATCTTGCACAGGAGTTGCGCGGCGAGCTGCTGGTTCCGCCGGGATGGGGTGGAGGTCACTTCGGAAGTGAGGCGGTCGAGCCAGTCGTGCGAGTCGAGGTGGCGGAAGGCGTTGGGGCAGGTGTCGGAGAGGCGGAGGAGGAGCATGTAGACTGTGTAGCCGACATGGGGGTCCTATGCAGGTGGGGTCCATTGGGTCAGAAGCCCTTCGAAGGTGCCCATTCCGTTCGCTTGCGAAGGCGCACACACTCACATACAGAGATATCATAGCTGCTGAGAAGTTCGACGACGCGCACGGACTCATCGTCGAGCGGCCCCTTCACGGCCTGCTCGGAAATGACCCTCATAACATTTCGGGACGTTACGCCGCGGCCCGCGGTGGAGATGGTATCGACGACTTTTTGCAAGGTTTCTTCTAGAGGTGCTGTTGCGTCGGATAGGATTTGTTCGAGGACTGGGATATTGGTAGGGAGACGTTAGGCCATGGGCAGACCATCAGCGTTGCGATTGACAATAACAGAAGTAAGTACCTGCGACCGTCGACTCGCCCTCCTCTAAGGCCAGGTGGTCTACGCTGGAGAACATGACTACGATATCTGGCCGACACACACTTCTGTGAAGTTGGGTGTGAAGCCGAAAGGAGCTTGGAAGGATGTCATGGGCGCGATGGGCGTGGGCGCCCGCGCGAGCTGGTGCGGGGGTGGGTGCGCGGGCGTGCAACCAGGCTTCGGACTTGCAACGCTTTCACGAGTTGAAATTGCCAGCAGGTCATTCGACAATAGCAACGGCCAGTTGGAACACAGGGGAGATCTCGCATAGGCCGTACTTGTCGAAACGGGGGAGATATTTCACTGATTCATCAAAGTGCGGGGCCACTGTGGTCTTGCTTTGGGGGAGATCGAGAACCTGGAGGTCTAGCTTACAGGGTTCCACCAAAACCCGAATCCGCGCCCAATCGTGCTTGCGTTGTTTTTGCAGCTTCGAGTAGTAGGAATCAACAGAAATAAGACGAATTAGCGGTTAGCAGGTCTGGAACACCATGCATCCTCCATGCCGAATATGACGGAAGTATCAGAGAATCGCGACGGGCACGGCGACGATCTAACACCAGGAGCGGAAAGCGTCGACTGGGGTCTGGGGAAGAACGCACCAAAGGAGTTCCCGACCTGGACGTTCCCGGAAAACTCCTCCGCGATCACCTTCGGTTCCCTCAATGCAGTGTCGTATTCAGAGTCGGATGCGAAAGGACGCCTGGAGTTTTTGGCAAATGAAGGCTATCAAGCTGCGATATACCCAAAAGGCCCTTCCCATTCACTATGTTCGGGGAGAAGGGAATGGACGCGTCCTGAGCGGCACGAGCAGATAGATAAGATGCTTGCATACGGCGAGGCGAATCTGTTTCAGTTGGGGGTGTCGACAGACCTCATGTATGACCATCTTGTCGAAGCTATCAATGTCGAGCTTGACAGCTATATCAGAGATCCGTTTCTGGGCAATCTGATGCAATCCATAGATGGGCGACCGCAGGGTGATGCTAGGCATGGATCAGTCGCGCTTGCATTCGCGGGTGGGGAGTCCTGTGAGAGTCTGTACGTGGGACATTTCGGTCCTGAAATGCCAACATTGTCACCAACCGTTTCGTTCGGCAATCCGATTCTTCAAATCGCTACTTCCTCTGCGTCCGCTCCAAGTAAGGTAGACTATCTTATGTGGTTATTATAGTGTTGCTCGTTCTTACTTTCTTAAAACATAGACTTCGTAGCAGTGCGCAATGCCGGGTCAGTTACAATATTGAACAAAAAGAATGGAGATCGGACTGCCGATGGGGCGGGCGGGTCGACTTTCGGCATAGCATCCAACATACCGTTCCAACGGCGGCCTTTGCATGTGGCCTTCAATCCGATACTTCCCGCCGAGGCCGCAGTGGTTCTGGACGGAGGAGACGTCTGGCTATGGAACGGAAACCAGCACAAGCAACAGTAAGCGGTCGCAGTTTTGCCTAGAGTCGACAGCAGACGAACTCATGAGTTCTCTTCTCGTAGGGCATCCGTGATAGCAACATACGAAGACTTTGGCTCCGTTTATCAGCGGAGGTGGAAGACATGTGACTACGGCCATCATCCTAGGACTTTGGTCGTCGGCCATTTCGATCGGGTGGATACCATTGATTTCCGAGTAAAATCGATCGTTCCCGCAACGGTCTTTCAAACGCGGGCGTCGGAGATGCTTGCGGCATGTCGAACCGATCCGCACAATGCGTATCAAATTGTCATTGCAACAGATCGCCGAAACGCTCTTCTCGACACTCGCTTCCCCGGCCGGCCACTCATAGAATGGGAGAGCATGTCGAGCGAACCACCGATGGGTATCGAGTTTGTGGACGATGAGACTGGCGCCGCCTCTGCTTTCTGCACTTGGAGCAGATTATCGGGTGAAGTGAACATATTCGAGTACCGCCAGCCGACACCAGTAGGACAATCCAGTGACGCCTTCCATAGTCTCCTATCGACATCATGCAATCTCCCGCCGATTTCCACGATGCGTTGCTATCAACTGAAGTCTCCAGCAAACTTTGCAAGCCTGGGTCACTCAGTCTTTCGAGATGACCGCATTATGCGCGAGATCCGTCCCTACGACGCCGACATGGTGGTCCCGCGTAGACCGCCATTACAGGGTTTCGCTCTCCGGGGTACAACAGCAGGCGGGTTCCATGCATTCCATCTCTATGCAGACGGGTCGATGTACGCCCAGGAATACAGCAGAGATGCAGAAAGTGCGCATGCACAGGAGGTCGAGGCGGATGGGACTAGCTTTGGCAAGACGGTAGCTCTGGAGCGCAAGTCGGAAACCCAGGCGTCTGTGCCGGACCCGTATCGAGATCACGGAATCGTAGACTTCAAAGTACTCCGAATGGCCTTGTCCAACGCGTTGAGGAACGCCCGGGAAGTTGACGAGACGCAGATGGCGTCCCTAAAGAAGATTGTCGACTCGTCATCCGTCGGATCCCAGCATAGGACGTTGTGGGAGTTTTGTCGGGATTTCTGGACCCTTGGGACTTCTTATGCCGAGGATAACACCGCTCTTGTTTCCTCGCTGCATTTCTTCGGGTCGTTGAGCGAGGCGCAGGTGTCGGAGTTGGGTGCAGCGCTGAGCGTTGCCTTCCCTGAGAATAAATACCTGGTTGACATGAGCTGGATATCATACGCGCAACGGAAAAGGGATCCTGATAGCTCCGGCGCTCCATCGAGCAATGCCGCTAACACTGATCAAGAGACGGGCCGCGACCCAATAGCAAAGAGAATATTGGACCAAGCCCGCTTGCTAGGAACCCAAGCGACGCCCGTCCAAGAACGCTCACTCGTCGACGATTTCCCCCAGCCCCAAACCCAAAGTCTCGACATCGACACCGATGCCTCATCCTCCCGCTCACTGCCCACAGCGACTTTGATCTCGCCATACGCAACGCAACCGATCCAATTGTCCGCGACCGCCCGCGAGCTGCGAAGGCGGTGGACAAACCCGTCCCAATACTACGGCCCCAGCGCAACACCGCAAAACTCGCGTAACAACGCACATACACCCCATCGTCGGAGCCGAGCAACCGCCAGCCGCACACCCGACATCACAGCCGCCAGCAGGGCAACAAGCGTCGCATCCAGCCGCGAACCCTCCATGGTCCCAAACGTCCGCGCAAGCTCGCAAGCGACCGAGGTGGGAGGCTCGTCTTTCGAGGACGCGTTCACGCAATCGCAGATGTGGGCGTCGTTGTCCCAGTCCCAGTCGCAGTCGCAGTTTAGGGCGTCCCAGGTGCAGATGTCGCAGTCGCCGGCTCCGCCGTCGTTGTCGCTTTCGCAGAGCTTAATTGGGACGGGGACGCAGGCGAGTCAGCAGAGCGTTGGTGAGCCGGGGCAGAGTAGTAAGAAGAAAAAGCAGAGGAGGAAAGGGTTCTGAGCGTGTGGCATTGGATGCACTATATTTATATATGTTGATAATCGATCATTTATAATCCCGACAAGGTTCGGAATGGAACGCTCATAGAGAGTCTCATGATTTCAAGTGCGACAAGGCATCCTGTACTAGCAAACACGCAACTTGTCCAAATGACACGAGCTTTGCAAGTGAAGGTACCAAGAAAACCACATTGTATTTCGAGCGGCTACGCTATTACCCCCGCGAAACAGATGTGTATAACAAAGTAAGAATAAGGACCCTCTCACGGGAATATAAAATACGGCCGGAGCCTTGTATGCGGTATAGTCTTTGTAGGTCGATAAAATATGTGACGCAGCCGAAGGGTAATGTGTGGTTCAGAGGTGCGAGGCGAAAATGATGCTGATGTTGGTGGAGGACGAATCGTTGACATGGGTTCCGTCTTGGGAGCTTCAAAAGAGCCAGAGACCCCGGAAACACGCCGACGCCGGCCCCTTTTGTGCCATGATGGCACGGAGCCGACCGCCGCCTTCTTTGCTCGCGTTGCTGATATGGTCGATGAAGCGGCGACGTCTCACTTCTGGGACCTCCTTTGGAAGGTTCTCGTAAAGCATGTTGAGGAGGTACTTGAAGGTGTCGGGGGCGAGTTCCTGCCCCATGGTCATAATACACTCAAACGCGGCCGATCGAATTCCGAACTTGTTGGTGCCAAGAAGCCCCTGCATGACCGACGAGAGAAAGCATTTAGAACCAATGTGTAATGTCAAGGAGCAACATACTGCCAGTGGTGAAACTCACCTCGGTTATGTAGGCCATCATTATTTCGAGCTCCTCGCGCGAGCGATTGTGCGCGTCCTGCATTTCTAGCGTCGACCGCAGGAGCTTGTAGGCTTGCGCGAACGGCGGCATCGTTATCAATGCCGCAACGCTGGTTTGCCACACCATGCCTGGTGGATTGCGTTTTTCGAATATCTCAAAAATGTATTGTAATGTCCCTCTGAACTCCGTCATATCTTCGGACGACCACATGTGCAGCTGCAAATGAAAAGCAGCATTGTATGAGATGACATCCGAAAAGCAAGGGATCCGAGTGCTCAAGTACTTACGTCTTTCCTGTCATCGGAGTACTCTATGATGTCGGAAAAGAGGCCCGTTCCCGGTATGACTCGCAGGCTCCGCGTGACGTTCATGACGAGCTCGAAATGATGGTCCAACAGACACGACATTATGTGGCTGATTCTCAGGTGGAACAGAGGTGTATTCCCAGGCTGTCAGAAGAGCAGGTGGCTTTAGTCCAAAACTTTGAGTGCGGAGCAGTAGGGAATCATGAGTACTCACCTGGTCGCTGAACATGGCGTCATCCGTCATCTTTATCAAGTCAGGGAGCCATTCCTGGCCGGCTCCGACCGCTATGTTGTCGAGCACTAGATCCATCCCGTCGTAACTGGGATCCCGTAATTCCTCCATCATGGTGACGGGTAGGGCCGGCTGCGATGCCACGTACGAGAGTGTGAGTGGTGAGACAGAGTGGACTTATGAAGCAAACAAACATGGACCATACCCAGCCCGGTTTATCGACAATGTACGGTGAAAAGATAGACTCCAAATTAATCTTCTTGAATGATAGGTCCGCCGAAAAGTCTGGAGTCGCGTTCTTGCCAACACGTAGGTGCTCCGCATCGACCTGAACAAACGGGGCCTCCCAGCCCGGGATTGAAGCAGCACGGGGAATCTGTCCTTGGACCTGTAGTACGGGAGGACAAGCGGACGCAACACGTGGGGCGTCCCCCACGGCTACATCCGGCAGAGCGTCAAGAGACGGAGTACACGGTTCCTTTGGCGATGACGGCGGCACCAGGGATTTTCCGTGTTGAGAAGCGCAAGAAGGAGAGGTAGAGGTAGAAACAACTTTCGGTGACGGCTGCGCCAGGCATTTGCCGTTTGCAGGGGAGTACGAAGGAGCCGTAGCATTCTGTAGAGTTTCCGGTGACGACGGCACCAATGATATGTCGTGCACGTGAGGTTGGGCCACAGTGCCCACAATTCGGGGTTGCGGCAATCTCGAAGGAGATAGCGGCTTCGGCAGCCTTGATGGTGACTTGGGCACAGTAAGCTGTCCGGGCGGAGACGGTAGTGCCCTCGGCGGTGACAGCGGGGGCGGGGACGGTGCTGCTCGAGAGATTCCTGACGCCGTTCCCGGGAGAGAAGGTTTGGACCCATAGGATTTGACGCTCGATCTAAGGTTGTTTATTTCCGGTTTGAGTTCCGGTTTGGCTATGCGGGAGGCCGACGCCCGGCCATTCAGAGCTGGCTTCGAGTTGGGAACACGTGATAGCTCCGGTTTTGTCTGCGGGCGAGCAAGGACACGCATTGCGCCGACGGGCTTCTTCGGATTCATCCCTGTGTCCTCGTCGTCCTTTCTCAGCACCCTTTGCACCCTTTGAGCTCCGACCCGGGTTTCCGTAGAGGGACCTTGAACGGCACGTCGGGGCCTGCTCGCTGTTTCCTGTTCTGCTTTGACGCGTCCAAAGCTTGGCTTCGTCGGATGTTCGGCTGCAGCGGCCACGAGGTTTCTGATGGGCGGCCGAGCGGGAGACACTGTGGTAGACGGCACAGGCGGCTTCATAGCCGGTGGCGCCTTGGTCGACCGAGCAGGCGAGGCCTTGGTGGACAAAGGCGAGGACGAGTTGATTTTCAATCCCTTTTTGGCTACGCTCGATAAAGAGCCGTGGAATCTGTCAAGGAATACCACATATGAGTCTTGGGGACAGCCATCCGTAAGGTGAAAGAATGACAGATTATCATATACTTACAGGTCAACGCGCTCTGGAAACCTACATTTGTAGGTTTCGTATGAGCTGCGGGTATATGCCCGCACTTCGCCGCTTGCATCAGTGATGGCCGTCCTTATGTATGCCTCGATGGAATCGACGTACGGCGCCAATGACCTGGCATCATTGTGCTCCATAAGGAAGGCGAAGCAGTCCGCAGTCGCCTCCCGCTGGCCTCTGGCGGGTTCCCTGCCGCTTTCCGCCAGGGCCTCAACAAGTGCAGGCAGACCGCCCGAAGCAATGCAGGTTTTGATCGTGTGCACCGCTGTGTTAACATAAATCCTGTTGGTCCGTCCTGTCAACTTCAGAACAGGTTTGAGCAAGTCGTTGCTCAACGCTTGGAAGTTGCGCCCAAGGACCGTTCCCATGGTTTCTACCACTGTCATGGCGGCACGGCTAAGACGGGTCCGGTCACTCAGAAGCTGTACGAATTGGAACAGGGTAAGAATAATCTCCCGATCACATTACGGTATATGGCATGCAACTTACGCCAATACTCAGAGGTTCCTTAACGACTCGTTTGATTGTCTGAATAAACTTCGGCAAAGCGAACGACCCCTTAACAATGTTGGTAAGGCGCTCAAAGTTGGCTAGACGGCCTTCCCAGTTTCCTTCGGTCTCTTTCTCCGCCGCACTGGGCATTATCCTGCGGAGTTCACGCTCCAGGGCCGCATCATCTGGCATCTGCAGAAACGGATGGGTTCAGTTCGGGGCTTTCTCGTAGATGTTGCCACAAAGACAAAATGTGAGGCCTCACCGCAATGCCCTCGTTCGACGGGCCTTTCGCCATTGCTACGGGCTTGAATTCCTGTGAAGCTTGTAAAATTTGTAGTGTATCGTTGTTTGCGGGCCACACTCGGAAGAGTTGGTCGATAACGATACGGATGAGAACTGAGGAGGAAAGGAACTGATGGCGGACAAGCTGTATGCTACTTATATGAGCAAACTTCCCCCTCCCGAGCCGGGCCACAGAGCGGAGTTCGAAAGAAGCTGTCTTGTCGGAGTTCTTCGGTAATCGGGGGTTCCAAATCGGGGTCCAAGATGTCAGTTAAGGTGGTACGCGTGGATTCAAGAGTAGTGTTGAGTTTATCTTCGGCGGGAGAGTAGAAGTCCGGCAGACGAGAGTGTCGGTCGTTAGCTTAGCTCGTAACCTCCTGCAGCACTTTGGACTTGTCTCTCAGCAGTGGGCTGCCTATGCATATGTACTGTATGTATGTATGCCGCTATGTGTGAAGCCAGCGAGCGCCCCTCCTCCAACATTCCAAAAAGCCCCCTGATTCAAATTCACGTCCAGACGCGCGGACATGACAAACAAGACTGAGGCCCAACCAGCTTTTCTGGCTTCGTTTGTGCAGCATGTGTACATTTTGCTGTCTCCTGCTTCAGGGCCGAAGGTCCTTCGCAACCGACGGAAACTTTAAATCGATGTCAAGACTTGTTCATATCTTGTTTCCTTGTTTCCTGAGTTGAACTCCTGGTTTCCAGTCATTCGTCCGTGAGCTCGGGCGGGCGGTGCACCTCACAAGTACAGTACTCACCATAAGTGGAGCCTGAGGCCCAGAAAAAGCTTCATCAGACTTCCACCAAAATGGGAAAAAAGCGAAACGCGTCGAAGTTGTTGAAGCGACTGTGGCACGCAGCGATGGCAACTTTTCCCAAGGCATCACGGGCAGCACGGCGAGTATAGGACACCTTGCACCGGTGGTATTCTGCCCACTCCCTCGTTGGGTGCGAAGCCGTGGCGGTGATTCTGAAGACCCGGCGGACCTTCCCTGCGGCGGATGTCCGAAGACACGGCGTCTGGCGCGGGTTCTATTTTGGGCTGCAAGGCCTCAGCGAGTTTAAGGCTCTTAAGGTTGCGGGTAATGGTCTCGACAAAGGGCGAACAAAGGTCTCAGGGCGGAACTGCAAAGCCCAGAAGCCTGTCCAACACCCAATCACCAATACCCGCCCCGCGGGCACAAGGCTATTTATATCCGATAGACTTCTGGAATTCGGGGCACCGTACCGTAGTGTAGCACTGTCATGTGGCACCCCTTGAAGGAGCGAGCGCCTCTTGCCGGAATTGCTGTGAAATGAGCTGGTGAATATAGCACACAAATTGCGAAAGGTTGGGGAACGTCCTAAAATCTTGGTGGTTCGAAACTATTTGCCCTCAGGCTATTATCCTGCTCGTTAAGGATTCACTTGCTTACAACAGGCCAGCATTATTATGGGAACTCTGAGTAGAGGCAACGAGTACGTGTTTTGTTGTCTTGTGAGTGTGCGGGGCGGACAATAGAGAGCTGCAGCTAAATGCCTATGGTTCGCAATTGGCGATGTGCAGATCGAAATTGTCCTTGTACAATGAGGACCCTCCGGGCGAGAACTGTCTGCTGCGGGTGCAACTGCCGAACGATATGACAACCGTCATCCAAGTTCAGGCTGACATGACGATGTGGGAGTTGCTCTGTGTTATCAGCTCGAAAAAGCAGTTGACGCCGTCGCGGCATGAGGTCAAAATAATGTTTATGAACGGCAAATCCGTGATGGCGGATGAGAGCAAAACTCTGAACAGTTATCCTGACGTGGAGCGGGTCATTTTGCAGAAAAAGCCTGGTGGGAAAATCAATACTGAGCCTTTCTACGCATCAGAAATGATTTGCTGACGCGGACATTATGCAAAATGTAGATGCACCAGGAGATTCTAGCGGGAACCTCGCCCGCATGCGGCAAGGGAGAAGGTCGTCTGTGGTGCTGAATGCGCCGAAGCCTTCCAATATCCGCATGTCATCCCAGGAGTTCCCAAAAACTGTAACAGATGAGGCAGCATTAGCGCTTCGCCTCGCCGGCTCCAAAGACGCAGCGGGACTATTGTCGAAAAACAAAAAGACCATCAAAAATGTCGCCATGCTTCTTTTCAACAAGAAGCCATCTGGTGACTTGTCCACCGACGGCAGTTCGTCCAGTCTCCTGGATTCATCCCGGCTGGGTGCGATGCGGAAGGACTGGAGTCAGGATTATATACCTAACGAGGGGGAAGACCTTAGAAGGCTAAGCCGAGTCAGCACCAGCAGCAGAGCAGGAGACAGTCCGGTTTCCAACATGAAAGCGTCGCCAAGTCAGGATGGCGCCTCGTTTAGTTTGCGAAGCTCGGATTCGGATCTTGACACTCTATATGATGGAACGAATACCAAACCTTTGGGGTCACATGCACAACAACGGCGAGCAAGCACCGAGCAGTCAGGGGGACGTCCATCCATCACCTTTTCACGAAGTCTTACGTCAAACGGAATATTCTCGCTGGCAGATGAAGGTGCTTCTGATGACCCCATCTCAGAGTCGGGAGGCACACCAACTCCCCAATCCGAAAGTAATTCAGCTGCGAGCACGCCAGCTGCTACCATGTCGCGGTCGAATTCTACCGTACGGGATCCCCAAAGCAGAGAAAAAATGTAGGCTCGTCTTACCATCTTCCACCAGTCAGCTTAGCTCGGTCTAAATTTGCAACTTCCTTTTGGCAGCCGAAAGCGCACGGTGTCGTCACCCGCGACGTCAGGCACATCCAACTATGCGACACTTCGGCGGCCGGTCATGCGCTCCAACCGACAGCGCTCATGCATGGACATGGAGGGTGAATCTGACACAAACATAGAAGTCGGCACGGCCCCGGCGGACCAACCCAAAACGGAAGTGGTCGCAGGCGACGCCAGCCCTATCGTCGCGTCTCCGGGCGTCGATGAAGGCAAACGGGTCCTCCTCAAAGTGTCATTACCCGATTTCCAATCGACCACGATTTTCATCGGTCCGGAACAAACGATGGAAACGGCGCTGATGCATATCTGCCAGAAGAGGCAGCTCGATTTCGAGCAGTACACGCTGGAGGTTCCGAAAGAAGGCGTGATAGTGGAGATGGACCGCACTGTGGCCTTCTACAATCAGCAGGGCATTGGTGAGGTCATCGTGGTCCAGAAGGAAAAGACGTATAGCACTATGTGTGTCAACGAGGGAGGGCAAGACGTCATGATTCTTCAGGCGTTGTCTGGAAAGTAAGTTTGAAGCGGTGCTTCCAAGCAATTTTATTTTGTCTCTCATCCTTACGTTCGTTGCTACAAAAGGCCGCAGGTCATGGCAGCAACTCCAGCCAAACTAATCGAGCGGTTAACCGATCAAGATGAAAACGGTAAGCAGTGGGCAGATACCCGGGTGTGTTTCGACGAGGTAATAGCTAACTCTCATTTTCTGCAGACAAAACTTTTATGGACACTTTGCTGTTGACATATCGCTCCTTTATGACTCCCGTCGATTTCTTCGACCAACTGGTTGCGCGCTTCAATTCCGAGCTCCCTCCGGATCCTAGTCCGGAGGACATCGAGTACTTCAATAGGATGAAGCTTCCCACACAGAAGAGGTACTCTCTAATGCAGCAGAGGATTATCATGCAGCAGGATCTAACCATCTGTTTTCGGCGGACGTAGGGTTATTGCGACCTTCAAATGGTGGGTGCAACACCATTACCATGACTTCGGGGTGGACAGCGCAGTCAAAGCCGACCTGGAAGATTTCGTGGACCAAATCACCACTTACAACGGCGGCGAATTTGCCGCCGACGCCTCAGAGCTCTACGGGTACATAGAGTCGCAAGCCTTGGCCTACGAGGAGATGTTTCATAATTACAAGAACGTCGAGCGGAAGGGCAAGACAATAGAAGGCATGGTTCAAGAGATCTCAGTCGACGACCTGGCGCAGCAGATCTGCTTGCATGATTTCAAGTTGTTCAACAACATCCACCCCATCGAGTATCTGAACCAGATCTGGAACAACTCGGCGGAGAGTTCGCCGTCGATGAAGTACTTCATTGAACGGTTTGATAAGGAGTCGTATTGGGCGGCTACGGAGATCGTGAAAGAGAAGGATCTCAAAAAGCGGACTGCGCTGCTGCGGAAGTTCATACTAACGGGAAAGGTATGTGCGCAAAAGGCGATTGTTCGCTCGGCACCCACGAAGGACTCAAATATTCCGTTGGCGCCCAGATGTGTCAGGAGCTCAACAACTTCTTTACCATGTTTGCCATCATCGCTGGTCTCAACATACCACCAATACAACGCCTGAAGAAGACATGGGAAGCTTTGCCGGACAAAGCGAAAAAGAGCTGGGCGGAATTGGAGAAAATGGCTGATCCTTCCAGGAATATGAAGAATTACCGCGACACATTGCTTGCGGCGAGTCCGCCCATTGTGCCTTTCTTACGTATGTTTATCGGCGGACATCCTCGTCAGTTGACCGTACTGAATAACTATTACGCCTTACATTACTCCAGCGATCTACCTCAAAGATCTAACCTTCATGAACGACGGAAACGAGTCGAAAATCGGCACCGAGCGCCAGATGATCAACTTTGACAAACTCCGGATGATGGGCAACCGCGTGAAAGACATCTCCGCGCTGGCCCGCATCGAGTACAACTTCGAGCCCAAACCACCAATACAAAATTTCCTCTCGAAGCCACCGGTGGAGAAAAGTATGGCCAAGCTCAAGGAATTGTCGCTAGAATGCGAAAAGTCGGAGAAATAGTTCGCCCCCATCTGCATGCGGGTCGGGGTGTCGGATCGTGCCTGTCAAACCATAGAGGAGCACACAACTACTTTTTTTTTGGAATGCATTGAGGACACAACTGCGATTTTGTTTCGTTCATGTAGATAAGAGTTTCACCATTCATAACTTCCGAGTTTTTTGTTGGTGACCATGCAATCATTGTGAGGATTCTGCCTGTGCGGATCTGACCTGGGATACACACGAAACCCGGGATCTCAAAGGGATATGCTTTGCACTCAGCTGCTGATGCCGATTGATGTCGAAGAGCTTGCTATTCACGTAGCCCGGTCTACGGGTTAGTTCGCGGACCACAGCGTAGGACTATGTACAACTTCCAAGCGGCTATTTGAAACAGCTTGACCGCCTATCAGAAAACTATGGCGGGAATGTGGATACAGTGTACGGCGGGATGGGTACATATACAGTGCCGGAGAAGGCTCAGCTAGACCGCCACTAAGTCGAAGGCCGAGAGACCGCTTGTCAGTACAATAGTGAAGCACCCCACCTCTTCCCTCGCTCCTACCATACCTCAGCCGCGATATCATTCTTCGAGGAGGACTGCTGGCCAGGGACCCGCCCAGGACCAATACTGCTCTGCGAATCTAATTTGGCGGCCAAAGCTCCTCCGCCTTGCTGTACGCCTCGAGAAGCGGATGCCTAACAAACAAACTGTGAGGTCGCATTCTCGCAAATCGGACTCTTGCATGAGGTCGCAGGTTTAGCAACCCACAAACCAACCTTTGCTCTCGCCTCAGCGGCCGCAAGCCTCGCTTGCCGTTCATTTGGATCGTTTGAGGACAGTCTCTCCCGTTTCCCAGAGTTTGGTCGTTGTGGTGCGTTATTAGAACCGCCCAGCCGTTGTCCATCTTCCCGACGCCCGTCACCTCCTCCAAAGCATGCGTTGCCCATCCCGGGTTCACCGAATACTTTAAGTGTACGTATATTGGTTGAAGCAAGCCTTATTTGTCACGGCAGAGTGGTAATGAGCGTCGGCCAACCAAAAAGAGAGAATGTACTGCATGTCACTTCCAGGATTCCAGTGTTCGGCTGTTCTCGCCGTCGTACTCTCACTCAACTCGAAAAGCCCCATATGCGCGCCTATGCGCGCGCCTCAAAAGCTTGAAATCAAGAGCCCGCAACCCTAACTCCCAACCCCCACGTTCATGGATGGTGTTGCCACCTCTGTTCTCATCGCACGTTCATAGATGGTGTCGGTATCACCGGGAGGGTCGAGCCTGAGGATTTCCACAGCATGTTGAGTTTGGAGACCTTTAAGCGCTGCATGTTTGAAATTGATGGACGGAACTCGCACTTGCTGTACAAGTACGTTCAACTTCTCAATCGAGATGATAAGAGCGGTTACCTCAGAGTGATAAGAGGCAGTCGAGTTGGTGTTTGTGCGTTTGCTACCGTTCACAATGACGTTCCGGAGTTCGAAGACGCGCCTTCCAGAAGCCGCGCTGTCGTATTCGGGCAAAACCACAACTTGTTTGAGTTTGCCACAGAACCTCAATCCGATTTGAGTGTCAGCGCACAGCCTGGTCTCCAGGGACGCTGACAAAATCGATTATCCAGGATTAAGAAGATGTCATGGTAGCGTCCCGATTTAGATCACTTGTTCATCATTACGTTCAACTGGAGTCCGGTCAATTTAGTCGAGTCCCATCCGGGAAGTGGAATAAAAAGCCGGAACTAGGAACCACGATCTTTCTTACGGCGTCTCAGACGATCTAGGAAGACTCAGCATCAGTAAACCTTGGACCTCATTAAATCTGTTTACCATCTTTCATACCGCATCAAAATGAGGGTTCCAATCCTGCTTTCCGCCGTTCTGGTGATGACTGCAGTCGCTGCTGCAGACATCATCAAGCTTGTCACCGTCTTGCCATTTTCCACGACGGACGTGTTGGCCACCAATGCCAACTTAAGCATGTCGCTGGCCATTGAGGAGATCAATGCCGCTGCACTTTTCCCGGGTGCAACTGTCACTTTGGATTACCGAAACGATCAGAACAATAAAGGTGCGATCGACCCCGATTTCTACCATCATCTATCTGGACAATCACTGACTCATGCCAACAGCCCGAGAGGTCGCAACGGGGTTGGATCTGATCTCTGGGGGCTATTCGGGTGTGGTTGGTAGCTACCTTTCAGATCAGTCAAAGATGCTCGCATATACCCTCACCACACCGAAGGTAAGGACTAGCGGCCGTGCCCAACCTTCAGTCTGGTCGTCTGACGCGGATCGCCTTTCAGATATTCCAATGCAGTGGAATTTCGACGTCACCAGCGTTGGGCGATAAAGAAGAATTTCCGACTTTCTTCCGAGTCATTGCCGACGATAATGCACAAGGAACGGTTATACTGCAACTGATCCAGAAGCAGGGCTGGAGCCGCTTTGGCATCATCGCAGGAACGTCGGACTACTCGAGAGAAATCGTCAATGTCATTATGGCGAACGCGCCAGATTATGGCCTAGAAGTCTCATCTCCCATAACCGTCGATCCAAGGGAAACTACGGGCCTCCAGACGAAGCTCGAAGGCTATAAGGCCATCGGGATACGTGTGATCGTATTGGTTCCGAACGACGAGGTCGAGACCTTGGGGACTCTCCGGATCCTTAACGACAACGGTTTCGTCGGTCCGGAATTCGCTTATATCGGCTCCGACGTGACGAATCTGGTGTTCTCGGCTTCTAATTATCAAGTAAGCCTTCCATTGCATCATGCCACTATATCGTCGGAAGAGTTGTTTCATCAAGGGTTTCCAGGCATCAAGGGACAACAAATTACTCCAAGGGATGTTTGTGGTGAGCGCTTTAGAGTACTCTGCCTCGACGAAGTCATTGGAGGCAAAGATGAAGGACAAGTATAATCTTGTCATCGGTGCAAATGGCGGCAGCGACGGCGCAGCGTTTTACGTACGTATTCTGTGATTCGTTTGTCAATCTGCGTTCCATCATTGACCGAGCGCCCCGTTACTCTTCCAGTACGATTGTGTATATGCGTTCGCCCATGCATTGAAAAACATCATGACAAAAAATAGCCTGACGGTCACGCAAATGGCCAATCGAGAGTGGATGAACCTGCCAATAACGATCGCTGACTTTGTGAATATAAGCTTTCAAGGAGCTACCGGATACCTCGCTGTGAGTGTTCACTTTGAAATTGAGACGTGCAAAACGATTGAGGAGGCTGACGGGAAGATTGGCCTCCGGAAAAGTGGCAATCCGATGGGAACGTCGTTTCGTCGCAGTTTGCCGTTTACAACATAATAGACAATAGCCTGAAACTCATCGGAAATGGAACATCTGCGGCCATTGACTTCTATACCCAGCCCGTCTTCTTCTCCGGTACCACCGCCATTCCACTGGACAGTCCAGTTCTGGATGACCAACTTATCGGGTACACGAAGCCCTTCTCGTACGTAGTCCGGGTCGTAAACTTCAGCCATCCAGAAATGCTGCTCATCTTTCATGCATATATTTTCAGCTTGCTCATCACCATTCTGACCACCGTTGCCCTAGCTGTTATCTTCGCGAGTCTCTGCCTCCTTGTCGTTAAATCGACCCACCCGTTGCTCCGTCCTATTTCACCGCCTTTCATGATGATCTCTGCATGTGGACTCATGCTCTGCCTCGCGAGCATCTACATCGACGCCAAGCTGATTCCGTCCCGCGCATCCTGCAACTCCGGATACAGCCTGCTGGTGCTGGGCTTTGCTTGCGTTATCGGCAGCGTCATGATGAAGCTGTATAGGCTCTACAGGTTGGTCCAATGATGTAGCTTTTGTCGTGCGGATATGATCTTGACGGGTCGCTTTTCTTTGCCCAGGATTTTTGACAATCGAATTGCCCACAGAAGGGCGTTATCCACAAACACGCTCCTGCAGGGAACAGGCGCTTTGATAGCCATTGAATTGGTATGACCACATCGTTTCGGAACCGGTGAGTTAGTTAAGCCTAATGCCTCTTGTAGATCATAGTCTTGATTTCCGTGCTCGCCTTCCCTCTGCTTCCCATCGAGCACAAGGACATGGTCAGCGTGCAGCACTATTTCACCTGCGAAGCCGATAAGGTCGTCGCCGGCACGGCAATAACGGGTGTCCTGTATGCTTATAACGGCTCGCTCCTTGTGGCATGTTGCTACCTGGCATTCCAAACCCGCGACATCTACTCGACATACAACGAGGCTAAAAGTATTGGAGTAGCGATTTACAACATTTTCGCCTGCGCGTTCATAGGAATCATTATTCAGGTAGTGAGACGAAGTTCTCCTTTAACGCGGGCTTCCTTCGTCACAACACACTGAGGTTCCTTCTTCTATGGCAGTTCATGGCCTCTGTCAGTCCGGTCATAACGTTCGGGATCAAATCGATCCTAATCATATTTGCAGTCTTACTGACGTATTACCTCATGATCGGAAAATACGTGCTCGCAGTTGTGCAAAAACAGAGCGCGGAGAACTACGGGCTCGCCGCCGAGAGCAGTACTGGCTCGACCAGTGGGCCTGGCGGCAAGAGTTCAGTAAATGTCTCGACCACCGCGTTGAAATCGCAGCGGGAAAATTCAAAAGCCCCGGAGAAAACTACGATTCAGAGCGCCGTCTACCCAATATGCGGATCGAGCGATGTCACTTCGGGGCAGTGGCGCAACTTTCAGCTCCATTTGGTTGGGAAGCCAATGTACTCCCTTGCGCTTCTGAACGTGCGCGACAACGCAAAATCCCTCCTCATTCCCATTACAGGTGCTATAGTGAACATCGCCAATGATCGCCTCGTTATTTCCGTCAAATGGCCAAAGGGCGCGATACGGATTCAAACGGACACCGAGACCGCCGCGGCGATGTGGGCCGGGGCCATACAACGTTTGCAGACAGAGAGTACGGGCGGCACCCCCACGACTACTCCTCCCAGTGCTACAGCGTCGCGGACTACTGGGCGATCTCAAGCAGTGCGTCAGTTAGTTTAGATGATTAGTAGCATTGAACCAGCACCAGTATCTAAACAATATTGATATAAATGGAAGTAAACCCCAAGAGGGTCATCGTAAGAGTTCCAATTCATAAAGCGATGGAACACTGTCGGAGCTCATGAACGCGCTGTCGAATACCTGTCATTCCTTGAATAATAGCAAAACAGCACAGGACACAGGGAATCTCAAGGGTCAGTTTCAGATTGCTGGGCTCCTGCGAACGTCGTGCTATTTCGAGTCCGGAAAAGAGGGTTGGACAACTGAAAAGAGGGAACGAGTCGCCACTGCGCGCTTTCGATTGTCCCCACGCACAAGTGCTCTCCACTGACAGGTCCACGTCCCCAACCCACCTCCGCTCGCTCTGACAGAACCTACCGCCTTTGTGCCCTTTCCCCCCACATATGTTGCAATGCAGCAAGAGACGTCCCGGTCTTCCCGGTGCCTTGTGGTTAGTTGAGTGCCACATGGACGCCGTAGGAATGTCATCGTCCGACTCGAGACTTGGACTAAGCGAAATCATTTTAGGCCAGTGCCAATGGAGAGCGAGCAGCTGTTGCCATGAGTGATGCAATTTTGAATCACTGTATCACCCCGTAAATTCAGACTTGGCACCCGTTCCCAGGTTGTGGACAGCAGGCTTGAGGCTCGCATATAAACGTATAAATATGAGCCTGGAAGACGAACCCTCCTCTCTCCTCTCCTTGGGGGCCCTCACCCCGTGTGGCTTCAATCCAACGAACGTAAAGTGTTAGGTATGGATCCAGGTCTGGATTTAGTTATCGTAGTCATCTGTCATGTGCAAACGTCTGACTATGTTTTTCTCCTGTGTTTTCTTCGTAGGATTATGGGTTCCATTAAAGCTTAGGCTCGGACCTCCCGGTGGTACCGACACCATCTAGAGTGCTATGTAAATACAAAAATTTCAGAGACCATTGGGAAAAATCTGATACTGCCTCAGAGTACTATGCTAGAAGCAGGTATATATACACATTTACGATTACGAAGAGACTGGGAGCGTCCAAAAAGTTCTCTTTGGGGAACGAGCTCAAGCAGACCGATTCAATCCTCGCATCTTTTGAAGGATTTTCTCACAATTCGCTTCCTCCCTTCTTTCTTTTCGTGGCTTTTGCGGTGACGGTTAAGATCCGCCTGGCGGGTATACTAGATCAGAATGGGGATAATCGAATAGTATAAGTTAGAAATGATTAATGATGGTCCCAAAATAATACGGTTCCGAAAGGCTCACCTTTCCATCGCACTTGTCGCAAGAGAATGGACGCACCCCATAATGAGTGAGGAAGTGCGTATGGCAGTTGAATTTTCGATCCGTTATCATGTTGCACCCTTCAAAGGGGCAATGGAAGCCTTGCTCCGATTTGTGATACTTCACTTGGGGGACAGCACCCGAGGAAGCGGGTATGGATGGAACATTCTCGTTTGACCGCCTAGTGTTCGTGCATCTGGGGGGTGCTCCTCTTGGATGCGGTTGATACCGAATTTCTTCATTCGATCGTTTCGAATCATCCGACTCCCAGTCAAAAGCAGCGTCGATGTCAGAGCCTTCTTCCTTCTTGGCCAAATCTGAGCTGGCCCAGGTGTCAAAAAGGCCACCAGGCGCCTCAACTAGAGTTCCGTCAAACTGATGCCGTGTCCTTGATTCGGATTCCGCCCAACCCCCGATGAGCGAACTACCACCGGAGATAGGAGCAGATGGATTCACGCCGTGTAAAGAAATGACTTCCTCCACTCCCAATGGCAAGGATTGGCGCGTATTCTCCCCATTGCTGCACACCCGAGCGGCCGTGGAAACAAATAACGTACAGTCCACTTGCGCTCGGCTTGAATTGTCGTACGAGCCAGGGGACACTGATCCCAGAGCCGCCACGGTCTTTCGTTGCCGGGGCCCACCTTCGGTGCAGTGTGGCGTACAACTTGCATCGGTGGACAGTCTGCCTGACCCAATCCGTGTGCATTGCGGATATGCGAGCATCCTCGTTTGGTTACATTCGTGCAGAAGCGGGTTTTGACAAGCTGCTAGGCACGAGGGCTTTGTGCCGGACCCGCTCCATTCGGCTGGGGTAGTATTGGAGCTGAATCTTCGTCCCCCATCAACGAAGACATCGGTCGGGGTACTCGAAATAGGCATCGAGAGATTGGACCCCTCATAATACTTTCGGAGGGAGTCTTGATTGGAGCCCTCAGTTGATTCTGATTTGACTATTTTTACTGGTGAACAAGAGGGAGAGCAATCCTCGGTGGTTTGAAGTGCGACCTCTCTCCCGTTCGGAAGCAATCTCAACTGTAGAGGATTCGAACGATTCGTCATAGAGAACTGCTCGGTAGCAGCTGTTGGACACTGACGGCCGTTCGGAAGCAACCTCAACTCCAGAGGGTTCCAACGGTTCTTCTTCGGAGACCGTCCAGTAGTACGTCTGGGAGACTGAGAGCGTGTGCCGGACAGCTTCTTGATATCGGTCAAAATCTGATCGCCTACGAATAATGGCGTATTTGGCGGGGTTCCCAAAGCAAACGGTACATTCTCGTTTACCGAAGGTGACGAAGGGATGTTCGCGGGGGTCTGTTGCGGACTGATAACCGCTGCCAAGGACTGTGGAGCAACGCCGGAGATACGGCGCCTTTTTGCCATGGGTGCGGCGCGTTCGACGACCACGGCGGTCTCGTAAGAACAAGTGGACGTATCTTGGCGTGACGCGTAGCTTTCATGCAGCCCTCTCTGTTCGTTCATTTCATCGCCTGATCGCTTGGGGCGCAAAAAACTGTTTTCCTGATCGGACGTCATTATAAGACCAAGAGATTGCTGAAGTCCGACGTAGTTGTCGATAAGATCTCGGAGATTCTCGGTCGTTGATTGCGAAAAAGCCAGGTTATCAAAGGTGCAAATTTCCAACGATGCGCTGGTTTGCTGGTCGATGATGGAGTCGTCGTTGCTACGAAGGCGGATTAGGTTTTTGATGTGTGTGACGGAGGTTTCTGTTTGTTGGGCGTGATAAGATTGACGACGATGACCGGCGAATCCGGAATGTGAGAGTTCGTCTCGAAACGGCGCGACGGCAGCCATCATACGAAAGCCTGTAACAATAAACAGCAAAAACGGATTCGATCTTGATCTTGAGGGTTGGCCGGCTATGTACAGTATATATCTGCAAGTATGGAAGGTGGAACTGGGAGATGGAACTTGAACTTTCTAGGCTGCAATGGGCCGCTGACCTTCCTTACCAGCTTTCCTTTAAATGTAGGACGACAGAAAAGGAAAACGGTGAAGACATCTCGGAGGGGTTGGCAGACAGAGTGGCGCTGGAATTCTTCACGAATCCAACACGCAATGGACCTTTGCTTCACTCGTTCCTGAAAATTGTAGCGGGAGGACTCCTTTCGGGCGGGTAAGCGGAAGGGGTTATCGTATGGGAGAAGATCGGGTCTATTTGATGGAGGAGAAACGCACGGTCCCCAGGGGGTTGGAGTAATTAACGCGGAGAAGAACCGATATGCTGGCGCAAATTCAGGGACTTCCTGCACAGCTGTACATACATGGTGCCTATCAGCCCCACGGGTGCATACTTACACACTTGGTTTCGAATACACGGGCTGCACAAATGCTCATATTCTTTTGCGCATCCATAGGCATAGCATCTAGATGCAACGCCTTTATATACGTATGTAAAGGTATTCTGCGACGGTTCGGGGCCTACAGATGTACTGTACATACTTGCACCCAGATGGGGCCAGTCGGGCATCGCCTCGTGTACTGTACAGTCTGTTGCCATAAAGCAGGTCGCACCTGGCCGTGCGCAGTCGGCCCCAGCGGTTGTTGCCTAGGACAGTGACAGATCTAGTTTAGATTAGGGGTCCTAATACTGTGAATATTGGGATGATGGGTGCAAATGATCAGCCGCGAGGACATTGACTTGATTTCTGGGGCGACCTGCTTTATGGCAACAGACTGTATGTGCAGCAGAAGCCCGCAGACCGACCGCATGCGGTTTTGGCGGGGGTTCCTTCTTGAGCGAGCATCCCTTTTTCCTTTCCTAACCTGTCACAAATGCCTGATATATAGACCAGGAGGCGCCTGAATTGAATTCTGAACGCGTCGCGTCAGAGCTCCGACAAAAGCGACAGTCCTAACTTTTGACGGGGACGCGGTCGACTTTGATCACGGGCTCAGGACAAACCGCCGCGTTCCAACTTCCCCAGAGCGACCCTCCAGGCGACCCTCGCAACGAGCTCATCGCACTCATCCGTCAACGACTTCAAGCCCATCCCGTCACCCACCGTCTTGTCCGTGGGCAGCGAAACCCTCTGCCTGTCGAGTTGCAGGAAATTACACTCGTTCTGCTGTAACACTTAGCGGTTAGTAAGCTTCCCGCTCCTGTTTTCACTGTGTCTTGAACCATTTGGATTTCGCTAATCCGACTTTCTCTCCTCTGTCAAGCTGAGGTTCCTGGGCCAGAACCCCAACGGTGGTTGGGGTATCGTTCCATATCTGCCTTATCAACCCGGCTGGAAGGTCCTTCGAGCAAGCCTTTGCGGGTGCACTTCCAAAGATAAATCTTCACACATATCCCCTCGGCCCCTCGATATGTCCCCTTCCCCGCACTCGGTCTAAACGTCTCCTCTGCGTAGACGCTGAACACTCATCGCCTCGATGCTTTCTTCCTGCACAGAATCGGTCTCCTTGGCATCCACATCATTCCGCAGCGCCGCTCAAGATTCAGCCGCTTTCAAGTTTCCGACGATCGTTGGCCCACGCACACTCGGTATTCTGTGGCGCTCCCAGACACACACGCCCGGTTCACTTGGCGACACGAGGACCCTTTCTTCGTAACCGGATCATCTTTAGTATCACCACTGCCCCAAAGGTGCAAAGAATGCAACCTTGGTATGGCAGCCTATCACCCAAAGCGTCCATCAATTCATCAACGGACAATCGGAAGTCCCTTGAGCACACCGTCTGTTTGTGGCGGCCCTCTCAGACAGACTCCGTCGTTGTTAGCTGGCGGCGCCAGGAAGACTTCCTGGTAACCGTATCATCGTTCGTATCACGCTAATTGGTGAAAGCCCTTGATTCTGCCCCTCGTCGACCCTTCGGCCTCAATTTGTGTCGCCACAAATTGTCGTTGTGAGGTAGTCCTGGAAGCATGGCATATCATGACCGTTTCACAGTGGCGCAACCGATACAATCTTGATACGGCGCCTGATTCGCTGGCTGTTGCACGCTGCAGCTCGTCTATCCTGAAAGCTTCAACGACGGGCCCGGCAACCGTGTCATCCAACCATTTTGTCCGATAAACTAGGCTCGAATAATGATCCTTGAAAATGCGATATACATTGTTTTCCCCCAACGTGATGTGAATAAAGATGAATTGGATAAATGGACGAGATGCAGTGTACTTTGCGATCAATCTGGTGCCAGACCAGGTCCTGTCTTATTCATAATCTTCGCTGGTTCATGTGCTGTACATCTTTCGCGCGAGTTGACCCGTAGCGTATTGCTTGATGGAGAAAAAGGTTCCTTCGTCGTTGGGTACTGAGGTTTTCAAGTTGTCGCTCACAGTTCGAGAGTGGGTATTCCAAACATTCGCGGACAGTAGTTCGGACACGCGTTTTGTCCGAAACCATACGCCCTCCTCGCGTATATAAGAAAGACACTCTCTTTACTCTTTACTCCGATTTGCGCCCAGAGTCAGACGAGATCGGACGCCCATACGTCCCATCCGCGTGCGCTGCAAGCACCGTAACTCGTTCCGAACGGGACGCGCCAGCTTGGCAACGAATCATCCGCAACCCTCAAAACGATGAACGGCGAATCCACCGAAAATCTCCACGATTCACGCCCCAAAGTGGTGTCTGTCTTCTCTGGCAAACCCAAGCAACCCGTCGCTCCAATGCACGGTGACACCAGCGAAGGACTCCAGCAGTCAGGCCCCAAGGCGGTTTCTTCCAAACCGAAACAGCCCGTCGCGCCAGCTAACGGTGATTCCACCGAAGGACTCTTCCAACACTCGGGCTCCACCATGTCTTTCATCAAACCGGCCCAGCCACCCGTCAAGTCCTCGCCGTTCCGCTATGGTTATTTTTGCGCTGCACCGCCCTCCTTGTGGTCGCCCGCGGGGTTCTTCCACGCAGGAGGCAAAGCCGAAACCGACGTGACCGATTCTTGGTTTCGTGGTCTGCAACACATTCAGACTAGCGCGACGGACGTTGGCCGGCGGGAAAAGGCTGCTGCAAGACCTATGCTGTGGGAGCCAATTCTACCACCCGGAATGCCTCAACAACCAGAGACTGCCCCACCACGACGAAGACAGAGAAGTCCTGGCCGATTACTTTGCGCAGTACAGCTTCGTTTGCCCGCCTTGCCTAGAAGACCTACCGGAGAACGCGGAAACCGACCGCAAAATCACCGCGACCAAGCACCCCAACGTTGACAAAAGGGCAGGCTTGCACGTGGCACCCTACGACCACGAGAACCGCAGGTGGAGGGATGACTTCGCGATGAAGACCAGTGAGCAGATGGAATCAGGCCGACCATACCGAGTGGGGAGGAGAGACATCAGGGACGTCATGCTCCCGAGCCAATACAAGGGGTATATGGACGTCCCATCCACCATGTACACACGCGTACACGGACTCTTCCCTCACCCGGCGCTAACCTCACGATCAGCCGCCCACAACCACATGCGAGCTTGGGAGAAGGAAGTGATGGAGAAACAAGCCGTCTTCGTCGTCATCACCAACCTGGAACCGCACTACGCGCAATGTGCCAAGGCCCTTCGCAAGGAGCACGGCATCCACGAGACTCGGGACGACCTAGAGGACCCAAAAGCACTGCTCCGCCAAGCCGCCTTTCCCCGAATCGACCAGCCCAACTACCTTATCTACGCAGGCCCCAACCTTCGGGAACTCAAGATCATCGTAGCGAGCTTTGGCCCCAAACCCATAGACCAACCGGAGGACAAGGAGATGACGTTCGGTGTGCCAAAAGGGGAGTCCGAATTGTGGTCAAATCTGGCGTTGAAATGGCTCGCCACCGGCGACCTCGGTTCACTTAAGCCGAAGGGATGGAGGATGCCGGAGGCCGAAGCGAAACACGGAGGATCACCGATGTTCAGAACTCAACTGGGGCACCCGGCAGCGGACGCACAGGCGGTCATCCACGGAGGAGTGTGGACCACGACAACCTCCGGGGGGGAGACAAACAAGGGTACATTCCCTCGCCCCACAGCAGAAAGTCGGGACTTGAGATACGGCCGTGGGTGGGCGGAATACCTGGAATTTGCGGAGAATGCCACGGCACACAAGCGCATGGCTATTTGTCACGAATGGATCGACCCCGCTAGCCATGCTCGTCGGAGGAAGGTTATCGACAACCTCCCTGCCCAATGTCAACGCAAGATTCCTGCGGGCTCCCAAGGCACTATGTGCGTCATCAACTTCAACGTGGCCGTTGACTGCCATGTGAACCCCAACGACCATGGGTTCATGGTCCAATACGTCCACGGAAGCTTCTCTCCGGAGACCTTGCCTTCCGCAATTTGTATCTCCGTGCCGACGCACCCTCTGGCACAATCACCTTGGTCCGCACCCAGCTAGCCGAACACACAGTGCTGGACTGGGGACCACTGCCCGGACGGGGCTGCACCAACACCTCGCGTTTCAGTAAGCCCACCACAACGCCACGAGATGTCCTGCGTGCCCATAGCCGGAAGGAACTTCGGGAATCCTGGGCGAAGTACCGGGGCGGCTCATGGCCTACACGGGGGCTCAACATTGCCCAGCGCCCCAAGGCAGACGTAAACTTCGACCCTCAAAGTCAGCTTGAGACCCTCAAGACGAGCCTGCAGGACTCGCCAGACATCTACATCAGCCACGCTTCCATCACCAGCGGCAACACAATCGGCAACCCAGACCAATTTAACAAGGATAGACGAAACATGATGTCCTGTTACACCGTAGGCCTTGACGACTTCGCTCCGATCGCTTGCCTCAAGCGGCAGGAGGCTGCCTGCGAAGCCCACACCCACCTCGCCACCAGCGAACATGCCACCCTTGACGACATCCTGGACGCAATCGTCGCCGACATCCTTACCACCCCCGCAACCTCACCCCCGCAACCACCTCGTCCTATGCTCCGAGCTAACATCACGCCCTCAATGACAAATCTCATCGACTACCAACACGTCATCCCTCTCCCCGAGTCCGCTGCCAAGGAAGTACTCCGCAGATGGTGGCTCAAAGTACGCACCGTCAGCGCAGAAGCCCGGCAGGAAGCGACCCAGACCACGACTCCGGGGACAACAAGACCATCTGGTGCCGGACCATCCCGCGCTGGTCCATCCAGGGCGCGCTGATTGATCAAACCTACGACACCCCACGACCTCAAACAACAAACACCACTTCACCAGCACATCCGCCCAAGTAGCGCAGGTTCCCGGAGGCTAGCACACCATGGCAACATGGTGCAACAGGCTGGTTTCTGCAAAATACAGGGAGTACCACGGCGGAACCCTTCTGAGCACCCCTCCTAGAGGAAAGCTCAAAAAAGGGGAGGATGTGAAAGTGATCAGGTTGATGGCGTACAAGGAGATGGGGAGATTCAAGGGAAGATTAGTATTTGTGCGCACATGAGCAGGCGTGATCAGTAGTAGGACAGAGACACTGTAATGTGTGTTGGGTTGTCCGGTCTTATTGGAGAACAACGTGTCAGTGAAAGACCTATCGCTGTCTAGGTGGAAGGCCTTCCGACCTGTCAGTGAAAGGCCTTTTGACCTGTCAGTGAAAGGCCTTACGCCTATCACGCCCAACAGCGTTCTCCAGTGGACCCCGACCACATGGGTACTATAACAGTGCTTGTCGCGAGTTCCTATTCACAACAAGTAGTTCTTTTACTACACACCGAATAGCAGCGCCGGCGAACACCCAGTCCGTCTACAATACCTTACAGCAAAGTAGTTATTGTATACGAACATCAGTTAAACAACCCGTGTGGAAGGTAGTCCACATCACATGGTACCACCACTCGTTCGAACAAAACGAGCTTCCTAGTAGTAAACACGTTGGCAACTTCAGCATCTCGAAATTGCGGACGTAGCAAGCGTCACAGAACGTTGATACAATCATTCTAGACGATTCATATAGCCTTCAGGACGTCCAGGACAACGTCCTCCTCAACTCCTGAAGCCCCTAGTGCGCTATAGTCGAAAAGCGCCAACCTCTAGGTTATTTACCTAGTGGCACGACCGATATGTTGCAACCACCTTGCTTTTCGTACCTGGATGGTTGAATAAACCTCCGCAACTCAGAGTTAGCCATCCATACCTGACTCTTTCCGTATATCAACATTTTGAGAGTATACGTTCGATGGTCGACACGTAGTCAACATAAACACGTGTTTACTAGTAGCCAATTAGTAACCCGTTCGCGGATCGGAAATCTACCCCAGTTATTCGATCCACTTCAAACTCGGAAACCTCGTAGAGCACACTGAGCTTGAAGACTTGTGAAAGTTTCAAAGAGATTTGACGTACGGATACGGAGACATCAAAAAACGGGTTTTTCATCGCCACTATAACCTCCGTATAGCAAAACTGCGACAGTTTTGACCGAAACGACCCCCGATAAGGTTCTTCCCGACCCCGAGAATTACCTTAAACTTACCTGAACGTTTTGGGATTTTTGAATTACTGCAAAACAAGTTATCCGTTGTCGGCTTCGTCGTTAATACGATATTTAAGCGAAAACGAGCGGATAGGGTCCTCAGTTGTGGGACCGAGCTAAACTGTCAGAGTTGATTTTGACCTTCTCAAAGGCGTCTTTAATCTGATAGATTCAGATCCTGTAAAGGATCAACGTAGCCAGAACCCGCCTGTAACATCAGAGGAAACGTAGACGATATTGGGCCCTTCTGAGAGGGCTGAGAGCAGTGAAATGTAGTGAGGAAAAAGTAAGAAGCTCTTCGCAGCGGCCGCTCGACTGACAGCTTCATATATGGGCTGCCAGTGGGGCTTGCGTGGCTTCATTGAGGCTTGGCGCCTTATGTAACGTATCACGGAGAGCTCGGGTGGCCAGCCCGGGTCTTGGATCAAGTAGAAGTAAAGAGATATAATATGAAATACAAGTGAAGATGAGATATCCCTGACACCTCCCTCAGATTCTGAGGAGGGCGCCGAATAAATAAGAGGTGAACTACAAGGGATATGTGAAGAAAGGGAGAGCTCATGTTCATTTTAAAGTGTTGACGACTTGTTCATTTTAAAGTGTTGACGCACTCTGTGATGTGTGTGTTTGAGGCAAAGGCGTCCCTAAGCCGACGTCGTGTGTGATGTGTATGTGTGTAAGGTCGGTTCTTGCGTCGCTGCGCGTGATGTGATGTAGTTTACGTTGCCATTGTCAGCGGTGTGATTGATAGTGAGCGGTTCTTGCGGCGTCGCGCGTGTGATGTAATATGAGATGCTCTATGCTGTTTGTCTCCGTATCCACAAAGATTGTGGGTGAGCTTTTCGCCATCGTTTGTAGGCAGGCGTGTAGCGAAGTGCGGATTCGGGTTCCCAAGTAGGGTCAGGATAACCGAGCCATTTGACTAGAAGATTCCGTACGGCGCGTCGCTCGTCCATGATATCTTCTACAACCCATTCAGGTTGTCCGCGTTCTTTGATTGGTGGAGGAGGTTGTGGAACTGCACATTGCGGATATTGCTCTTCGCGATGTGGTCGTAAAATATCGACGTGAAAGACGGGCCAGATGCCGCTGATCTTCGATGGTGATAAATCGAGTTTGTAGGTATCAGGATGTGCTCCTTGTGCGATGATTTTGAATGGTTTGATCCACGTAGCTGAGTATGGAAGTCCTCTTTGAGCGTCGACTTCTAGGTTGATTCCTTGTCGGTTCAAATCGACGAGGTCGCCAATTTTGTATACGATTGGCGTTCAACCTTTGTCGTGTTGACGTGCGAATTGATCTTGCGATCTCTGAAGGTTTTTGCGTACGATACGGGCGATGTCTTCCTGCCCTTTCTTGAAGAGTTCGATTTCGTTTCGATCTACAGCTCGAAGTTTGAGTTCTTGTCCTTCGAGTGTTGGATTCCAACCCGGGAGGATTGGAGAGCGTCCAAGATCTACTTTGAATGGCGATAAACCTTCATATTCCTCCCTCGGAGCGGTATTGTATGCGAATTCGATTAAAGGCAATAGTTTCTTCCAATTGCTTTTGTCGTAGTTGAGGTATTGCGTCCAAATCCTTTTCAGGGTTTGGATGGCTCGCTCAACTTTGCCGTCGGTTTGTTGATGACGAGCCGTAGCGAATTCGTGTTTTACGCCGAGGAGAATATCGAATGCGAGGAAGAAGTCGGAAAGTGCGCAAGGTTCGCGATCCGTAACAAAGACTTTTGGCGTACCGACATGTTTCCAAACATGATATAGGAAGGCTTGGGCTAGTTTGCGTCCAGTGATTGTCTTCTTAATCGGTGTCAGAATCACACGTCCGGAAAGGTAATCAATGCAGACGAGACAAGAGTTTGTTTCATCTACTTCGAAAATCTCGAATCCAATTGTGTGCCATCTTCCAAAAGGGATAGGAAGAGGTCGAAGAAATCCGTATCGACGATGACCAGGTTTGAATTGTCGACAGGATTTGCAAGTTCCAACGTATTTGATGATGTCGGAGCGTACGGTAGGCCAGTAATAGTCCGTAAGAATTCTCGCGAGAGTCTTCTTAACACCGAGATGTCCTCCGGTGGCAAGTTCGTCATGGAATTTCCGCAGGATCTTTGGGCAAATGTCTTCAGGAACGTATAGACGTCCTTTGTGTCATACTAATCCATTTTCGAGCGTATAACGGAGTTCTTTCGAAGTTTTCTCGTGTTGGGGCTTTCGAGAAATTTCATCGAGATAACCCGAAGATGGATCTTCGCGTAGCGCTTTTTTCCATTCTTCTTCTGAGCAGGTAGGTGAGTTTTGTGGATCGTCTGTTGTAGCGTTGGAGGAAGGTTCGTTGACAAGCATGTTGCTGATCTGCGTATGCATGTCGAGGCGTCGTTGACAATCTACACACGGAGGCGCATAGATTGGATTGCGGGAGAGCATGTTGGCGATATGATTCCATCGTCCAGGTAAATACTGGATGTCGAAATCATACTCTTGTAGCTTCTCCACCCAATTGGCTTGTCTTCTGCTCAAATGGTGTTGCCTTTGGATGAATTCGAGTCCCTTGTGATCGCTAAAACATCGGAAGTAACGACCGATGAGATATGGTCGATTGGCGACCAACATCTTGTCAAGAGCTAAAAGCTCCTGTTTGTGCGTAGGATATCGAGTTTCTGCGTCCTTCATCTTTCTTGAAAAGAAGACCACAGGCCGGAGCCGAGGTAACTTCTTACATTGTCCGACGAGAGTAGGCAGATTTGTAGGGATCGTTTCATCGCCAGAAGGCTGTCCAATCCAGCCAGCGATAGCGTAGCCTGATGAATCCGTATAGACGTAAATCGACTTGGTTTCGTCGATGGTTGCTAGCGTAGGCGCATTGATCAACGCTTGTTTCAACTTTTGAAATGCCTCTTGCTGCTCAGGACCCCATCGAAATTTGACTTGCGAAGATTGAATACTTGATAGGGGCAGAGCGATGTCCGAATAACCTTGTACGAAGTTGAGGAAGTAATTCGTGAACCCGAGAGAG